ATTGGATTACTACTAGATCAAGAAAAGGCTTATGATAGGATCCATCCTGTGTATCTTCGTACTGTTCTTGTTCGTTTTGGATATCCTCTTCAACTTGTCGATTGTATTGATAAACTTTTTTTTGGTACTCGTCTTCATATCAACATCAACGGTTTTCTCACTGATAGTATTTGTCAACGCCGTGGTCTCAAACAAGGCGACCCACTTAGCCCTATTCTATTTAATTTAGCTTTTGAACCACTTCTTCGTAGTATTCAAAATGATATTCTGCTGAAAGGTTATGCATTGCCTAAATCAATTTCTGGTCCTCACTTGTCTGATTCTCTGACTGCTCCTGTTAAGCTAATGGCATACGCTGATGATGTTATTTGTCTTTTAAATTCCCCTGCTGAATTAAATCGACTTCAATTTCATTTATCGCTATATTCCCTGGCTTCTAATGCTCGTATCAATTATAATAAGACCGAAGTTATTTCTTTATCTGGTTCCTCTTCCATTTATGACACCTGCTGGCGGACAGCTTTGCACTCTCATGGTATTTCGGCATGGCATGATTGTCGTTCTTCTCTACCAGTTGTATATCTTGGTTTCCCTCTTTGCTCCTCAACCAAACAACGTGATTCTTTTCTTGATAAGATTTTATCGAACATCAAAATTGCTTGTGACATTCATCGTCTACGTCTTTTATCTGTTCGAGGTAGATCTACTGTTCTGAACTCTTTGATTCTCAGCAAACTTTGGCATGTTCTTCGTGTGTTGTCCGTACCAGCTTCCTTTTTTAAATCCGTTCAGTCTATCATTTCAAATTTTATTAACTTTCGTATCTTTCCCAAAGTTAGTTTCAATACTGCTTGCTTACCGCGATCTTTGGGAGGTTTAGGTCTACTTAATCCGTCTCTTCAACAATCTGCTCTTCAACTACGTTGGTTATACCCTATTCTTTCTACTTCAACTGATGACCTTGATTCTAATGACTCGGCTATCAGTGGTTCTATCGTTCTCTCACGAATTATTTCTTTCTTGTATTCGCAAGTTGAATTGTATTCCGACGGTCGAATTTTCCATACTCCTCCTGCCAAATTAGATCATCGTTTCTTCTTTTTGTTCCCTCACCGTAGGCCTCCTTTCCTCCGTCAACTGACTAGTTCTCTATCACTTTTATTCAACGCCATCGACATGATTCCAAAACCATTCTCAGATGTTGTTGTCAGTGCTGCTACTTGTCTAGAGATCCCATTTTCGTCACTGGTTATTTCCTCATCAGAGCCCCTACGCCGATCTATGGCTTCCTTAACTAGTAATTATGGATACATTTTCAATAGTGATGATGAAAATTGTCTCCGTCCTCTTCAAATTACGGAAATTCTTCACCATCCACGACTTACCAAACAAGTTTTAAAGCGGGTTAAAAAAAACGAAATTATTTTAGCTCCCTTTTTTATTCGTTGCTTTATTCCAACTAGATTCGCAGGTTCTGGTCAATTCCCTTTCACTCAAGTTTCTGACCATCAAGTTGTTGACATTTCTCCTTTTCTGAAAGATCTTGGCTTTTTTCGTTCCCCTGGTACACCTACAACCCCTTTTACCACAAAGAAATTTCGTCGCATGTGCTCACAATCACATTTATCCTCTCCTCTACTCCCACCACCTTTTTCCCCAAAAATTTCTTTCCCTTGGTCTCAGTTTTGGCAACTGCCCCTTTCTCATTCTGGTAGAAACATCTGGTATCGTCTGATCCACAAAAAAATCCCACATAAATCATTCCTTCATCGAGTTATGCCGGCCTATTTTCCAACATCCACCTGTCCCATTTGTTCTGATCCAGTCGAATCATTTGTTCATTTTATATTTACATGCCCACCCAAATTAGCAATATGGCAACACATGTGGTATATGTACATTGATCCTTCTGATTCCTCCTTTTCGCTGGATACTCTATATTATGCTCTGCATACCCTTCACGTTCCTTCTTCCTCTCTCACTTTAGTTTTCTCTCCTCTCACTGCTATAGCTGCTACTCTCGAAGCGATCTGGTTGTCCCATTGGGCCTCTGTCTTCAATGACACGCCATTCACTTCCGCTACAACTATATCTCTCCTCACTACCAAAGCTCTTCGAATACGCCAAGAATCTCTTCTTTCAAATGGCATTCCTCATGCTCCTCTTCCTCATTTTATGACAGACTAGTGTTCCTTATTGTCACTATATGTGGTTCCCCTTAACATTTTAATAATTTAAAAACTAAAAACAAACAAAAAAAAAAAAAAAAAAAAAAAAAAGCAACCATACTTTAATAATCCTAAAAACCCAAAAACACAGTTGTGACTATCCTTTAATTTTCACTAATAAATCAGAGACTCCGTCTCCATATAAACAAAAAACAATGTACATAATTATTTGTAATGCTCGAATACTCTAACAATGACTATTATTAAACCGAGTGTAGAATAAATATTATGCTGTGAAGTACAATACACTAGTTTTATTTGAATAACCTCTTTATTATTTAAATAAATGATGGTCTATTTCTATTAACTTAGTTGTAAATACGACTACAATCATAAGTTTTATATTATTTACAAGTGTTATATACAGAGTTTTATTTCATATTCAGGCTTATAGTTCATCCTTTATTATGTAATTCATCTACTATAATATTACTTATGCTTATATCCAGAGCTTGTTCTATAACAATAACTCTTAGTAATCATTCTATAATTATATTATCAAATACAATTTGTTATATTTTTATCTTCTTTTTACTCATCATCCTTATCCACAAAATATATAAATACTCTTACACTATTAACTCTTATTTTATATAATATACTTGAATCGCAATTGAACTTAACTCTTAATAAAAACTTATTGACAAGTCTCAACGTACTTCTTCTGTTTGTCTTATTTTATTTCTCTTTTATTTCTTTTATTTCTATTTTAATTACTTAACTTACCTAAACCACAACATGATTGAAAATGCGGATCATAAATTTATTTAAGAAATTCTACCTAGATTCTCCTGAAACTCTCTTGATCCACTCCGTCAAACAATATTAAAATTTCTGACATTTCATTATCTTTAACATATCTTATTCAGTCGTAACTAGCACTTTTCTGATTCACATTTTATCCTCAGACCTCTTTAACAATTCTTATAAATACCCCATCAATTTAAATTCATAAATAAAACAATTGACTTTAGAGCCATTGCTCGGTCTCGTTTACTTTTCTGTCTTTTTATTATAATATATTTTTATTAAGAAATATCACACAAATGATAAAATATAGACAACAATACGTTGAATGCGCACCTTTGGATTGCCCGTCACAACTCAAACACAAGATAAAATAAAATTATGCCTTTAGTTTAAGCCAATAGGTAATTAAGGTCCTGTTACAACAAACCTTGCAAGCCAGTCCGCTCTCATTATGGCTCACTTTATGGCTCACTTTATAGCTCACTCTATGGCTCTCTGTTAGATTCGGAAATCCGTTTATGAGAGAAACTGTGTCAAAGTTAACAGGTCCAAATAAAAGATGACTTTGTTAATCTTTACAAAACGTTTGTGTTTTATTTCATAAAAACACAATCGGGCAATAGAATATATTAATGAGTCACGGGACTTTTCCTTGCTTGAGCTTCAACTGATCATCGATTATACAACCGAATCCTGATCTGTTTCTATATCTTGACTATAAAACTTACACAAGTTTTCCTCAAAGCAAAGTAGTAATAAATCATATCATCTGTAAAATGATATCAGTGTTGAACACTTATACTGACCTCTGTTCTCAATCTAGATCACATATCGAAAATAACTGACATGTACATAAGTCTAACTGCATATAACAAAAGTAACATTCAACGCTTTGTTAATGTTTTTCCTATATGATTGAATAAACGTGCAGCAAATGAATGTACTTTGTCGATCTTGAATTCCTCAGAACTTCTTCGTGATGTCGTTGACCCTATCATTTTAGAAAGGGGTTATATACCAGTATACCTCCATCCATATTCGCCTGAACTCAATCCTATTGAAATGTTTTGGAAAGTGCTGAAGGATCGAGTTAGAAGAGAGAAATTAAAAGATACAGAAACAATTTTTTTCAAGAATAATTGAAGACAGTGAAGATGTTCCTATTGAACATATAGAAAACTTCATTCAGTACTCGATCAATGTAATCCCTAAATGCTTGAATAAAGAACCTTTGTGATTGCTTTACTGTTTGGTTGAAATATTTCTAAAAAGTGGATAATTTATTTTCGAAAAGCTGGGCAATTTAGATTCAAAAAAGTGGGAGTAGCTTTCAAACATCTAGTAAATTGGGAGTGGAAGCACAGTACTTTGAGTAAAATCAGCTATTACGCGTACTTGTATTACCCCAGTTGTAAAACATTTTTTTTTTTTTTTTTTTTTTTTTTTTTTTTTTTTTTTTTTTACAAGAGTAGATATACTTAAAATATGCGTATAGACAGAATTATCATAAAAGTGCACTATATGTCCTATTTTGATTATTTATCCTATTGAATTAAGTTACAAATCTTACAACCATGGCACGTATGAATTACCTGCTTATACCGTAGATTATATCAGAAGTGTCATTAATGGCGTAGGTTAGCATATAACAATAATTTTTGACAGTATCGCTCTCTTATCTCTTTTGAATACAATTTTCAGGAAACTATTGTAGAATTCAAAAAGAATTTAAAAGCGAGTCCAGATGTTGATGGCAAAGAAGTAGAAACTTTTGATTTTCTTCAAAGTATTATTTTGTAGATGGTAATATTCAATTTAACTAAGGAGAGATTTCTGAATAGATTATAATATTTAGGGTCTCCTTTTTGTAGTCATAAATTGTATTTAACCAACCAAAAATTGGAATCAAGAGAAACAGTATTCAATGATCTGCTTGTATTTCCATTTTTAAAATCGGTTTCAGAAGCAATGCCCCCAACTTGCAAGGCAGAGTTTGAAGAAGGAGAAACTCCTTTGATTGCTATGAAAAAGCAACTTAACGATGAGGATGGTACCACTCTATACTCTGCAGATGGTATTTTAAAGTTGTATGGTGTGAAAGACCTAGAGATCCTTCTTTTGGAGACCTCGTCGTTTTGCGGCTGCACCAGTAATGTCAAAATAGATTTTGACCATCACAAGGGACTTTTTGGTACGTTGGCGATGATTAAGACGATCGCATATATATATTACTTTGGGTCTGTTGACACCTTCACGAAGATTAAGATCCTATTTACACATGCTGCAGGTACTTCATATTATATGTTATAATGTACTAGTCTAACAATATTTTTTATTTTAAAAGGTACAATCATTTACCTCTGGAGCTTAAAGTATGTCAAGGATGGCCCCATTTATGAACTTTGGTTAGAAGGCTTTTTAAACATTGAACCTAAATTTGAAGACAGGTTCGAAATGTTGCCTAAAATGATAAACTTTTACTGAATGGTCAGAGTAAAATAAATGCTTATACTTCTAGACAAGAATTTACTAAATATATATGAATATGTATGTATTTAATTATTAGAACTTGGTAGAAGAAACAGCAAATAATATTTGTACTCTTCGTGATGAACACACAAAGGAATTACAGGACTGCATGTTTTCTTCTGGCTCTAATGAAAGCCTTATTTTCCTTCGTGAACCCTTCAATTACGAGTTTACATGAAGATAATGATAAGAAGGGCATGTGTAAGCTTGATCCTTTCTTTTGTAAATAAAATATATTTATTGTCTGCTTTTATGTATGTCTAATTATCTCCATGTGTCATAATGAAAGATTTTTCTAAACATGTTGTATATATTTCTATAAAAATATGTACGATTATATATAAATCTGTTTCGAATCAGACAAATTACATAGTATTATTAAAATGAACAATGCTGTTGAAAGTACCCTTAACTATCATATACTTGATTATGTAGTTGGCGAAGAAATATGGCTTTTCTTTGGGCGATGAACAGCTGCTCTGAACTTTTAAGTTTATAGTACGATGCCGAAGAAACTTAGTTGCCGATTTCATTTATATCAACTCGCTTACATCGTACCTGAAAATATCAACTACGAAAAGTATGCGGCTTTAATTATTGGTGGTAAATATTTTACAATTAGTGATTATCTGGATTTTGATGCTTGAATAGGGGATTCACAGTCTGCAAAACTAGCAACCACTTCAGTTTAGAAGAATTTGGTATGCAAGATATTTTAAATTGTCAAATATAAATAAAGCCATAACTTTGATTCTTTTAGTCTCTCTAGGTTTTGTTATATCTTTATTGATGGTAAAAAAAGTAAATAAATATTACTACTGGTTAAACTAAAAGCTTTATCGTTATATTCCAAAAATTCTATTTTTCAAACGCAAATCACTGTATAGATTCTAATTCGACCGAGCTTGTCAATTGGCTGTACAACAATCAATCGAATATTTGACGATACATCTTCTTTTTCCTCTTTCCTATCAAAAAGGGGGTTTTTTTTTTGTTCTATATTTTTCCTTTATTTGATCTGACCCGGGCAATTTAATACCAAAGTGATTATGTGCTCAAATGAGGGGAGAAGTTTTTTTTTTTTTTTTTTTTTTTTTTTTTTTTTTTTTCAGAATTTTATAAATACAAATATATTTAATCACATAGATTCTAACCTTAGTTTTTTGCGAAAGATACTTGAGAGCACCCATTATTTGACCGAGCATTAACCGACAAAATTAAATCTTGACTTTCGACAATTATAACCTTATTAACCGCCAATTTGATTTTTTTCTAACCGATGATTAATTTTTTTGTAAACGACATTATCTGTATGATTTTAGTATTTAATTAGAAGAGAAAAAAAGCATAATTGAGTTAAATTGTCTTAATTTACAAGAATAGTAAATAATACTAATATGTATAAACATATAAAAATGAAAGTGTATGAAGTTGGCTTTTTTCAGCTTTATAAAAATATATATATATTTTTATAAAAATAAATAAATATGTATAGTAAATAACGAGTCGAAATTGACATAATTGACGAACCCTTCACTAAATCCGTTGTTTATTTATTTTATTTTAATTATTACTCTTTCATATTTATTTAACATATTTTATTTTATATTTTATTTTATTTTATATTTTATTTTATTTTATTTTATTTTTTTTGTCTCCTAAATAGCATTTCTTTATGCTTATTTGATAATTTATGCGTGAATCAAACTCTCGTCTTGTAGAAGTAAATAGAGCAGTGAGAGTGATTTCACAGGCAGAATACGATCGAAGAGCGCTAGATTGTACATCAGCACTACCTCTGTTAAATACCTTATTAAGTCTTAGTTATCAAGTGACTATTTCGCCTACTGTTCGCTCTATGTTAGTAATTGACGGTGGTCTAGAAAGAATAGTACATATTTTAGTCAACTGCCGAAAGTTAGATCCACTCTCGATAAGAAAACGGCATACGGCACTTGAGTGTCTTTATAATATTTGTACCCGTGGTACAGAATTTATTCGAGTTCGTATGGTTGAAACGGGTGTCGCTGATTTAGCTCTTGCTGTGCTTTGGAAATCACTCATGCTTCTTTATAATATAAAACAGGGTAACTTGGATAAAGTAAAGGAGAAACAAATGGAGCAACAAGTGCTTGTGACGGCGCAACAAATGCAACACCAGTATGAACAACAATTGATTCAGGTACGACATCAGTTGTTGGATGAACAGGTATTGCAACAACGAGTACTTATGCAACTAATGAATCTACCGCGGGAGCATTTTCAGATATTACAAATGCATCTAGAGGAAATAGGGCAAGTAGAGATACAAGTAGAGCAGAATGCACAACAACTACTAATGCAATATAATGAACATGAAGTGCGTATTGCACAATTACGTGATCAGTTTTTGCACTTACTCGAGATAAGAGAACAATCAGTAAATCAACGAATAATTCAACATCAGCAACGATTGGGTCGTTTTCAACAACAGTTACAAACAGGATTCCTACAGCATCCAATTAATCACGTTGGTATAACTCAGACTGTATCCTCCTTCAATGTTAATAATTCCTATTCAACTTTAGAAGAGCAGAGTCAAATCGAATCTACTTGTATATCAAGACAACGTTCAACATTCATCAAACGTACTCCTCAAATGCAAAAGCCTAAAACAGCTTCCAATCTAACAGGAACAATGAATACTTTTTTACAAAATATTTTAGACGATAAGTTATTTGGTCAAGAACAGCATGTATGTTTAGCTTTGCGAATGATTGCCTTTTTAACTAAGCATTTTTCAATCCGTAAGGTACTTCATTCCAAATATGACCATAGTCTATTTGCTGTTGTTGAAAGATTTACGCATACGGATTATACTGATGAAATTAAAACATGGGCAAGAGCTATTTTATTACATTTTTGTAAACGAGAAGGTTTAACAGACGGTCTAAGAAGGTGTGCTAATTTAGAATGTGATAAGTGGGAAAGCCATCCACGTGAATTTCTTAAATGCAATAATTGGTATGATTGAATTCTTGTTTCATAAGAGCATTTTATGTATATATGTTTAAAATTTCTAATATATTTTAGTCGAAGAGTTAGATATTGTTCACAAAGCTGCCAGCAGAATGCATGGAAAGGAGGACATGAATTTTGGTGCTGTATAAGAATGAATTCTGAAGGATTTCTAATAAAATATTAAGAAAAGGAAAGGAAAGGAAAGAAAGAAGCCCCTTTGTGGGGCAAAAGCTTCCATACAATTATATCGATTAAAATAAAAATGTTTATTAATTAGTTTGATAGTGTAAAAAAAAAAAATCTGCTATTGTTATTTTATGTGTATTAGTTAATTATTAAAATTCCCTAAAAACGACCTACGAACAATACTTGAACTAAGCTTAGCATTCGTAATGATAGGATAATAAATGGAAGGAGGACATTCCTTCAAGATACATTGAGCTACATTGGCGCCTGTTTCGGCGCCACTGAACCATGCACCTTGTAAGAAACCAAAATAATGCGCAGACATGGCTTCTCCAGCAAACCAAACACGATTCTTTAAAGAAGCCTTCATATTAGCATGATGTTCATCCAACTCACCAATTGGCCAGTTTGAATAACTCCCACGAAATAAAGGATTTGAACGCCATCGTGGAAACAAAAAATCAGTAGGTTCCGGGATATCGTCACCATACATCTGACGCAGTACTTGCATGATTTCATCCTTAACATCATCATCCTTCATAGCTTCCACATGATATGACATGTCCTGTGTTACGGTTACAAAGAAAATATTACTTGTCGAATTTTCAGATAAGAAACCAGGAACGTTCAAATTTTGCCAAGCAGTATAATAGCCCCTTTGATCAGAGTCGGCCCATACAACAAATTGATTATCATCCCAGAATTTATATGGAAAATTTAAAAAAATCTTTGTATAAGTAGCCATATGAAACCCGTAAATTCCCTCTAATTTCCAAGAAGGTAAAGGAGGACTCCATTTGATATCTTTATGTTGAAGAACTCCAATACTAAATGTTGTAATTGCATAATCTGCTTTGATTATATCACCTTGTTTAGTATAAACAGTGACTCCCTTTTTGTCATACTTTATCTTCGTGACAATCGTATTTAATAGTAATCGAGAATCATTAGGTTTCAAAGCTTTTTTGGATTCCTCTAAAAAGATATATTTAAATCCACTATACATAAATACTAATGATTAGTCTATTTCATTTCTAATTAACTAATTCTTTTTTTTTCTCCCACACATATATTATTAGCTTATTGTAAACATATACAAATATAGTTACCGTGGATCAAGAACCATATTATCACCATCACTATCTGGGCCGAAGCCAGTGTAAGTCCAATTATCATTAACAGCAGTAAAAATAGTGGAAGAAAGTTCTGGTGTTTCACCCATTTCCCAATCCCATACATAGTATTCAATTGCATTATCAATTGAATCTCTAGGGTACCAGCCAGAAAGGTCTAAACCAGCTCTACCAGAAAGATCTACTTGGTCCTTTTCAACTCTTTTCACTATATAGAAATGAAATTAATATATGCATGCAAAAGGAAGGGAGAGGGAAGGGGTAGAAAAAAGATCAACATGATATACGTTACTAGCCATTTCAGTCATTGCATCATAGTCTTTGTACAATTGATTAAGTCTTTCAGTAGCATTGATCTTTCCTTTTGGACTATAAAACACTACATCGTTACCATTTGTTACAGCAGTACGTAGTTTATACTTTAAAGCAAGTTGATTAATAGGATTCGTACCAAGACCTTGAACCCAATTACAGCCTAATTCAACATTAACGTCTGCGAAAGGAGCATCTTGAGCTCGACCTGTATAAAAAATTCCCAACCAATTCAACCTTGAATTAATTATATTTTTTATTTTTCAATAGTCATATTAAAAAACCTACCTCCTAAGACATCTCTGGCCTCAATCATCATAAAGTCCGTAATATTAGCAGCAGTTAAATTCAAGGCAGCACTGATACCACTAACACCACCACCAAGGATAGCAACTTTAGTTCTATATGTTTTTGCATTTCCTAAATTGCAATATGATGCTAATAAGGGCAGTAGTAATAATAACTTACGCATAAATATAATTTGTTAAATAAAGTAAAAAAAAAAAAAAAAAAAAAAAGGGGAGAGTCTAAACATCTTGAACTTTATACTTTTCTAATGGTTACACGTAATACAAGATAATACAGATGTCTACATTTGCAAAACCCTTATTATTTATTAAAAAAAAAAGGTTTACCAATAAATTCTACTCTTTTTGAACACTCCTCTAAGTTATCGTGGGGACACATGGCAGCTTCTGTATTCTAATATCCCACTTATCGTTTATATGAAATGCCCTATTAAAAAGTACTTGTCATAACTGCTTTTTTTTTGTGCCTGTCTGCGTAAGACAAATATTAATTGCAAATCATTTATACTGAAGTTGAACTATCAATGTTAAATAATATTTGTATCACTTTCTATCAATATTTTTTTTATAAATACTATTATTATTAAGAATACATAAAAGATGCATAAAATATATAATGAAAGAAAGACATGGATAAGGGATACTATAAAATAAAGCAAGGGTTTTGTTAGAAGAGATATAAAGATGCTTCTTAAGTTGAACAAAATTACATATTAAAATGATGTCTAATGTTAAATGTATTTTTCTGTGTACAAATACATAGAAAGAAGCTTTGCTTACTCTAAAGATATCAATGTTTAATTGTTATCTATATTCATGTTAACAAACAACAATCTTCATTAGTTAAGAATGTCTTTTATCAATCATGATAGTTAAATTAGCACTTGAGAAGAGTGATTGTAACCAATTAGGCCAAAGCTAAAATATTATAGAACCTGAATTATGTAATTATAGATATGTGATCTTATTGACCGTTTATAATAGTGTCGAATGCCAGCAGGCTTTGCGTTAGATTACATTTGGTGAATAAAGCATTTCTTTCTGTGACTAAACACATGATATTGGTTTAGTCCTAGTCAGCCGATATGAAAGAAACTAGGAAACTTTGTAAGTAGCAGTAAATAATAGGAGTTTAGGATAATTAGATCAATCATTTATAAACATATTAGCATAAGAAAGTGGAATCCTGTGGGAAGTCATTATTAGAGTTTAATAAATAAATAACTAAGTGAAATAAAAATACATAAATGAAGCATTCTTGATGGGAAAGAAGTTTGTTGAAATAAACCAAGTAGGACTATCAACTGATAATAATAAGTATAAATGATTATAAACTTGGAGACAACTAATTGTATGGGTTTTTGTGGGAAACTTAGGATATTCAATAAGGCCTTCTGTTTAAAGCATTGAATCCAAGATGTTCGATGTCACATGACCAGATATGTATGACATTACTTTTTGAATTAAACTGCTTTTTCAAGAATATCAAATTTGATATTGAATGTTATAAGGCAGTAACATCTCAAATAAAGACGCGTACTCTCTAAAGTATGGCTATAAGCACACTGTATCATAAGAATTGTCTATTAGATATTGAAGTATTAACGATTATTTAAACTGAACATTATCATAGATAGTTTGATATTATCCAATAAACTATTCCAGAATTATGCTGACACTCTTATTCTTTGTAATAAGCAAAGCAATATAGCTTTTATAGATATTCGACTCAAAAATTCTACGAATGTAAGTTTAGATTCTTATGTTTAAACTTTTTGCATTTAGAATAGATAATAATACACATTTATCTCCCAAAAATATAAGAATTGAATAATCTAAACGCAATAATAATGCATGCGTGAACATAATAATAGGATATCATTTATTTAAAAATGTAACAACGTTGGTTTTTCGCAATACAAGCTTAAATGTACTTAGTGAATACATTGGTTATTACTCAATTTGTTATATTAATTCTTAAAAAAAAAAACTATATACATATCTATATGCTTAACTAGAAAGATATAGATAAGAAAGGGAAATAAAGCGTGGTTTAGAGAGTATGTATCGTATCTTTAGTCTTCATTTCAGCAACACTAATAATTAAAACAAGCAAAAATTGATTCAGGTTTTGTAAAAAAAAAGAAAAGAAAAAAAAAGAAAAAAAAAATATTGGTATTCACATTTCTATATTTAATTATAAACCTTTATTTTATTCGGACTTCAAGCTTATTTTATTAGTCATTTTATTTGCTACCATGTGAATTTTATATAGACTTCTTTTCCTCTTTTCCCTCCCCCCCTTTTTTTTTTTCATTTCATCCATAATTATGTCGGAATTTCCAGTTTCACTTCCAAGTAAAGATCGTCATTTAATGACACTTTCACAAGAAGGACCATTATTTATTCTTCATCTACACCACAAGGACAATCGATTTACAACTGAATTTTGTCAAGCCATTCTTAAAGCTCTTCAAATTGTGGAAGACTACTTTTTGGCTTGTGAAGAACCAGTTGATATGGCATTAGTTACACTCGGTAATGATAAAATCTATAGTAATGGTTTAGATTTGATGCATGCTATAAGTTATCGACCTTTTATGGACGTATTCCTTTCTTTGCTCAAAAAACTGCTTACTTTCTGTATTCCAACTGTTGCTGCGATCAATGGGTAATTGGAGCATGTTTGTGCAACACCATATGCGTACTTATTAATTTATATATATATAGTCATGCCTTTGCTGGTGGTTGTATGTTAGCATTAGCTCATGGTATATATTATGAACAAAAATGCATATACATATATATATATATATATATATCTAATTCAGATATAATCAGATTATCGAGTAATGAGATCAGATCGTGGCTATATGTGTATGAATGAAGTAGATCTTCCATCTCCACTTACACCTGGTATGTCAGGTCTCTTACGCTGTAAGATGTCACCTATAACATATCGTGATATGATCATACAAGGTCATCGTTTCACGGCTCAAGAAGCTTTAGAACAGCATCTTGTTGATTTTATTTGTCCTAATGATCAGGTATTAAATAAAGCAAAAGAAATTGCTTTGAAATGGGCACCTAAGGCTAAGTCTGGCATTGTCTATAAACAACTTAAAGATGAGGTAAGTACATTAAATTTCAAAATTTTTTTTTATCACTATCTTAAATACGATCATTATATAGATGTACAGAGACACAGTTCATCTTTTAAGCGTACCTTATCATCAGCTTGCTCCTAAAATGTAATGATGACTGTTTTTTTTCCCCCTTATACTATTCATTAAACATATGCAGTATATATTTCTATTGTATCAAAATATATTTACTACTGAATTACTTATTGTAATTATTCTCTTTTTCTGTACCTTTTGAGGATAAACTTTAATAAGAATAGAAAAGAAAAAAAAATTCTATATTGTTTATTTTAAGTAAAGCTAAATAAATAATAGTTACTTCGGTAGCATATAAACATATGATTTTTATATATGTGTATAAGTAAGTATATCTCGTATCCTTTGAATAAAGAATTTAACAATGATAAAAAGAAAAGGTACTTTATCTGTTTAGATTTTTATAATTCTTTAACATGGTTATAGTGCCTTGAATGACTTGTACTGAAACGAACAACTAATGATGGTAAAAATCTTGATTTGGAAGAATGGCCAATAATAACTTGATAAAATTACATTGATTGCATGGTACTTTGGAAGATTTGAATTAAAAATAGTAAAAAAAATACAGCTGGTGAGCTTTTTTTTTTTTTTTTTTTTTTTTTTTTTTTTTTTTTTTTTTTTTTTTTTTTGCTATTATTATTTATTTACACAATCAGCCATGTCAAAAATTAGCATTTTAAATGAAAACAATGAATCAATTGTTGGTATTCTTGAAGAGAAATTAGAGATTGATGCTGGTCGTCCTAAGCCTCGCATTGTTTTTATTGTTCATGGCATTTTAGGTTTTTATGCCAAAATTCATTTGAAATGCTACAATGCTGACTTATATGTATTATACATGTATAGGTCATAAAGACTATCTTTTTCATAGACTTTTAGCGCAAACATTACCTTATACATCATTTAGATTTGATTTTAGAGGCAATGGAGAAAGTGAAGGATCTCCTGGTTATTGCAATATTCTGGTAAAAAATAAATAAATGAGAACAGGGCAAAGAGGCATACTGCTTCTTCATATAGACGTAACTATGTATTAAATAACAAGATTGTGAATTAGGAAGATGCAGATGATATTCATACAGTAGCTAAATATTTTGAAAATCTCGGATATGAAATTTATGCAGTAATTGGTCATTCAAGAGGTATAACAAAAAATTTTCTCTTCCCCCCTTTTTTTTTAATTTTTATAATAGGCGCATTATCTAGTTTTAAATATGCTACTACATGTGAAAAACCATTACCTATTATGGTGAATATTTCTGGTAGATTTAAGATGAATGATAATCAACTTAATACAAGTAGACCTGAAATTGGAAAAGCATTGAGAGAACATGTAAATAGAGCAGCGATAAGAATTAAGCGTATAGATACTAACTGTATATGTATATAATAAGGGTTATTTTGATTGGCATGTTAAACAAAGAGATCGTATTGCTACTGTTAAAGTGACTCAAGAAGAAGTGGATAAATTTCATAATTATTCCAATGATTTTGGTACGAAAAAAAAAAGTAAATTTATGTATTCTATATAAATGTGTATAATATAGTTTCAAGAATGCCATTGTCAACTTGTGTATTGACAGTTCACGGTTTAAAAGATAATGTATGTTCAACATCTTATATTAATATAAAAAGATGGAGAATTTTTTGTTTAACTTTATCTTTTATAGATAGTGCCTCCTTACAATGCCGCTATGTTTGCAAATAAGATTTCCAATCATACTCTAGTATTAATTCCAGATGCTGATCATAACTTTAAAGGAAAATTTGAACAAGTAACAAAGGCAATAGTTGATTTCTTTGCAAAACATGAATCTAGTGATTATTTAAAAGCGATCGCAATGGGTCAAGGAACAGGTCTTGTTCTTCCTCGATGGATTGACGTAGAGGGCGTACGAAATTTTCGTGATATTGGTGGCTGGCCATTAAAGGATGGCAGTGGTTATATTCGTGAAAGAACTATTTTCCGCTCAGGACAGTAGGTGTTATTATACATATAATTATAACAAAACCGTATAATATATTCTCAAGTTTATCAAAGATAGCTCCTGAAGGTATTGCCAGATTAAAAGTATTGAATGTCAAAGCTATTTTTGATTTTAGATTAGATCATGAAGTTAAAAGAGATGGTGCCCTTCAGTAAAGTATCCCAATTACATATTTATAAGAAAATATAAATTAATTTTTTTTTTTTTTTGTCTATCCTTCTTAAAGAGAAATTCCTGGTATAACAAGGTTTGGCTATAATTTGTATGAAAATGTAGTAAAATCTACTGCTGATTATTATAAGGCCTTAATGGTTTTCCTTAATGGTGAAAAAGGCTTCGCTGAAGGTATTTAATATTAATTTATTAAAAATAATATTCCATGCAAACGCTTACTTATATACTTAGGCTATATGTTTATTTTGGAACATGGCAGTAAATTAATTGGAGATGTATTTCGTTATATGATTAAAGAGTTATCAATTTATGATCGCTCTGCTATGGTCATTCATTGTGCGGCTGGAAAGGATCGTACAGGTGTATTTGTTATGGTACTTCTTGGGCTTTGTGGTGTTGATGATGAGATTATTGCACGAGAATACGAATTATCCAACATTGGCTATTTTGGTATTTATAAAAGTACAGTATATATGAATGGTCTATTTATATTCTAAACTTTATAGACTATGAAAAGGATTTAGAAAAGAGAGCTAAGCAATTGAATGTCTCAGTTGAAACTATGCGTGCTGCTTTATCTGCATCGTGAGTTGATTATAACGAATAGAGTAGATGTTCAAATACTAAATCTATTTTCTTTTTATACAGGTATGGTGGAATGAAATTAACAATAAGTCACTTAAAGCAAAAATATGGTTCATTTGAGAATTATGTGCGTGAAGGATGCGGTTTAAATAGTGACGAAATCAATTATATTCGCAACTTAATGATTGTCCCTATTCGATTTGAAGAACGTCAATTATATAGACATAAAATCTAAAAAAAAGGGGGGGGGGCGCGGGGAGAAGTGAGACTTTATTAACAATTTTGATATTTGGTTGAAGAATGTATAACTTAAAGGATCTCCGCTATATGTGTGTCCCCTTCTTTTTTTCAATACATGAAGAGTTATTATATAAGTAAAAGCCCCTTTTTCCCTTTTTTTTTTTTTTTTTTTTTTTTTTTTTACAGTATACATTTCTTACTTTTCTTCAGTTTATTTATATATTTATATACATATATTATACATGTCTTTGAAAGAACAGACTCATTTAGCGGTTTCTTTACCAGAAATTGTTTATCATATTTTATCATTTCTTATAAATCATCCACTATCATCATTATGCCAAGAAGAATCAAAAAAGAAAGTATATACAGACATATATCCTTGTTTAATCGTTAATCGTCTTTGGCATGATTGTGCAAGCCGTATTTTATGGAGAAATGTATTCTTTGAAAATGGAGATGGGGATTTAGAATCATTGATAGATTTTGCTTCTGTTATTGGAGCTCGACCTACATCTTTGCTCTTTCCAAACTTCTTATCAACGCTATCAAATGATGCTGCACTATTAGCAGTAGGATTGTCGACTGTAAATTCAAATGAATCTATCCATTTATTATCATCAAGTCGTTCCTCATCTGTATCTAGTATATCTACATCATCTACCATTCATACCTCCTCTGAGGACTCCTTTATAAATTTGGAACAAAATAATTATCATCATGAATATGTCATCACTGATAAACAGATATCACCCGAATATGTCTTTACAGAAATAGAACATATCAAATGTCTCAACACATATTACCAATGCAAGTTTACAAGGGCAGCTCGCTTAGAGACTTACCGCAACTCCTTACGATCACTCTGCATCCGTAAAATTAAACAAAAGACACTTAATAAGCCACTTTATCAAATAGGTCAATATGCCACTAAACTTAAATACCTTGACATTTATATTTGTGATTACTTGTCTAATGACGCATTGACTCCCTTCTTGGTTCATAAACAACTGACGTTTTTATCCTTAGCAGGTTGTCATCAGATTACAGATGACGCGATATTGAACGTTGCCAAGTATTGCCACGATTTAGAGCATTTGGATTTAAGAGCTTGTGGACAAGTTTCAGATATTTCCTTATCAGCCATAGCCTTTCATTGTCCCAGACTAAAGCATTTGAATGTAGGCCGCATTAGGGACCATGAGCGGGTTTCGTATAAATCGATTTCATTAATGGCGAAGCATACACAGGTGACTGTTTTAGGACTAGCAGGATGTGATGTAGATGATTCTTGTATACAATCGCTGGCTAAACATTGTAATCAAGGACTTGAGCGTATATCCGTTAATAGCTGTTCAAAGATTACAAATGCTTCCATCTATGCTTGTATTCGTTATTGTCCCAACTTGTCTGTTTTTGAAATGAAAGAATGTCACAAGATAACAGATTGGGAAGCTGTAGCAGAACTAGTTCAGAGAAAAGTATTATTGACTTTATGTGAACAACAAAATAAGGCTTATATGGAATGGGCTCGAGCACGAGGTCGAAGACAAGAAGTTAAATCGCCTTTAAAATATTAACAAATTTATTTACACCCTCATTGTTTGTTCCTGCAAAAAAAAAAAAAAAAAAAAAAAAAAAAAAAAAAAAAAAAAAAAAATAATACCTCAGATCCCCTTATCATTCTTTGCATATTGATAATTTTCATATAAAAACAATATTATTGATCAAGGGATTAAAAAGGGGAATAATGACTATTTTTATTATGTAATGTTCTCCATGTGAGTTTTTTATTGGTAGTTTTTTTTTTGTTTTAAGGAACTGCATAAACAGTTTTTCTTTACTTTTCTTTTTTTTTTCCTTATCATGACTTTATTTTTGCTTTATATCATTTCTACATTTGCCATAATTAATCAGGCATATCAGATACAACATAAGCCCTTCTTTTCAAATAGCCGCAATCAACAGTTAAATACTTTGAAACTAAAAAGTGTTTATCATCGTACTCCATGTCTTTTTAGAAAATTAAATGTTGAAGACAATTTATCCATTCAAACAGAAATTTCGGTGAAAAGTAAACTTTCAATCATTAGCCGACCTAATGCCATTGATGTTGAAGAATTACTAAAGTTGAGAAATATATCATCAGGACAATTAGCTAGATGGACTAAAATCCGTAATGAAGTAAGACCGACCTATCTAGAGTCAGCCTTAGATCTTGTACCAGACGTTACTGATAGAGCCACCATACTAGCTTTAGCTATGATGACAAACAATGCTTATTTGGATATTAATTTGAATGATACAGAATGGTATGATATTGAGCCACCTTGGCAATTGGTAACAAGCAACAATGAATAATAACATAGTCAGATATACATATATATATACATATAGATATTCATGTTTATAATAGAATAATTCGTTTGGTTGGGATTCTGATGGTATTCGAGGCCATATTTTTGCTAATGACGACGATTCTTTGATTGTTATCAGTATAAAAGGTACAAGTGCAGGATTATGGACAGGTGGACCAACAGGAGAAAAAGATAAGCTTAATGTAAATGTGAGTATAACTTATTTTACTAGTTACTCACTGCTTTTCTTACAGGATAATATGTTGTTTTCTTGTTGTTGTGCAAGGATTAGTAGAGCTTGGACACCAGTATGTAATTGTTTTAAAGGAAACGAATACAAATGCGAATTGAGTTGTTTACAAAAGAATATCGACCAATCCGAATTATATTATGACCATGCACTGGTAAAGTATTTAGGCATGTATATATAATATATATATATATATATTTGACTAACAAAATTTCATAATAATATAGGATATATACAAAGATGTTTACGGGAAATATAAAACCAGTTCAATATGGATTACAGGTCATTCTTTAGGTGGTGCATTAGCTAGTTTAGTTGGACAAACATTTGGGGTTCCTGCTGTTACGTTTGAAATACCCGGAGATAGATTAGCATCCACTAGACTACATTTGCCACATAGTCCTGGTATTAATTTACCAATTTGGCATTTTGGTCATACAGCAGATCCTATCTTTGTTGGTGTATGCACAGTAAGATCTTTTATTTATTTATTTATTTATTTTTTGATATGATTGGATATATGATTTATAATATGTTACTAGGGTCCTTCTAGTAGTTGTTGGTATGGTGGATATGCTATGGAATCTCGTTGTCATACAGGTAAAGTATGTATTTGGGATACAGTAAAGGAAAATGGATGGAGAGTAGATATTAGGTTACATCGAATACATGATGTTATCGAAAATATCTTAAAACAACCTGATTCATTTCCTTTACCCCACTGTGTTGAAGAAGAAGATTGTGCAGATTGTGGCTTATGGGACTTTTATGATGAAAGAGATGTTCCATTCACCACTACTGACGCAACTCTAAACAGTAAAGCAACGATTCCTCCTATCATGAATTTATGACGAGCAAGTTAATAATAAATAAAGAAGAGCAAAAAAAATCATTTATTCATTTATAATGCTTAAAAATCAGACCCTGTTACTTTTAGCTGTAGTCTACGAAGTAGGATTTAAATTGACAGTTTACGTCGTTCATTCATATATGTATATAAAAAAAAGCGTGTTGCAGGTTCATAATGATAGTCACGCATCAAGCAAGCTGCATAATAAGAATTCAAAACCAGTTTTGCTTTCTCTCCTTTTCTTCTTCTTCTTCCTATTTTTATCTCATTAAAATGGAAACTAATAATACTTTAAATGTAAGCAAGCAACAAAATATAAAATCAACAATGAAATCAGATTTGGAGTCGAATGTGATTTTACTTGATTTTAAGGATGTAGATCAATTTGATTTTCAAAAAGTAATTCCGGATGATGATGTATGTAACTATTCTTCCTCAGATGAATTTGAAGATGCTTCAAGTACAAAAGTTGATAGCATAGAGAACTCGGATTTGCAGCAATACGGATCGTTACAAGGTATAAAAATATACAATAATGAGGATTGTCAAACCCCAAGCTTACCGAAACAAGTAAGTAGCAGTAACAGTAGCAGTAGCAATAGTCGTAGTAGTGACTCTTTCATAAAATCAACTCAAACACGACAAGATTCAATCGTTGAAAATAATAATAGTGCATTGCTAGTTAGTTATTATGATAAATTATTAGCTAAATTCACTTCAAGAAAAGGAAATCATAACTTTACTAAACAAATACAGTTAAAGGAGGAAACTAGTCATAATTTAGAATTATTAAAAGAAGAACAGCAGGAAGATGTAGATTGGGGTATAACTGTATATATTTATTTATTTATTTATTTACATCTATATGAGAACTTTTTACATATTAACTGTTTTCTTTTTATATGTATATATAAAGCATTTTGGACATCTGTTATATTTAATTTCAATCATGTCAACAAAACAGAACATACTAAGCTTCGTTTACAATTAAGTAACGGTATGCCACCTCAATTACGCGGTAAATTATGGAGAATATTTTCTGATTCTGAAACTGATAATGACTTGATCGAGAATGAATATCGTGAATTACTTGATAAGACAAGTCCATACGAAAAATTAATGAAGAGAGATGTCTCACGAGCATTTCCAAATTTACCTTTCTTTAAGGAAAAAGATGGACAGCAGATGCTATTTAATGTGATAAAGGCTTATAGTTTATTTGATCAAAATGTTGGTTATTGTCAGGGCATACATTTTGTTGTGGGCTGCCTTTTATTACATGTAATATATATGCATATAGAAAAGGAGAGGGGGGAGGGGAGGGAGGTAGAAAAAAAAGAGCGCGAGTCACTTATATATATATTACTAGATGCCCGATGAAGCTGCTTTTAGTGTACTTATTAAATTAATGACTCAATATGGATTAAGAGGACATTTTACGCCTCAAATGGAAACTTTACATGAACGAATGTATCAATTTAATCAACTCTTAAAGATGCATGTACCTCAAGTATTTCATCATTTAGATGCTCAAGGCGTATTACCTAGCATGTATGCTTCACAATGGTTTATGACTTTATTTGCTTATCGATGTCCTCTAGATTTAGTTTACCGGGTCTTTGATCTTCTATTTGTGGAGGGCTCTCAAGTCATTCTTCATTTTACTTTGGCTCTAATGAAAAAGAATCAGCAAACAATTTTAAGTCTAGAATTTGAAAACTTATTAGAATTCTTTTCTAATCATGTTTTTGATGTATACAAGGTATTATACAAAAAAAGTAGAAATGATTCATATAAACACATAGTACTTATTGTTATCATTATTTAGGATGATGCTTTCCAATTTGTTCAAGATGCATATACTTTCGACATTTCATTACGCTTATTATCTAAACTTTCAAAACAATATCAGGTTAAAGCAAAAAAGGAGGCTAAAATCCAGTCTATTGAAGATGATATAAAACGTGAAAATATTAAATTACAAAAGCAATTGACAGAGTTACAACACTCTTACAAGACATTGGAATTAGAGCATCAAGAGGTAGCACAACAGTTAATTCAAGCAAAGATAAATAGGGTGAATTTAGATGTTGAAAATCAACAGCTAAAACATGAATTATCAGTCATGAAGGTAAAAGTGGAGAAAATAAAGACATCTGTTAATGGTAAGCAGCAACAAAAGTTTGAGGAATTAGTGAAACAAAATGCATATCTTATCGAAACGAATACAATTCTTGAAGATAAATTATCTGAATTAGAAGTAGACCTTATTTAGATGATATTATAATGAATATAAAACAAGAATTGAATAAAGGCCTTATTTTTTTTTTAAAAAAAAAATTATCTGTCTATTTTATTATTATTATGATGATTTGGCTAAACCAATATCCTTTTCAATAAGCTGAGCAGCAATTGGATGGTAAAAGGACTTGTGCTTCAAATAAGTATCTTTAGCCAATTGAGCTCCATTCTTTGCTTGATGAAGAAGACGATAAAGAGGACGAACAAACTTCATACGACCTTGCTCAGTAATGAACTTGACAACCTCAGGATAGATTGGTTCATAACTTGTCATCAAACATAATTGCTGCCAACGAAGACGTAAATCTGCATTATGATTGGGAGTAAAGTTATAGAGCTCATCCATTTTTTTAATCAAATGATGTGGTAAAGGCTCAGTATCAGTTAATTTTTCCAAGAAAACAATCTTTTGACCGGCAGAAAAGTTTTCAATGTCCTTTGAAGAGAAAGAAGATAAGTCTTGATCTTCGCGAGCCTTGTCCCAACGCTTTGCAAGATCGATACAAGCATCAGCAAGTGTAGTATCAAAGTCAGGATCCACTGGTGGCATACCTGGCTTATTAATCCAAGCATCAAAATCAATTGTATTTAACTTTTCAATCATAGCAGGACCATGTGTCTTTTCCATATATTGGAATAAGAAATCTTTCCAATCTTGAGTAGAAATAGATTTAGAAGCGAAATGTTCAACATAGGCTTTCATATAAGGTTCAAAGATAGCAGGACCACCAACAACCTTTTCAATATGATATAAAAGATTGAAACCCTTTTCTATTATCAAGTAGTAATAATTCATTATTAAGATAATTCCTTAATAAAAGACTCTAATCAAAACGCTTACCATAAGGGACCTTTGAAAAAAAGTCATCTGGATCTGCACCATTACGAAGGTCAGGATTCAAGACTGTCTTGGGAGAATCCTTACCAAATAATTCAACACTTTCCTGTAACGCCTTAAGGCCTATATATATACATATGTATATATGTTATGATTAAAAAAAAAAACATTGAACTATACAAAACCGCATGTATATACGTACCACTTAAAGCTTCAAATTGTCTTGTAGCTTCACCATTAAGACGACCAAGAATTTTACGTTCAATAAAAACAGTCCATCCTTCGTTTAACCAATAATGTTTCTATTGTTATTTTGTAAGTAAATGATCAAATAAAATAGTAGATGCTAGGGATAAAGATAACTTACCCAAGAATTAGTGGTGACTAAATTACCCATCCAACTATGAGCAATCTCATGAGCAATTACATTGACAGCACTTTTATCCCCAGCCAACAATGTTGGAGTAACAAAGGTAAGACAAGGATTCTAGAATAGTAAACCAATGCATTTAATAAAAGAATTATTAGTATACAACTCAAAAAGGCATACTTACTTCCATGCCACCATAAGGAAAAGAAGGAGGAAGAACTAATAGATCATAACGACCCCATTCATAAGGAGTTAATAAAGCTTCACCAGTGGCCACAAATGATTCAGTATCCTATAAAATACTTAATATACATTCTCTTTCTTTATCTCTTTATATATATGCATATATCTTTAATGCTTATACTTTACAGAAAATTCCCAAGCAGCTTGTTCAATCATTTCAGGTTCACACCAAACAGTGCTACGAGGACCAATTTCACGACCTACTAAATTACCGACAGCAATAGCAATCAAGTAAGAAGGAATAGTGGTCTTTTGACTAAAGTGATATGTCTTGAAGCCATCAGTATCTTCATCGACACCAGTTAAAAGAGCAGACATAACAACAGGGAGACGAGATTTAACGGAAGCTGAATAAGTTACTTTGACGGAAGGTGAATCTTGACAAGGAATCATGGCACGACCGTGGATCTTGATTATAAATTATAATAATTAATACGGGACTATCTATACTTTCTATTATGTACTTACAGCCTCACTTTGAGAGAATAAATAAGGATGTTTACCACCAAGAGTTTGTCTATGTAGCAAAATAGATGTTAAAGAATAAACACATTTACAAAACATAATAAATTCATACTCAGGTGTTAAGAATTGAACAGCAGTACACTTTTCAGTTGTAGAATAATTAATTTTAATTTGAAAGTTTGTTCCTGCCTTTTCAACTTTAGGTAAATCGATTATCAAAGCAGATCCCAAGCTTGCATATCTTTCAGCTACTTGAAACTAAAAAAAAAAAAAAAAAAAAAAAAAAAAAAAAAAGAATGGAAGGTTAAGAAGCATGACAAATTGCTTAATTTTTATTAAAATTACATTCAACTTTTGCTCGCCAAAAGAAACTGATTCAATATCCAAATAACTAGTATCCAAAATAACTTTATCAACATCATCTATCAAAGTAACTAAATCTAAAACAACATTTCCGTAAATATTTTGATTGTCAAAATCAACATTCCAATTCAAGTGAACATGAGTTGTCTTGACTTGGTCGAGATTTGCCTGTGTGCTTAAATCAATAGTCGATGATGGGACACACATCTGGTATAAATAAAGTAAAGTGGAAAGAAAGAAAAGTAAAATAGCTGAAAAAACACGAAACATGATATAAATTTTTTTTTTTTTGGAAAAATTTATTTCATATACAAGAATTAAGCTTTCCTTTTTGAGAATAATTTCCCTTTTTTGTAAATGATGAAGCACCATTGATTATTAAAAAAAAAAAAGAAAAAGAAAAAAAAAATACATGCATACACATACATATTTTTTTGAGGCAATACAGTGAACGCAGCATCAAATTGCGGGTTTCTCCTCAAAAATCAAATCGCGGTTTTTTTGTGAAGCGAAAAGGATTTATATGATCATAAGGGTTCTTTATTTCTACACTTTTCGAATTGATTACAAGAGTGTTGTATAAAAGCTTTCACATGTTGAATAGGAACATTGTTGCATGCATCTGTAATCTTTGTCTTGAGATCTTCATCATCAGAAAACGTGCCCCTCTTGACCTTGTTCTTTACAACTAGACCAAAATTGCTCAATTGGGTTTTAGCTCAGGTGAATATGGGGGGAAGATATATGCTTCTATAGCCTCTTAAAGTGATCAATTCGTCAATATCACTATGTATATGAATAGGTGCATTGTCCATAACAATATAAAAGCCGTTCATAAAAAAAAAAAAAGAGGTAAGCATAAACAAAAGGTTAAAATATAAGTAGAGAAAAACTATCATGTGATTGGATAAAATATATAATGACTTTTTTTTTTTTTAATCCCGCACTTTGAATAATTATTTCCCACACTTTCATTTGGATTACGTGTTCTTTTCTTTCTATAACTTTTATTTTCTTATGACTGGATTGCAGACACTCTTAGAAGTTCGGACCAGAGTTAAGAGAGTAAGAGTTAAGTTTGCAGTTGTGGTGCTTTGTTGTCTTGTGACTGACCGCAGGAGCTCTCTCTACTGGATTGCCCAAGTCAGAGTCAGGACAATGTTGGATTGACGCTTTGGGATCTGGGGTGCTTTTCTTACCTTTTGACTGGATTGCAGACGCTCTTAGAAGCTCGGACCAGAGTTTTGGTTGGGAATGCAGTAGTGTCAATACTTCTAGTGCTTCAATCAACTGATGACTGGATCGCAGACGCTCTCAGAAGCTCGGACCAGAGTTCTTTTGATGACAATTGTAAGCTTGTTGGGATCTGGGGGTTGGGAATATACTGTCTTCACCTTCTCGTGGTTATTCCTGTCAGTAGAGGTTCTAGACCTTGAAGCTGAGAAAGACATCTTTTTATAAAGTCAGTGTTGATAAGATAAAGATAACAAAAGAATAAGACAGAATAAATCTGTGAAAACTTTGTATAAAGCTTTTATTATCAATAAAAAATTTAAAATAAAACTTAAAAACTTAATTTTTTTTAGAAGATGAGTGCAAGATGGATCCTAATTTATATCTTGTGGAGAACGGGTTACTTCGCGTCAGGAACAGAATGAAAGAATAATTTTTCATAGAATAATTAAAGTTACTGTGTTTGAGCTCTAGTCTTTGCCCTGACTGAGAATTCATCTCAGTTAACTCTAATAAATATTAAATTATTGGTGCTTGGTCTAGCCGGTTATTTTCCTTGAAACCAAATAATGAAATCTCGTATGCTTATACTTATGAAAGATATAGGGAAGATGCTTTGTATTATATTCATTCCTTACTATACTACTTGAATAAATGTCATTATATTGTATAGTGTATAGATAGTATATGATTATATTTATAAGTTAGTATATTAGACAATATTATAATAATAATGTGTATATATAACTAATAGGTATAATCTATAATTCATATATCTTTATACTATGTTTTGCTTATTATTATTTCGTAAAGTTAGTATTTATTATAATATTGTTTTTTCTCATCACAAGAATGTCTTATAAACTGAAATCAACTAATATTGTATGCATAAAGTGTACAACTAATAACTATAATATCATTCGGCCCTTCATGACTCTGATCTGTATATTATAATATATTATGTAATACATCATTATATATACACAGCAGCCAGTCTAGATGCCTGGTTTCTTGTTATTTGCTTGAAAACTTTATTTTGACAACGTTTATTATTATAGAAATACTACATAATCCTGATATAGACAAAAAGCTTACGGTAGCATTTTCTTAGTAAAAATTCTAAGTATAGTAATAGTTGTGCCGCTGCCAAGAAGTGTATTTATTAGGAAGAAGTCGATTTGGCGACAAAAGCCTGTTATCAGTATTAATAATATGATGTATGTAGATGATGTGTTACCATGTATGTTGGATCGAAATGCCTATCAATTGACACTAATTAAACATAACTTGATTAGCCCATTAATTCATTATAAATCGAATTGCTAGGAAAGTAAAGTTGATTAATAAACTCTTCATTGATTTTATAATTAATTTACAATATCAAACTATTGTTATTAAAAGCCTGTAAATATTATTTTAATAATATAGCATGTAGAAAAAAAAAACTGTGTATCTATAGTAATGACCTATATTGCCAGATTAGATTTTTTACAAAGATGAATTTTTAAAAATCGGGTTTTCTCATTTATCTCGAGCGATATTAGCATAAAACGACTCTTAACATTTTCAAAGCATATCAGATCTTTGTAAAGAAATTTTATAATATTTTCATGGCGTCTTCACTTCATTTAAAATCGAAAAAAAAAAGCATAGAATGGATCTTTGTTGTTTTTCTGCCCTTGAATGCGAACCTCATCAGGATTTCAGCAACAAGGTCACTAGTTGTAGGGTAAGTAACTAAATTGTAAATTAGCGAAGTTTTTTCTGATTGGCTTTTTTGAATAAAGATGATTTTATTGTGTTCCAAATGACCATCCTTTCGAATGTTTCGTTTTTCTTTGATAATAGACGTCAGTTACATCCCCTCTTTAATATATAGATTTTGCTTTCTTCTGCGTTAGTATCGTCTTATAGATCAACTATTTTTTGTCCAAGCTCGTTAGGAACACTTTCCTTTCAATAGTTGGACCACGGCTACGTTTTTCAACTTCTTCTTGCCCAACCCGTTTAACCCTAACAGGATCAATAACGTAAACTTGTTGGAATATATCGAGTCTTTTTGAAGATGTTACTGGAAATCCTCAGTACGATCGAATACTTCAACTGGCAATTTTTAACGTTTCTTGTAATTGCTTCTGCGTCGGCATCTCTATTTTACATAACAATCCACATATTACAAATACTAATACCTTGAAATTTGGTTCAATAACACAGTACATATCATCTTTGACATATCTTCTGAAGTGGAGTTTTCAGTATCATCATTGGAACATGCTTCGTTATTGATTGTTCATGTTCAGTTATTAATGCTTTAACTTGAGACAAGGCGTTTTATAGCGTGCCTCGAGCAGCTTTTGTTTGATACTTTCCTCAATGCTTTTGCCAGCAATATCATTTTTTAGAAAATTAAAAGAATGAGTTGCACAAAGAGCACTTTCTAATACATATAGTGCTCTTAATTATTGTTTCCTTTTGCCTTTAATAGTTCAAATAATAAAAAAAAGAAACAAAGAATAATGCTTATTAGTAAGTATTGGGTCTATACATACTTTTTTGTAAAAATTCTGAGCAAAAACTCAAGAAATCCGACTTAATAAAGAAAGACATTTGCTCCTCTGGCAAGAAGCCAACGTCTGAGTATGTATTGAAGATAAAGATCTTTGAGTAATCAAAGAGTGCGGCCTACAAGGAACATGTATACAGCCAGAAATGCCCGAAATCCCCCTTTTTTTTTCGCATGAAATACTATTATTCATATTTATAAGACAATGGTAAGTAAAACTATTGATGTAAAGGAGAAGGATATCAAATAAAATGATTCATAAAATAATGTAACTTTACATAAATAAATACATATACGATTAAGAATTATTTTATTTATAACAAAAAATTTTATAACAAAAATTTGAACAACCCATGTGAGCACATAATACTGGCGTATTGGATTGCCCGGGTCAGTTCGAGAAAGAATAAAAATGTACTAAAAAACCTTTTGATAGGCAAAAGGGTAAAAAAGAAAGAGAAGGGAAGAGGAAAAGCAAGATATATCAATAAATACTAGATTCAGAGTTACGTAGCTAGTTTACAAGTTTTGTACTAAGGGGGCAGTTTCTGGAGGAAGTTTGTCATGATGAAGATAGTCAAGTTCAAAAAGTATAAGGCACATAGAAGGCCAACGAATCGTCCAGGCGGAAAAGACAGATGAGTTGAAAGCTGATGAGATTGGTGGCCTGCGTTTTTGTTTATTTGGCAGCTTACTCAAGAGGAAGGACAAAGGGTCGGGTTCGGTCAAAGGCATCTGTAATCGTCGATGCATATGTAGACACCATATAGCATGGGATCTTGTGAACAATGCATTAGGATGATAGATGCACGGTTTAGGGGCACCACCAGGTAACCAACTTAGAAGCCAGCGGACTATTCGGTTGCGTTCTGCATTTGACATAGGTAACCAGAGGATAGGATCGATACCTAGGGTAGGACGGCAGGCAGACAAGAGAACGGCATTCTTACTGTTTCGTCGATCACCAAGATTATCTTTCAGGTATGCTTTACTGATACCAGCAAAAGCACGAGGATCATAAATATTATCGTCAAAAGAAGCAGTATACCGTTGCCAGATAGGTGTTTTCGAAAGCTTATACCATTGAGAATGGCTTGAAGAGGGGCGTATATGTGGTAAAAACTTGGAAACAAGAGTATCGTTCGGAGAGTAGATAGACCGAAGTAAGAATTTAGCTTGCAGGAGGTGAACACGTTCCTTCATTGTGGGCAGGTTGACCAAGTGCAACATAACTTTAGTTGAGGACCGAGTACTACCGCCAAAAATTTTTCGGATACATTGTGTTTGACATGCTTCTAATTTTGTGATTTGAGTAGCAGAGACCGAGTTAATAGCGAGGCCATATTCAAGCTGAGCACGTACTATTTGAATGTAAAAACGGACAGAGAGAAGCTGATCAAAACCTTTGTGATTGACACCGAGGGACGTCATTTGATTCATAGTTTGAAGCGCCTTATTAATATTGTTCTGCACTAATTCAGCTGTGTTCAAGAGACCACCAGAGCTAATAGAGATACCCAAGTAGGAAAAGGATGTCTGACGAGGTAGTGTAGTGCCATACAGAGAATAAGAACAACTATCAGAACTAGGAGCCAGTATAGCACATTTCAGTGGATTCCAGCGATAACCTAAGCGTTGACTATGCTCTTGTAAATTATTACACTATTTCCGGAAATTATTCGTTCATAAAAAAATAAAAATTTCGTTCACAAAAGAAAAAAAAATAGTTTACAAAAAGATTTTGAATTTCATTTGTTTTTAGTGAACGAAATAAGCAAAACATTAAACTATCTTTCGATTCAAGCAATCATTAAACTTATCAACAGAGTAGTGGCAGAAACCTTGAAAGTCACTGAGCAAAATATTGTTGTATGAATCTCGGATTCTTGATGTCATTGTCTCTTCCTCCAATAACTTTTTTCGCTTAAGTTTACTTTTGACTACTGACCAAAATTGTTCAATAGGGTTCAATTCGGGTGAGTAAGAAGGAAGATATATGCAACGATATCCACAACCTTCAATATACTTCTGTATATCTTCGTGCTTATGAATGGGGGCATTATCTATTACCAGATAATAGTCCTTAAATTCTGGATATAAGTCTATGGCATCTAAACAGCTAGCAATGAAGTTGAAATAATGACCAGTAACTGTGTCCCCTTTCGTTGCTTGTTTAGGAACAGGTTTACTTCCCTCTGCTTTTCTTTTTTTTATTTGGAGCCTGAATTTTTGGTCGTCTTACTCTAATATTAACTACGCCATGTGCACATATGGCACCTAGTATAGTTGTTGTTTTTGCCCTAGTTTTAGGCACAACAACTACAGCCCTTTTTCCTTTTCTAGACCAAGCTACTGATCTCTTCATGTTAATATGAAACGCAGCTTCATCTATGAAAACGCAATTGCTGAAATAATCCATATCAGTTTCAAGTATCTTTTTCACCCAGTGGTACCGCTCCTCAATTTTTTCAGGACTATTTCTTTCTATTGAGTGGAAATGAGCTCATTTAAGGGTGATATTGCATTTCTTGGTTACAAAGTTATGAACTGCTGATTTTTTTATTTCAATACCGGGGAATTGACTAGTGAGACTTTCTATCATTTCTTCCAATGTAGAAGATGACTTTTCGTCAATGAAATTGATCAGAAACTGTTTATGTTACTCTGTAAGAACAGGAGGTCTACCAGCTTTTCTACCACTTCCAGTTTGTCTCAGGCTCATTTCTTCATCCCCAGCAAGCTCGGCTTTCTTTTTCCAAGTTTGTGCTGTACTTTGAGGCACTTTTATTTCCTCAGCAGCGGCACGTACACTCATCCCTTTCTCATAAATAAGGTAAAAAAAGTAGCTTTTGACTTCAGGCTTATAAGTTCGGTATGTTTTTTTTATTTCCGTTATTATCTTTTTTTTTATTCGTCCTTCGTAACCACTTGTTCAATCTTGGCAGGTTTTTCAGGTGGCTTCAAGTCCAAGTACATGCCGTAATTAGTAACATCCTCAAGAGGATATTCTAATTCATCAACTTTCATCTCAAGAACTGCAACTTGTTCGCCTTCTTCATTGTGAAGGTTTCCTTTACCATCTTCATGTAAAAAATGGTCCATTGTTAAAAAAAATTTTTTTTCGAAAAATGAACGAGATTATTTCCTGCGAGTAACCAATTTTAAAATCTTTTTGTGAACGATTTTTTATTTTTTTCTAATAATTTTTTTTATTTTTTTTATGAACGAATAATTTCCGGGAATAGTGTATTAAACAAGGGAGAGAGGGATTTCACCGGTCAAATCGTCATTGCTATCATCGTCATCATCAATCAATTTTTTTCTCTTCCTGTCATCGAGCACTTTTATATTATTTTGCATAATATGTTTGCCGGTGTAGGCAAGTTCAAGCAAAGGGATAAAATCCACTGCAAAATTTTTTGTCTTGACAGGGTATATTAAACGAGAGGATCTTACAACTCTCGAAATCAAATTCCCGAAGGGCATGTCCACAACAAGAAGTTCCATGTGAAGACCTAATAGTAAACTATCATTTTAGCAAACTTTTTTTTTTTTTTGCCTTATAAAGTGGTTTAACATTAAATACTGTAACTTACCCATCATCAAATAGCCTACTGTACACAGACTATTAGCTTTATCAGGATTTACAAAAATTTGAGAAATCAACATGTCTCTTAATGTTTTCGGCAATTTTTTAAATCCGTCATTCAAATATTTATTATCAATTTTAGACACATCTCCTTTTCCAGCTTCACATGCCCCAAGTTTGGTATTGTCCGCGATGAATATGACATCTATTTTCGAGCCCATGGCTTTTCTCTCTCTGGGCGTGATTGCCTCCAAACTTCTTTTTTTATTTTTTTCCATGCTAGTTGCGATACTACAAGGCTCTCCAAGTTTAATAGTAATTTTACGATCTTTGAACAACTTGTAGACAAATTCCCATACTTCGTGCAGCATGTTTCCTTCCAAGTATTCCTTCAGGTTTAGTTGGTTTTGATGATAATAAAAAAGCTCACACGCTGATACAACACTCTGCTGTACCCATCTTTCGTTGAAATATTTACCAAGAGGAAATTTGCGCTCTAAGGCATGGTCATAGTAATCGCTCGCTGTTGTAAATTCTTCATTTTCAAATGATGACAAGTATGTTTGCAGTTCTTCTGGAATATCCACTCGTAATTTGGTATTGTAATTCTTCGCCTCTTTAAGCTCTTTTTTGGTGAAATAGGTATCCCAAACTGGGTCTGAAGTGTCAAAAATGTACGAGTGCACTGGGTGCTCGAATATAGAGTCGGTTGCTAAACGTAGCATGCATTCGCTGATTTTCTTCCCTGTTGATAGGGTGCCCTTATCTTTTTCTTCTATTTTATTATAAAATTCAATGACGAGCGCTTTTTCAGCTGAGGTTAAAACTCGATTCGAGGAGGCAGAGGAAGTTGAGGATTCTGATCTATGCTTATGTTGTTCTCTTGTTCGCTTTTCTTTAATTTCTGCTACGATGCTAGGCCAAATATTGTTGTTGTCGTCTTTTCCAACAGTATACTTCAAGTCGTTTGCAATCTTTTTGAACTTGGTCTTCCAGGAACCTCTAAAATCATTAAGATTCTGATTGTTGTATTTGTCAATTATAAATGTCTTCATGTCGATCAAGAAATCTTCATAAGTAACTGTGTTGACATCTTTTACAATGTTTATTAAAGAAGATGCAATCTCTAACGACGTAAGAAAGAAGAATTAGTTATCACTTGCTTTATTTTATTTAGCTACATTCGATTTTGCTTACCGTCATAGTACAAGGCTCTGTCTGACATTTCAGGTGAATGAGAAGTAGTGTATTTATAGGATGTAGAAATAAGTTTTTCGTATTGATAGTATATAGCAAGACTAATCGTGTGTTAGTCTGATTGACTTCTGATTGACTGGAAAGGGTTGGAACTTAGATTTGAGAAGTGAACGCTGTAAAGGACAACGATTAAGAAAGAATTGAAAAAGAAAAACGCATAACTGAAGTAACGAATTTGTATCAAATTTAAGCACAGACCAATTATTAAAGTTGTTCCTGAATTTACAATATTAAATGGACTTATTTGCTGTTCAAGTCTCTCAGTGTATACCATCACAGTATCATATGGTACAGTACAAATAAAAATGCTTTTATTATTGAACTTTTTAATACACATAAGCTTTCTTTTTTTCCGCGTCGTAAGGTCAACTGGTTTATGGTAATTTAAGTCTATTGATATAAAATTTGCAATAATCAAACTCGCTTACTATTTCATCATATGTGTATAAAGAACACACCAACTCAATAATCTTACAATGTTGGCTATCAGAAGCCCAATTGTAAATCAATTGAAAGGAAAATGTTTTTTTTTTTTTTTTTTTTTTTTTTTTTTTTTTTTTTTTTTTTAAAAAAAAAAAAAAACCAACAGCTTTTATTTACTATTTGAATCAAAATATAGAAGTGTTAAGTAGTTTATGACAAAGAGAAAAAGGTGTCGAGCTGCTCAGAGATTCAGTGAAAACTTAATTCACCAGTACTATTTTTAACACGTTTCTCTTCCAAAATTCTCAATGCCTCGTCTTTGCTATAGTTGTTATTGGTAATAAAGGCTTTAATTTTTTTTATGACCTTTTGACGGCGCTGATAAAACTATGACTCCTTTGAAGATCCTCTCCATTTCTTGACTCCGTATACTTTGTCAAGATCACAAACGGGGTGACAACCTGGAAGTCCGTCAAACCATATGCGCCAAAGAGTTGGCAAAGTTTCTGCATTTCTAAATACTTGTATCGTAAGGTCTAGAGCATGTGTATCATTTACACCGGACCCTGATTCTGAAGACAAGTGGTGGTGATGGTAATCTACTTGGGACGAAGCAGAGCTGGAAGGGAAAGAAAGGGATATTCGACTTGGCAGCTCTGCATCATTTTCAATTATTGATGAAGAAATATTCGTTGAAGGAACCTCCCCTAAAGAAATGCTCACCTCTTCTTGGTGCGAATCCTGTTGAGGAGAAACAGCAGAGGACGATTGTTCTGGTTGTTGTTACTGAGATTGGCTAGGTATGTTTAGCCGAACATTTAATGCAGCGCCCTTCGTTACTATCTGATTCCATTGCTGCATTATGGAGTGAGCCTCCGTATTTACGCGGAGAAAAGGCCCCAGATGCTTGAAAACAGAAGCAGTGAAGGCTTAGAAGGATTGCACAATCGCCGTCAATGACTGTACCTGATATTAGTCAATGTTGTTACTTGTGTTTTTAAGTCTTTCAGGTGGCTTTCAACGTGAGGCACAGCTCTTTGTAGCAAAAGATCAGAAGATTCTTCAGTAGTTTCAAGGGCATGATTTAAATCATTAGGAGTAAAGTATACAAAGTTTATAAGATTCCACTTAAATTTTGATTAATCAATTCATGTTTATGTACCTTTCAAACTGTAAGTATAATGGATCTTGAAACAAAGGATTATTTCAAAGAAGGTGATCGGGAAACTTTTTCTTCATAATTGCAGAATCTTGAAGAAAAATGATACGCAGTTGCGTTAAGAGTTGGAAAAATCCGTCTGCTGCTGCTGATGCTTATTTAGTTTCGTCTTTGTTAAGTTTTTCTACCCAATAATTCAGGCGAGGGAACACCTTTTTGTATAATTCTTCTGGAGGCAAAACTGTGACACGAACCAAATAATATTGACCAGCATCTTTTGTAAAGCCCGCTAAAATTCTCAAAGCTTCTGTTGGCAAATGGGTTAGATAGCTAGTTGTCCAAGCGGGGCTATTCCATCGGCCCAATCGACGGATTGCTGCTTCGCTAGTACCTAGCATTTCTGCCATCTGCCATTCTTGATCCAGACCCTCTCATTGCATGAGTTTTGGCATTGCTATGAAATCCCACTGCCTTGAATGCCTCTTTCATACAGTGGAGATGGTGATCATATGATATAGCTTTCTTGGGATTGAGTTTGAACCTAGTAAGTTTAAAATCAAACCAATCTCTGTTTTCATTAAATTCTGGGAAAGCTTCACCGGCAATGTGCCAACGATAGAAGAGATAGAAAGAGAGCATCATTTGGGGACAGATATAAACGTTTTTGTTGCGTAAACGACCAGCAAACTCTAGACGTCCTTCTTGGTTTGTTTTTCCTTGTTTGAGAACCATAACGAGAGCATGGCAAGGTGTGATAGCCTCGTTTTCAAGTAGCATTGCCTGTAGATCTGGAAACTCCATCATTCTAAGACTTTCTCCATGAAGTAACACAAAGTGCTGCAAAAGAAAAGTAAATCCATTTCTTCAGTCTTCTTGGGTTTTAGTCTCGAAATAATAATTGACAAGCTGTTCCATTTGAGCCGAAGTAGAATAACCGTCAGCTGCAGTGCCCACAGTACGAACAATATAGTTGTCACGACGGTGTTTTTGATGCTCGTACTGTAAACGACGTACAAATGTCTCAACTAATTTATCGCGAGAATGGGTGCGGGCACTTTAAGGATCAGCGAGTGATTGTTCGTTGTATAAGTCCACAATAGCCTCAATGTACATTTTGACAGTCGCGAGATCTCCATGTTTAACTGATGCAATTGATGAGAATCACATTCTAATAGCTCATTCGTTAAGTTGTTATCATTGAGTATCTCTGAAATGAGCTCCTCTGAATGAACCAAATCCGAATCGGCAGGTAATATTAGGCCATTTTCTATACTTGTTTTATTTGGGGCATCTTCGTCTGTAACAGCATCACCAACTTCTTCATTGATATTTCTATTTTTTCTCTTGGTTCCTTTTCTATTCCAAATCAGTAAAATATCAGTGTTTACATCAAAAGCAATTGTTATTTCATTTAATTATTATCGTACTTTTTGTATTCTCTATTGATGACCTATTTAAAATAGTAAGTGGGAAGGGTGATTGATCTAACTTATGGAAGACTGATTTACCTGAGTAACTAAAAAATAGTGTAACTTTTTATCATCTACTATCTCATTCAATGGACCTGAGGAACAGTATCTATGACACCAATGTATGAATTCTTTTTTTTTTTTTTTTTTTTTTTTTTTTTTGTTTGCTTTGTAGGATTTGGTAGTATTCTTTGATGTATCTTTTTTTCGCCTTCTCAACAGTATCTTGAGCAGCTGCTTCAACACCTTGGGCATAAGCATAATGCTGATTCATAGTATCAATGTGCTGAGAAGACACCAAAGGTAGTGCAACATAATTATTCTGATCATTGACAAAACCACTATTGCTGCCTGTGGCTATCATACGTGCACAATTATTGTAATCTATGATATGAAAACTTTTGATTAACGTCCCTTTTCAAATATCTCAAGAAACTTAGTTGATTTTAAGACTTTACTATTTCTATTCATTCTGATTAAATAATAGTAATTGAAGAGAAAGAGGAAGGAAAAATGACAGATTAGGAATTAATTTTATTAGGATTTAATTTGCTTTATTATTGGATTGTTTATAAGAATTCGCTATCATTATCTATTTTCAGGCCCGCTATAATTGTTATCCATTTTCAAATCCGCTATAGGCTGGCGACTCGAGTCGACGACTCAGCTAATTCCAAACATAGATAATCCCTAAATATTTTTTATTTATTAGTTTCTAAAAAGCATGTAATGATAAAATTTTCAAGCAAAATAAAATAAACAAAATGAACTATCTAGTCTAGACTGGCTTTATAAAAAGATGTCTTTCTCAGCTTCAAGGTCTAGAACCTCTACTGACAGGAATAACCACGAGAAGGTGAAGACAGTATATTCCCAACCCCCAGATCCCAACAAGCTTACAATTGTCATCAAAAGAACTCTGGTCCGAGCTTCTGAGAGCGTCTGCGATCCAGTCATCAGTTGATTGAAGCACTAGAAGTATTGACACTACTGCATTCCCAACCAAAACTCTGGTCCGAGCTTCTAAGAGCGTCTGCAATCCAGTCAAAAGGTAAGAAAAGCACCCCAGATCCCAAAGCGTCAATCCAACATTGTCCTGACTCTGACTTGGGCAATCCAGTAGAGAGAGCTCCTGCGGTCAGTCACAAGACAACAAAGCACCACAACTGCAAACTTAACTCTTACTCTCTTAACTCTGGTCCGAACTTCTAAGAGTGTCTGCAATCCAGTCATAAGAAAATAAAAGTTATAGAAAGAAAAGAACACGTAATCCAAATGAAAGTGTGGGAAATAATTATTCAAAGTGCGGGATTAAAAAAAAAAAAAGTCATTATATATTTTATCCAATCACATGATAGTTTTTCTCTACTTATATTTTAACCTTTTGTTTATGCTTACCTCTTTTTTTTTTTTTATGAACGGCTTTTATATTGTTATGGACAATGCACCTATTCATATACATAGTGATATTGACGAATTGATCACTTTAAGAGGCTATAGAAGCATATATCTTCCCCCCATATTCACCTGAGCTAAAACCCAATTGAGCAATTTTGGTCTAGTTGTAAAGAACAAGGTCAAGAGGGGCACGTTTTCTGATGATGAAGATCTCAAGACAAAGATTACAGATGCATGCAACAATGTTCCTATTCAACATGTGAAAGCTTTTATACAACACTCTTGTAATCAATTCGAAAAGTGTAGAAATAAAGAACCCTTATGATCATATAAATCCTTTTCGCTTCACAAAAAAACCGCGATTTGATTTTTGAGGAGAAACCCGCAAACGGAGTATTGAAAAAGCCGCACTTTGAATAATTATTTCCCGCAATTTGATGCTGCGTTCACTGTATATACTTCTTAAGAATAAATGATTGCGTTCTGTTGCTCCCAATTGTAGATTACACCTGCTTGTATGAAGCTGAATTCAAGCAAGCAAGTAAGGAAGTGAATGCCTAGTTTTCTTTCCACAACATTCCACTATATCATTTAAAGTAGGAATAGGTGTATTATATATTACTGCATGATGGTCCTTTATTTTAGGGAAACCTTCTCAACTTGTTTAAAATTCCTTCAACAAAATTAATAGAATAACCTGTAATAGGGCAGATAGTTTGATTTTGTTTTTTTCCGGGCCTTATTCAAAATATATATGTATATAGATCTATATATACATATTTATATATATAACTGGCAAAGTAATAGGTGGGATTGACATTAATCTTAAATATAGATTATATAAGAAATAAATATAATAAGGAAAAACGAATATAAATTACTCTCGTCAATTATTCGTATTCTAAAGTTAGAATATTATCTATAAAAATCATCTCAGATAAAGGCGTCATTAACGTCTACCTGTAGAAATCAACATTAGTCCTACATAAAAGAAATTTTAACCCTTTATTATGATTATGCAAGACCAGCATCATATCTATTTTCCCAAAAGGCTTGTCGAGTATATAAAATACCGAGTAAAGGAGGACCTATGAACATACCAATCCAAAAGATAACATTACCTAGAGTTGGATTATTTTTAATGAAAGGCTGGCGTCCTAAATTGATTAAAGGAATTTGCGACATTTGTAAGCAAAATAAATACATTCTTAATTTTCTTGTTATAATGACCATGACCAATTCATGAAGACAGGAAGAAAATAAGAAAGTTAAAAAAGAAGCGCTTTGTTTTGATATCTTGTAATTGTCCATAGAGATAGCATATACGTGTCTTAACAGCCAATGATGTACTGGTTTATTCCATTTACGAGCATATTCATCAAAGGTGACACTAGAAAGGAGAATATTGATTATTGTTACAAAATAAAATGCAAATATAGAATTATACCTATTCCACCAGTCATCATAAAAATTTCTATCAGCAAATTTAGTAATTTCAGCAAACCAGTTAAGAATACATTCAAAGATAATATAGAACAGGAACATATAATTCATCATGAATGGAAATAAGACTTCTAATACAACGCGTATATCCGACATATTTGGATTATATAATTGAGGATAAATATATCTTTCAGTAGTAATGTATAGCAATAGAAACGTGCCAATAATGGCCGTTGTTTTCTCGAGTAAATATTTAGGCCTGATTCTATTATGTATGCTATCTTAGTAAATATATATATATATATATATATTTATATGAACAGTAGGAAATAGAACTTACCTGTCAATCCTCGGATATTCTAAACAATAAATTAAGGTTGGTACAGCTAGATAGTCTACATAATTCATTATAGTTAAATTTTCTGGATAATGAGTTTTGCCATGCGTAAGCTCTTCATTTAAAAACTTTATCTCAGATTCCATATTAGCTAACTCAGATTGATCTTTAAGAGAGTAACCCCTGCTATTCTCATCTCCTGCTGCTGTCTCTCGATCCTTAACCCATTTGGGTATCTTTTCCTTCAAGGAAATGAGTCTCCTGTACTTTGTCGCTAAATCACCATTCAGTTCTATATAAGAATGCATTTTCATCATCATCACTATTGTATGCAAAGTGAAAAACGTGGTTTGTGTCATCGGCCATTTTCTATATAAACACTAATTATTATCCTCTATCATCATCATCATCAGGGTTTTATTAATAATGCTCTTTTTATACCTCCAAAAGACCCAATATATATTACTGAACAAGAAAGCTGTCTGTAACGAATGTTGAAGAATGATACCAACTGGTTTACGTTTAATATAACCTTTCATCATCAACAATGCAAAAGGAATAACAAGAAAGGTTTGACTGATCATAAGGATATCTGCGATAAATAAAGCAACTGTATCTTTTGACATAAGCCTGAAAAAGCTTAAACTAAGTACAACGCCGTCTTGTTCATAACATCGAACTAATGTTAAAATCGTATAGAACCCCATAGCAATCCAAAATAATGTATAAAATCCTCTAAATGTATCTTTACTAGTCTCTGGATTTGTCGTATCAAAAGAGGACTGTCTTGCTTTAAAAGCAAGCCTATGTAATCGTTTAAAAGATTTTGATATTATTACTTCATCTTTTTTTTCATTTATGCTTAGTTTTGATGGTTTAATTGCTTCTCTTTCTTTAATAGCAAAGATACTGGTTTTTGAAACCACCATCTTTTTAATAGAGAGAGAGAGGGAGAAAAAGAAGAAAGTTAAAAGTTTTATTTAAAAAAAATAAATAAATAAAATAAAATAAAATAAAATAAAATAAAATAAAATAAAATAAAATAAAATAAAAATAAAAATAAAAGTTTATCAGATTAAATATGCCATTGTTAACCGCTCTTTAAAAGAACATTATGATAAATAGTAAGGTAGATGATTTTTAAAATTCCTCTCTTCTTTTCCCATAAAATGTGATAAATGTTTAACGTGCGAGTTTTTTGTTCCTTCTATAATGTGATATTATTTATTTTCCTGATAAAGAATTTGTACCTTTTTTTTTAATACGTTTCTCATAAGAAGCATATGATTTTTCTGTTTAAATTTATCATTCAAATATTAATAGTTTCCTTTTTAGAAGCTGTTTAACTCATATTTGTCTTCATGCCTTTTAATGTAAAATATTGAAATAAATAGGAAGTCGTTGTTGTATGGATACAAAATACACTAAAATGAACTGAATTTAAACCCGCTGCTGTCAAATTTTTTTTTTTAAAAAAAAAATGGCTTACAACTTTCATGATTTCATATATTGAATATTTTTTTTTCTCTTTTTTTTTTCTGATTCATCTACATAATAATTCCTCGATCGATTTCATTATTACTTTTTTAGAATGCTTTTATCTGAATTAAATAATGAGTTACTTGTTTCAGTTGCTGGACATCTTTCTCAAGATGATTTAAGATCATTTTCACAAGTGTGTCATAAATTTGCACTCATAGCTCATAGCGATGTTGTTTGGAAAGAGAAATTATATAATGAATTTGGAATTACTTATAAGCTTCCTACAGAAGGATGGAAAGATATGTATGCTCGTAAAACAGAAGATCCACAAAATTGTAAAATGTGTCCTCATATTGGTCTCGTAACAGGTAAAACATTGGAACCTTACGCCGTAAGATATCAGCAAGTCTTGAATTGGTTACCTCAAAATTTGAATTGTAGTACCTGTCGTACAAATTGTAAAGACACTGGATTATGTCTATATATTTGGAAAGGAAATGTGAGAAATCGTAAGTGAAAAAAAAGGGGGGAGGGTTAATATTACTTTTACTGACCTCTTTTTTTTTTTTTTTTTTTTTTTTTTCTTAGGTTGTAAAGATTGTGCATATAGCTATCATAAAGCTGTAGATGGACATGGTATCTTATTTCGTATGAATGTTTTACAAATGTTTTGTTTTGACTGTAATAGATTGGTAAAGCTTATAAAATGAAATAAATTACTTTATAGACTAAAGGTTTTAATTAAATAGCTTGGTGAGACGCGAGGTGATTTAAGTGAAGCGCATTATGTAAATATTTTACTAGAAACAATTACACATGATAGTGAAAAAGGTAAAGAAGCAATGCGTCAAAGACAACAATGTATAGATGAACGATTACTTTATTCGGAACATGCTGATCGAGCCTCTGTTGTTGCTAACGGAAAATATTACTTTATTGAAAGATTATGGTTAATTTCATGGTTCTTACGTTTATGTGATGGTAAAATTGGAGTTGGACCTATTTCAAACCATGAATTAGAAGATCCTGAAAGAGAAGGTAAAATGAATCCTGCTTCAAGGCCACGTGGTAATTTTAAGGGTGGATTTTCTATTGTTACCCCATTTTTATGGGATTATTTAGTCAAGACCTATGGGTTATCGGGCAATACTTATAGTTCAGGTAATAAAAGATAAGAAAGAAAAAGGACATGCGGTACTAATCATGTTAATAATAGAGGATGTAACTGGACCAGAATACTTTGGCTTAAATGAAGCCATTACTAACTGGAGATTAAATTAGATGTGTGTGTATATATTTTACTTTTTTGTTTATTTATGTAATCAATATCAGAAAGAAAAGAGGATATTTATACAATTTCTTTTCTGACCTATAAAAATCAATGTATTTCTAAGAAGGTAAAAATACGACTCAACATTAAAATAGATGTAGATTGAGTATAATACGTGTGTTTCTTTTTTCTCTTGTTTTTTGAACTTGTACTGCAGTAAGAGAATACTGACTTGACAGCTATTTTGTATAATATCACTGCAGATAAAGTACTAGTTTCACCATAATGAAAGTAGTACATTCACCAACAATTCACCATGGTGAAACTAGTACTTTATCTGCAGTGCTAATTATTCCTGACACAGCTTTTGTCTGGCCCGAATGTATTTCATATATTCATGTGGTTTATTTTCATAAATTCTAAAATAAAATAGCATAGTCAACGCGCGCACTGCAATCATTTGAGTATATTTTTCACAGGATATAATCAAGAAATAGACAAATTCTGTACTTTTTATGCAATATACACATAGGTTTTGAACATTTCTTGTGCTTTTTTCTACAGGATATACATAGGGTCTATACATTTCCTGTGCTGGTTTTCATAGGGTATATACATATTTTGTTTAAATCCTGTGCTTTATAATTGGTTTTCATCTGCTAATAATTTACATACCATGTTGTTTTTCATTGGCTTTATGCTTCATGACTCATCAAAACATAGTTATACATTATTGGGTTATATAGTTGGTATTTTATTCCCTTTTAAGCTTTATTGATATTAAATAGGCTTCTTTATTGCCTTTTCTTTATTGGACATTATTAAATACTGTTATGATTGTAGTCGTCTTTACAACTAAGTTAATAGAAATAAACCATCATTTATTACATAATAAAGAGGTTATTCAAATAAAACTAGTGTATTGTACTTCACAGCATAATATTCATTCTACAACATTCAGTTTTAATAATAGTCATTGTTAGAGTATTCGAGCATAATAAGAGTTCAATAGGATTATGATTGTTATATTCAATTACATAATTATTTATACAAGTCATATATACTAATTATATACATCTATAATATCGAATATTGTTATGTAATAACATCTTAGAGGATGATAATAGCAACAGTGGCATATAAATAATTGGTATTGTTATAGCTGGAATATTCACTGTGAATTAATATGAACGCGTCGCTTACTCCAGAAATAATAATTTACAACAGCGACGGCTCAGGGAGAATGAAGATAAAAATATATCCTATTACAAGCAGGATTATTTGGAGACAATGTCTATACATAATATTTTATTATACCAGTATTTACTTACCCAAATCATACTTCTATTAATATCATTTACCTTGCAAAAAAAAAAAAAAAAAAAAAAAAAAAAAAAAAAAACATATAAATAGCCATTGCCATTTTTCCGTGTTATTTTTCTTCTAATAAACTATATAGAGTTTTCACAGACTTGTCTTTTCTTTTTCCTCTTTCCTTATCTTTTGTACTCAAAACAATCTTATTCTACTATGAATAAAGAAGCTTATTTGATGCCAGATTGAGACAGAAAATGATAAGATTTTATGGAAATTGTCAAAATAATTACCTCCATTAGGGTTCTATTGCACCTTACCCAACTCCCACTATACTACTACAACGTAAAAGTAGCATGCTACAAGCTCATTTTATTTTCCAACCTCTTGCTCTTCAAGAAGATACATTATTTGCAAAACTAGTAGTTTATCTCCAATATTTTGAAAACTGCTCACAACGATTTGAATTCAACAAAATACCTATTTAGAAACAATATATTCCCCTTCTACTAAAAGCTTTGGCACACACCTTTTTTTTTTTTTTTTTTTTTTTTTTTTTTTTTTTTTTTTTAAAAAAAAATATGTATCTAATTTCCTCTATGACCTAATTTAAATGGAAGATGCTCTGCTGGTAATTCGAAGTGTTTATCCACCTACTGTGATGCAATAATAAGTAATCCTATCCTTTAGTTGCCTATGATATGTTTCGATCAAGCTCGTTATATCCATTGACAACATATTTGGTTACATTGCAATCATTCACTATGTTACTCTTTTCATTCTAATCAACTACTTGATAAGTCTTATTCAATATATTGTCTCTGTATATATCATAGCCCGAATAATCCTCTTTTTCTTCCTCCTAAATAAGCTTGCATCCAGGGAAAAAAAAAAAAGTACGATAAAGTTATAATTTGTTTACATGTAGAAAATGACATATATGTATTCCTTCATCTACAATGCTTTGAATAGCAATAACAATAATTAATCATTTATAATTTAAAATAATTCATTACATTGACTCGATAAAAATTACATTTTGAGAAATAATATTAATAAAACATAATAAATTCTTTCATTGAATCTTCCAGTAATATATATTTACTAAAGAAAAAGAGATTAACACATTTCTAAAGCTAGCTTGTGACAATTCATATATTTCTTCTTCTTCCTCCCTTCTCTAAATAATAGATAAATATCACAAATAATTTAAAAAGATGAAAAAAAAAAGGCTATTGTCTAAACAGATTACTGAAAACAATTTCAAATGTACAAATCTGTTATCGATATACAAAGTGAGTACATTAATTCTTTCATGTTATCATTATTTTCAAATAATGATTTATTTGAAGGGATAATAAAAAGCAAAGAAAAAAGAAATGTTGTTTCCTTTCTTTTTTTTTAATTATAGTAAAACTGATTATTGATAAGTTGTTTAATCGAAAAGACCGAAACCCATATCCTATAAAAAATATTATTTAATTACCACTTCTCATTTTTTTTTTCTTTTTTAGTTCAATACTTACTTCATCAGATTCTTCCTTCTCTTCTTCCTTAGCTTCTTCAGCAGGAGCATCAGTAGCAGCAGCAGCAGCACCACCAGCAGCAGCAACAGCACCACCGGTAGGGACAGAGGACATCTTTTCCTTACCTTCAGCAATGAGCTAAATTATTTATTTTTTTAAAAATAAAATAAAATAAAATTATTCAATTAGCATTAAAAAAGAAAACAGTGATTCTTCTTATTTTACCTCATCAACATTCTTACCCTCAAGGGCAGAAATCAAAGAAGTCAAACGTTCTTCTTCAGCTTCAACACCAACAGAGGCCATAAGAGTCTTGATATCATCAGCAGTAGGGGCGGTCTTGCCACCAGCAACAAGAAGAAGGTAAGAGGCGAGATACTTCATGATCACTAATTTACAAAGTATTAAAGAGGAGGAGCTTTCAAAATTGAGGCACGTTTGAGAAATATGGATAAAAAAAATTTTTTTGTGACTTTTTACTCCTTCAATGTCATTGATTGGACAGTATTTTAATTCATGTAATTATCGTGTTCATGCATTCCATAATAGATCATAAAATACAAATATATCAATTATTAAGTCTACATGTATAAGCTATACTTCCATTTCTCTTTCTTTTTTTTTTATATATATAACTTAAGAACGCTTGTAACGCAAACCTAATTATTCAATGTTGATATTTGATTAATTTACTATCACTGCAGATAAAGTACTAGTTTCACCATGGTGAAATGTTGGTGAATGTACTACTTTCAATATGGTTTCATTATGGTGAAACTAGTACTTTATCTGCAGTGCCAGCATTTTTGTCTCACTTCAAAATCAAGTTCGTTCACTATTTTTTGAGGAGAGAAAAATAAAGTACAATTAACGCATCTTAATCTACTAAATTAACTTAAAATGAATAACGTTCAGTACATCCATCTTCTCTATAACTGTAATATTTGTAAAATAAATTTTGAGAAAAAAGCAAATTTAAGGCGTCATTACATAGAATATGAAAGTAAGAACTTTAATGCCTTTACTCAAGACAATACTGTAATCTAAACGATTTAATATATTAGATATCAAGGTACCTGACTCAAACAGTCGTCAATATAACAAGAAACAGTTAGTACTATTTAAATATGTCTTTCATTTCAATCAACTAATAACGTTTTTTTTTTAGTGTAAAATTCATATCAAAAAACCAGAGAAACAGATTTGTATGTTTAGATAACACATTCTGCTTCAATTAATTAACCAAACAAATTCTTAGGAAACCTTTACTGAACAATATGCTTGTATTTGCTGTAATGTTTACAAGGAAGATTTAAATGAACTAGGCAAACACTTACTTAGTACACGCGGTAAGTAATTACGTTAAGCTTATTATACTCATGAAACACTACTAACGCAAAATGTTTTATTCAGTGCCTTGTAAACACCCAACAATCGAATCAGCTTTTAATAAGCTTGATGAAGAAAAGAAATGGAAACTCTCAGCGGGTAAAATCGTTGAAGACGCTTTGTACGTATTTGGTGAGCAATGTCTTGTGGACCACCCAGCTTGTTCTATGATTTTAGATTTGGAAGACAAAACTTACTTGAAAGAATGTGTGTTTACAGAAGCAGAGATCGAGGAGATTAAAAAAAAAAAGAATTCTATTCAATTCATCAGCCATATACCTGAAAAACTTGCGACTTATATAAATGCATTCAATCTTACAAATACTCAAAATCTAAGAGATGAGCTCTTAAAAGCGCAGGATTGGAAAAGCAATTATAGTATTAATAAGGACTATGATTTGGATTGGGTCAAGCACACTATCTATTCCTTTGTAAGACTGTATGAATCAGGAAATTTGAAAACTGTTCATAAGGAAGCATGGTGTAATACGCGTGTGTGGTCCTTGATCGATACTATATTCGATGATTTTGAAAGTTTACAAGTTGTGCGGTAAGTCTACAATAAAAAATTATGTACAACAATCGATATTAAATTGCATTATATATTGAAGTGGGGAAGCCTCTAGTGCAGCAACCACTAAGCGGAAAAACGTTGACAGAGTGATTGATTCGGAAGACAAAATCGCTCGATCCAGCGTAGGGTACAAGTGCAACTTAATTATACGAGAAAGTAAAGTGCAACATGAACATGCTTACGAGTATTGTGTCGGTGGAACCGCAATTCAGTATCAAAATACCAAGACACTTTAAGAAAAGATGTTAAAGCTGCCGAAGACCATGAAAGACATGCTTGATGATCTTATAAAGTACAACAAAAACGATCATACCAACCTTACTGTATTTGGAATCTATTATGCTGGACTATCCTTGACTCTCTTAGCAGCTGATAGGCCATCAACGTATATTACCAGAATTACTCGCTTAAAAGAGCACCATATTGCTAGTGATGTAGCTTTTTTTGGTAGTACCATCTTGCCCTTGTTGGTGCTGATATGACAGGTTAAACAACAGATTATTAAAGTAAAAAAGTACATATTATCAAATCAAATGCAACTTAATACAAGTAACAATAGTGATTAGCTGCAGAGCTGTCTATAGCAAAATGCAGATATTGTCATGCCTACCACATCTACTTCAGAGGAATTCGTAAATAAGAAGTACAAGGCTGATAATTAAATACAACAAGCTATCGATAACCCTTTTCCATTCAAATGTTTACAAATCCTTTTCGAAGCTCATCTTCAAATTTCTCTATATCATAAATATTTTTTATTATATTTTCGATTTTTAATATCAAACAGTGTTGTTACTTTAATTATTCCAAATATTGCTATTAAAATCTCTTTGGTTATTGAAAGCCGTTTATAAGAGAAACTGTGCCAAAGTTAACAGGTCCAAATAAAAGATGACTTTGTTAATCTTTACAAAACGTTTGTGTTTTATTTCATAAAAACACAATCGGGCAATAGAATATATTAATGAGTCACGGGTCTTTTCCTTGCTTGAGCTTCAACTGATCATCGATTATACAACCGAATCCTGATCTGTTTCTATATCTTGACTATAAAACTTACACAAGTTTTCCTCAAAGCAAAGTAGTAATAAATCATATCATTTGTAAAGTGATATCAGTGTTGAACACTTACACCGACCTCTGTTCTCAATCTAGATCACGTATCGAAAATAACTGACATGTACATAAGTCTAACTGCATATAACAAAAGTAACATTCAACGCTTTGTTAATGTTTTTCTTATATGATTGAATAAACGTGTAGCAACTGGATGTAATTTACCGATCTTAGATTCCTCAATGTTATAGAACAAGCTCTGGATATAAGCATAAGTAATATTATAATAGATGAATTACATAATACAGGATAAACTATAAGCCTGAACATAAAATAAAAGATATCATATCTTACTGTATATAACATCTTATAAATCATATAATATAAACTCTATTGACATCCAATCATCTAAATATGTCAGCTATAAGATATTGTATCATTTCTAAATATTTATTTTTATAACCTTAATAAAGGGTTCAAGTCGTCTTTGATCCACTGAAATAGACATCAGGAACATAAACTCAAATCAAACAATAAATTTCTAATTTAAAACCTTAATTAAATTATCATAATACCCAATAGACAATCCATTGATCAGTCTCTTGAATTAACATAATGTATATTTGAACACTAACACTGTTTCATGACTTATCTTTTCGACAGCTATTTTTATTTCTTTGATTAGGGATTTATTAGTATAAATACAAGCAGTTGTATAGACACAAAATAATCTTTAATCTTCAATTCTTATATTTTATTTTTCTTTACATTGAATAAACAAGTCTCAAACTATACTTCTTTTCTCTTTTTTCTTTTTATTTTCCTTTATTTTATTACATACTATTATAGCTCCCACCATCCTAATCTTGTTCCAATCATGTTGGGACTGGTCTTATACACCACTATCATGGCGAGTGGCACAGGTAATTTCTATCCACACAAAAAACAGTCCAACAGATCCAGCCAAAATTTGACCGATTAGTCTAACATCTACTTTTAGAAAGTTGTTTGAAAAATACAGATATCATGAACTCACTTACACTAGCCCTCTATTAGACACAACACAAGGAGGTTTTCGTGAAGTTTGTAGCTCTCCTGACCAGGTCTTATGCCTCACAGAACTCTGTCATATTCTACGTCAATACCATCACTTCAAACCGACGCTAATTTTTCTTGATATTAAATCGGCATACGATACAGTAGATCGATCTCACAAATGGCAGGAACTGCAACCGTTCGTACAACTCGCAGTGCTTGGTATACCTAGTGGTATACCTCGTTCATGTCCCTACCATCCTTCTCAAACGTTCAGTCATACTTATTCTATTGAGTGTCTACATATGCACCATCGACTCCAAATTCCAAGAACGGTCACAGACCCACTCTTCTTCCTGCTAAAACACTCACAGGATGTGACTCCTCGTACAATATGTTGGCCAGCTATTTGTATCACTCTACATTAAATGGATTACCTCTTTCATGAAAAGCTACCTCCAGATCCTCCCTCAGAACCCGGTGCACTACTGGTGAAATGGTTACTCAACTAACAGTGCTAATATCCTTGTACTGTCTCTGAATTTTATCTTACTGATCTTTTTTTTTTTTTTTCCAATTACTTTGTTCCCCTTCAACTCATTATATTTATTTTATATTTTACACATATACTTTTATCCTTTTCCCTTTTGTCTCATAAGAGGTTTTTTCTTACTTATATACTATTAGAACTGGTTAAAGCAATACAGCAGATGAAAAATGCTAGGTACTCATTTGGTCAAAAAAAAAAAAAAAAAAAAATAAAATAAAATAAAAAAAAAATAATAATAATTCCATTTTTAAACGTATGCAGGCAATTTTGACATTTTTCAAATATCGGGACTTCGAATAGTCACAGAAAAACTTGTAATAATAATGCAGAAAAAGTTGCGCGTCCACCTTATTTCATTTTAATCTTTTATTAATTTTATATCCATAAAAATGGCATTTACGCCTTATAAATTAGAATCAACACTAAAAAGTCACGAACAAGATGTAACAAACCTCTTCACTTTTTTTTTTTGTTTTTTTGAACAAATTGAGAATTTAACTTAATTATTTCGTTCTCTAGGTCAAAGCTGTAGTTGCTTTATCAAATGATACCATCATCTCAGCATCTCGTGATAAAACCGTTCGTTCTTGGATACGTACTGGTTCAAACGCATTTTCACCCGAACATATTTATTTAGGACATGGTCATTTTGTAAACGCATTAGCAATCATTAAGCCTAATCAGACTTATCCTCAAGGTAATGTATTTATTTAATGGTTAATTAAAAACTTAACTAAAGAAAGCTTTTCCCATTTTTACTTATAGGTCTTATTGTATCGGGTGGTTCTGACAAATACATTCATGTATATGATCCTAATCAACCTTCTGAGCCTCGTTTTATTTTGATTGGCCACACTGAGAATGTGTGCGCTTTAGCAACTACTCCTTCAGGGCATATTATATCCGGTTCATGGGATAAGTAAAGTTGAAGATAATGAACAAATTAAGAAACAACATATTTACTTTTTTTTTTTTAAAAAAAAAATAGTAAAATAATTGTGTGGAAGGAATTTCAACAAGCATATGTTCTTGAAGGCCATTCTGCTGCGATATGGGCTGTACTTGCTATTGATGATGACTTAATTTTGACAGGTAAATACTTTTATTTTAAATTTTAAAGAAATAAAAACTATATACTCATGATTATGAATATTCTTGAAGCTTCTGCTGATAAGACAATCCGTTTGTGGAAAAATGGTAAATTAGTACATGTTTATCAGGGTCATACACAGGCTGTTAGAGGGCTTGCATTGGTGCCTGGGATTGGATTTGTATCATGTTCTAATGATGGGTAAAAAAATAATAATATAAAAAGACTAGTATAGCATTATTCCTGTTAAAATATGAGTTATCATTTAGAACGCTTCGAGTTTGGACATTAGAGGGAGAATGTATTCAACAATTGGATGGTCATACATCTTTTGTTTATTCAGTCAACCTTTTAAGTACAGGTGAGTTTGTCTCATCTGGTGAGGATCGCACAGTTCGCATTTGGAAAGGTATATACATATATAGAGTAAAAATGCAGATGTTTGATACACTAAAAAAATAAAAAATAAAATGTATATGCATATAAGATGGTCAATGTGTTCAAACCCTTCAACAACCTTGTATTTCTGTATGGACGGTTTCAGTTTCACCAAATGATGATATTGTTGTAGGTGGTAGTGATGCTACGATACGAGTATATACCAAAGATCCTGAGCGTATGGCATCTCCTGAGGCATTGAAGGTAACTTAAAGATTTAAATTCATACAATAACATCTTACACTTTTATTTTATTAAAGGAATTTGATGAGCTATTAGCCAGTCAGGCTATCCCTTCGTAAGTAAAATTAAATAATGATAATATACATATTTTTACTAACAAAAAATAAAATAAAATAGAAATCAAATTGGTGATTTAAATAAAGAAAAATTACCCGGGCCTGAAGCATTAAACAAGTCTGGAAGCAAAGAAGGACAAGTTATTATGGTCAATATGGGTTCTACAGTGGAAGCTCATCAATGGAGTATGCAGAGTCAGAGCTGGCAAAAAATTGGTGAAGTTGTAGGTAGTAGTGGATCTTCTAAGCAAACATATGAAGGAAAAGAATATGATTATGTATTTGATATTGATGTTGGTGAAGGACCTAATGGAAAACTCAAGCTTCCTTATAATGTAACTCGTAAAGTATATCATTAATTGATTATTAAGATCTTTAATAATTTTATACTTTTTTTTTATTTTATTATTTTATATAGAAAATCCATATGATGCTGCTCAAAAGTTTTTGACAAGACATGATCTTCCTATGTCTTACATTGATCAAGTTACTGATTTTATTATTAAAAACACTGAAGGAGTTAACTTGGGCGGCGGTTATCAGGATCCTTTTACAGGCGCAAATAGATACACCCCTCAATCAGCAAACCAATCTACTCCAGAAGCTAATTATATCGATCCTTATACAGGAGGGGCGTCCTATCGTCCAGGAACTTCAACTACATTTGGCTCAACAGCTTCAAACTATGCTGATCCATTCACTGGTAGTAAATCATATAGACCCTTGGATAGCAATACTCCAACCTCTGTCCCATCTTTCCAGCAACCTAAAGTTTTGCCTGTTGTAAGTATCCAATTTGTGCTTCATAAACAATAATACTAAAGAAAAAAAAATACGTCTGTTTTGCAGAAAACTTATTTAGTCTTGAAGCAAGCCAATCCTGATGCAGTTTTGAATAAAATTCGTTCTTTGAATGAGGAAATGAACAACTGTAAGCTTTTAGAAGAAGAGTTGACTTCCTTAGGGACAGCTATTTCTTTCTTAAAAAATCCTATTGCTGGTAGCGCATCATTTAATGGATCTACTGGCTTATCAGCAGTAGTCAAAATGGCAAAACAATGGCCAATAGATAAACGTTTTCCAGCTTTAGATTTAATACGATTATTTACGCTTTATTCACCTGAGGCTTTGGCTTCTGCTGTACCAGAAGAAAATTTGCCTAAATTCCTTATAGATGTAGGTGGATTGTCCCCAGATAATACAACCCAAACAAATGAGACAAATGCTATGCTTGCTTATCGTGGATTAGCAAACCTATTTAATTTTGAAGCAGGTCGTACTATGGTTTGGAATCAACGTAATATTGTTTCTGATATTATGCAGATGGATATTTCTGGTAAATTCAAAGGAAAAAATTCCCGTTTGGCTCAAAGCACATTAGCTGTCAAGTAAAGTTATTACTACAGAATTATATAATTTATGAAAGTGTATTAATTAGATATGTATATTATTATTATTATTTATTAGTTTTGCTGTTTTACTTATGTCCAAACAAGAAGAAGAAATTGCTTTAGGGTTTACAAGCACATTAATTGAATTATTAAAAGATGAAAATGATGATGAAAATGTTTATAGATTTGTTATGGCTTTTGGCACTTTGGTAATATTATTCATTTATATTTTTATATATGTTTATATTGCTATAATCTTTATGTATTCTAATTTTTCCCTTTTTTTTTTAGATTTCTCAATCTACATCTTGTCGTGAAGTTGGAAACATCATGGATGCAAAGGCTGAAATAAAACGTATTCAGTCCCAAAAAGTAGGACAGGAGCGTATGCAAAAAGCTACCTCTGAAATCCTCCAAATTTTAGCATAATAAAAAAAATATATATTTATTTGAACAATGGATACAGTAAAATATGTATATGAAAAAGAGTATGAAATTAAAGGAGGAAGCATTAAAATATTTACAATATTTTAATATGTTTTTTTACTTTTATTTTAAATAGAAAAAAAAATTGGGTAAAAAGAGGGTAAATATAAAAAAGGGAAAAAATGCCTGTTTTATAAGGTAAGAGAGAAGAGGGATATACTATCATAAAACATTATAAATTTTGAATGAATTTTAAACCACTTAAAACTTGATCAAATCTATAAGCAAAATTATACAGTAAGTAAAATGCTTATTTTTTGTATATAAATACATATATAATTAAATATAATTTACCTAGACATTCTTGCTCTTGCTTGATCAGACTCAGCTCTCACTAGAGCTGTTAACTCATCCCAGTCTTCCTTAAGATGATCATATTTTGCCTGCCAGTCTTCTTTTGATTTAACTTCAGTATCTAATTTTGTTCTTATTTCTATTAATTCAGCTTCTCGAGAAGCATTTTCTTCTTGTAATTTCTTTTCATTTTCTTGACTGATTCGTAATGCCTCTTTTAGTTTTTCTATTTCTTCATTTTGTATTGAGAGAGTTTCCTCATATTCCTTATTTCCAGACTCTAACTGGCTGATTTTATCGTCTTGAGAATTTACTTTGTTCCCTAATTCTTCCAAATTATGTAAACTTTTATCGATTTCTGACTGTAGTAGCGCAAGGTTTTTCTCTGATATTCCTTTTTCTTCTTGCACAGCTTCTAGCTGACTATGTAAAGTCTGAATTTCTTCTTTTAATTGTTGTAACTCAACTGAAAGACGTTCTTGAACCAACTTAGATGTATCAATTTGGGTATTAAGCTCTTCAATATCTGCTTCCTGGGAATCTAATGTCTTTTGTTGTTCTTCCATCTGCTGTGTCTTCTCACGTATTTCTAATTCTAGTTCTTCTATTCGTTCTTCCGCCACTGTAAACTTATTAAGCAAGCTTTCCTTCGTTTCTTCCAACTCCTGAATGATGTTCTGCTCTGTCATGATAAGTTCCTTAAAATCAACGTGATCTCCTTCCAATTGCTGATTACGTGCCATCAATTCGGAAATTATATCATGCTGTTCTTTAATCTCAGATTCTAGCGCAGTAATCCTTTGTTCCTTTTCACGCAACTGACTGTCAACACGGTAAGCTGCATTCAAAGGCTTGAGTTTAGCATAAATCCTCCACCATGGCCATTCCTTTAAGGTGATATAGATACGTGCATTACGTTGTATGATACGAATTGCATCTGTTTGACGAGAGAACCTTGTTTTATATTGGCGAGCAATACGACCTCGACACATGGCTTGGAACCGGGTGATAAAGGCACTTAGCTTATTGTCACACAGTTCTTCTAAAGAAGCAAGGACAGTTGCCTTGAAGAAGATCTTTGTAGTACCAATTTGATATTTATCACTTTCCAAATTCATTTGCTTTACCAACATTTGGCAAGCAGTTTTGCCATCAATAAATGCATTGCGATCTAATAATTCAGGACAGAGCATTTTATATCTTTTTCTGAACTCATCAAAGGAAAGACGATTAGGGAAACCCTTTCGACAGATACGGATACCTTCTAAAACACCATTACATCTTAGTTGATCTAAAACAAGCTTGGTCTGAATTTCTCCAGGATACTTTTTGCTGTTGGGTAGGATACAACGAACAAAGTGTGGATGTGTCATGTGCAAAGTATTCATTAATGAAAGCAATTGTTGCTTATGACGTTGACCAACAGTTCTAAAGGAGCCGCTCCCTTTCCTAAATTTGAGCAAAGATGTAAACGAAGTAGTAGCATTAGAGGTGGTTGAAGCGGTAGAGTCTACTCTTCCATTTATGACAGATGACTTATCATCTTGATCTGCTAAATAATCTTCAAATAAATCAGCTACATGCTTATGATTAGAACGAGCCAATAAGCGTGTAATATCTTCATTTAAAGGATCCTTATTTTTCTCAATCCATCCGTCTACAGAATATTCTACATCACCAGCATAGTGTTTAAGAATAAACCCATCTTTGAATCGTGTACTTCTGTATTTAGCGTCTGGATTTTCTTTATCACAGAACCTGTTCAGTTTCTCCAAGAAACGTTGATCGCTTCCTCTGGGTGCCACACATTCTTCTTCTAAACATGATAGAATACCAACAGGCTTAAAACAGAAAGAATAAAAGTAAGGTTAGTATTGCAATAGTAAATTTGTATATTTATGTATATGTATATGTGTATGTGTATGTGCATGTGTATGTATAAATATATATATGTATATTACATTTGATTTTTCAATAAGATCAATCGTTGGTTGAAGATCTTTTCCAAAATCAATATAATCCCAACTAATTTTTTCCTTTTGGTATTCTTCCTGTTCCAATTCAAACATATTTTGGTTAAAGAATTGTTGTAATTTTTCATTGGTATAATTGATACAAAGCTGTTCAAAGCTATTTGACTAGAAATATATACATATTATTAATTCATAAATTATTCCTCCACCTTTTTTTTTTTTTTCTTTTTTTAATATACCTCGAAAATCTCAAAGCCTGCAATATCCAAAACACCAATAAAACCTAGTAAATCTTTTGATTTTTGACTATCAATGGCTTTATTGATTTTTTCTACCAGATAAGCAAAATTTCTTTCATAAAGTGTCTTTGCAAGTGCATCAATACTGGCAATCACTTGAGCAGAAGATTTGGCTTGTGTAACCCAATCTCGACCCGCCTTTATACGAGGTGCTAATAAACTCTTTTTGAATTCCTCTGCCGAGATACCCAACAAATGGCAAACACGTTCAACGGCAGCAAAATCACGAATATCAGCACGATCACGATAATCAATCACAGAGATATTTCCCAAGTGTAGAATAGAAGCTACAATTCTGAATAAGTCTAATTTTTCCTTTTCCGTTAAGCCCATAATATCTAATGATTTCTAATATAGATTTTTTTTTTTTTTTTTTTTTTTTTTTTTTTTTTTAGCTTATTTTTTTTTCCTATAAAAAGGGACTCCAGTAATAATAAGTCATATAACTTACAGAAAGCTTTTGATATTCTTCAGCATCATCCACTCCTTCAATTCTTTTATTTGAATGTTTAATAAAATTATAATCGTTCACAGTGCCATCGAGTAATAATTGTTCTAAGCAAATTATAAATACAAGTAAGTTTAGTAATATTATTATTATTAATTATTATTATTTTAAACCCTACTTTTAAGGCCATCATCAGCTTCCAATAATTGATAAAAAATATGATAATTTCTTTCCTTCAATGTTTGATGATGAACTCTTGATTTTTCAAGTAAATACCATTCAATATTTGCTCCACAAATCTGAGCTCTGTGATTAAATTCAATTCTAATAAATTTACCCTATAATAAAAGTTAAGCATGCTACTACTACTACTACTGCTATTACTACAACAACAAAAAAGGGGGAGATAATAGAAAATAAACTTACAAATCTTGAAGAGTTATTATTACGTATAGTTTGAGCATTGCCAAAAGATTCAAGAATCGGGTTTGCCTGCAAAATCTGATTTTGTAATCTGTTTATATTCTCAGAGGATGATTTTTTATTCGTCGTTGATGCTATAGCAGTAAGGTATTGAATTACAATTTTGGTATTTTCTGTCTTGCCTGCACCTGATTCACCACTTAAATAATGAATTGTTAACTATCCATCGTGTTCTCTTTCCTTTCCTTCCTTCTTTCTTTCCTTCTGTTATATACTTACGTAATTAAGATGGATTGATTTTCTTTATCTTGTACCATATCATGATATGCTTGATCTGCTACAGCATAGATATGAGGTGGCATTTCACCACGTCTTTTGCCTTTATAAAATTCAATATAATCATTACTATAGATAGGAAGGTTTCTATAAGGATTAACTGCAACTAAGAAGAGACCAGAATAAGTCTAATAAATAGAATATAAGAGTCTACCTTTGTTTATCTATTTAATATGACTACTTACATAAACATGATTTGCTTTATAACGAACAGTAAGGTTATGAATTACAGAAGGTTCATTTAAATGGGTTAATTCAGCCATATCATCTACCATGTCAAACTTTGGAGGATTCATAGGTTGAATCATTGACTGAGAAACTATGGCCGTCTAGCGTATATATATATATATAAAGTTGAGTAAATACTTTCATATATACATTCATATATGTGTATATATTTTTGTTTATTTGTTACGGTCCATAATAACACTTTACCCCACCATTATCGTACTCTATTTCTATTGCATCTTTGTCAATATCTTCATTGATGATGTGCCCTCTGACATAGCCTTTTTTATCATCTTCTATCCAAACCCATCTTTTTTCATTAAATTTTGCTTGTACGACAGCATCTAATACATCATCCAATTTTGGCCTCATAAAAGTCTTTGAGCCATAACTGTGTATAAATGATCCGCCTCCATTTACGTAATCCAGTTTATTTGCTTGCGAAGGTATTGATAACATTTGTGAGTGTATTGGTATAAATTAATAATAGTAATAGTAAAAAAAAAAAAAACAAAAAAAAACAAAAAACAACAATAATAATAATAGAAAATATTTAAAAAAGCGGATTTTTTATTTTTTTTTTTTATTTTTTTTTTTTAATTTTACGTTCTATTTTGGGTACATTGTAAACATCCCATAAAAGGTAAATTCCAAATATTCTTTACATTTTACTCGAATTATATAAACACATATGCACATATTCAGAGTAATACGTATCTATTTTATGACTGAGTTTGACCATAACAGTTTCATCTGTAAAGACTATAATGAATCATTATTTACTTGTAAGCTTTAGATTAGTATTTTTTTTTTTTTCTTATAAAAAAAATCAAGACATCATGTGAAATGATTATAGCATGTTCATTAAGTTATACAGCTGAAACAAATAACGTATACCTCTTCCTTTAAATATATATATATACATGTATATACATATATAGAAGATTATTTATTTTAAATTTAAAAGTAAGACTTCCTCATCTATACCTGTACGTAATTCAACTGGCATAGAAAGCGCACTATGTTGTCTTAATTTCACATTAGCTTCCTCAAACACTTTAGCCGTCATTTGATCCATGCCATAGGATAAACTATAAACAACTTCTTTCACTCCTTGTTGAATAATCTTAATAGCACATCCCAAACAGGGACACGTATTACAATAAAGAATAACACCATTATCTAATGCCACATTACTTCCACGACCTGCCTCTAACAATGCATTCTCTTCTGCATGCATACATAAACATCGATCTAATCCAGTTCCACAGGGTGCTCCTTCATTACATCGTCCACAACCTCCCTCGTTACAGTTACGCAATCCACGAGGTGTGCCATTATATCCCGTTGCAATCACTCTAGAATCTTTTACAAGAATACATCCTACGCGACGTTTCATGCAATTCGATCTACGGGCTGCTAAATCGGATAATTGCATAAAATAAGTATCCCATGAGGGACGAAGACGTTCTTTATCTGTCAAATTGCGTCGCTTCAATTCTTTATATAAACTACTTTTATCCGAGTATATATTTGTGATGACTAAATCAGATGCAATCATAATGTTATGAAGCGGTGTTATAGTGTTAATTTCATGTTGATCTTTTTCTGAGATGTTGTACAAGTCGCGATCATCTTTTATTAAGAATGTCTCTAAATCAGCAGGTGGTCTGTCTTCAATTTGACATCTTTTATTGTATATTGAACTATAATGTCATTATATGTCCTAACATACTTTTGTGTAATCAACATTTTTACCTTTCAATCCAACGTTTATATCTTAATGTAACAGGTGCTTCAACGGATATTAATAGAAAAAAAGGTCGTTTTCTAGAATTAATATAGTTTTCAAGAAAGAAAGAAAAATAAGCAAAATTCAAGAAAAGACATGAAGAGAGAGAGAGAAAGAAAGAAAAAAAAGTAAATTCAATAGAATCTTACTTTAGAGTCCAAAGCTCTCTACTATCAACATCACAAGTGACAAAGTCTTCTTGCCAACGTTCCGTGACATAACGTTGCATCTTATTGACATTTTCAAACTGAATGGCATTTGAGTAGAGGTGTTCGCGTCCAGCAGTATTTGTAAAAGAAGATAAAGTCAACAGTTGAAAGTGGTGTTGCTCTACAAGATATTGAGCAATGGTATGTTTACCGCTACTTTGTGATCCTGTAATGCCAATAAACATGTATATTCAATTGTCTCCAAGAAATAAAAAAAAAGGGGAGAAGAAAACAAAATACGGGAAAAAAATTACGCCGATTTTTATATTTATTTTTGATGAAGATACTACTAAATGGTTTCAAAAGAAACATTCAATATTAATTGTAAATAGGCATTTTTATATATGCGTATACGCTTAACCAAAATGAAATTTGTTTAAAATAACCAATAAAGCATTAAATATTGGTTTATTTATCAAAGTTGTTTTCCTTAAATAACTACAGAACACCTCTTTTCTTTTCTTTTTTTTTCAATAAATTTGGTAACATGAACCCAGTCACGGATTTTCTTATGATGTTGGCTTCATGATTTATTTTTTTTTATTTTTTATTTTTTTTTTATTATAACTGTTATTATTTTTTCTTTCTCTACATCAATAATCAGAAAAGAATTCTGATTTGATTGATTACGAATTATACAAGTTTGCATTCATATATACAATAAATTCAAATTTTAGTTGTTAAAAAATGTCAAATAATCAGCCTAATCACATGAGTCAATTACCCCAAATGATTGCACAATATCAGCAAAATATTGAATTTCTAAATAGCAACATTATAATGTTGCGACGAAATATTGAACGCCCCGATATTTCGGCAGAAGAAAAGGAAACATATAAAAAGCAAGAACAAGAACTTCAATCTAAATTAGCCATGCTCCAAACTCTCATTAGTAACTTAACACCTCAGATCGTTGCTCAAAATTTACAGCAACGTGTTTTAGCTCAGCAAATAAATAATAATCAACAGCAAATGGGATCTCCTGCCTCAACTACTGATAATATGAGTGTCTCCTCTACTCCAGGCTCACCTGCTTCTTTTAATCCAAAGCAACCACAACAGCATCCTAATTTTGCTGCTGCTCAAGCAGCAGTTGCAGCAGCTCAACAACTTCGTAATTATTTACTAAAAAAAAAGAAATAAATAAAAAAAAGAAAAAAAAAAGTAAAAATGCTAATTTACCACTTCTATATAGGTGCAGCACAACAGCAATCACAACAGTCCCAACCTCAACCTCAACCTCAACCAACACAAACACCTCAACCTCAACCTCAGCAACCTCAGCAGCCTCAGCAGCCTCAGCAGCCTCAGCAGCCTCAACAACCTCAACAGCCTCAACCTCAACCTCAACCTCAAATTCAACAAACACAGGTACAAGTTCAACAGCATCAACAAGCAATGAATAAAATGGCTTTAGCAAGTAATACAGGTGCACAATTACCTCCACAAAATACTTATCCTACAATAATGAATGCAGCACCCAATATTCAAATGAAAGCTACAAATAATCCAAACATGAAAAATAATGGTACTGGTGGCATGTTTACTTTTCCTACAAATAACAGCATTGTTCAACCACAAATACCTTCTAACCCTCCACATGGTGGTAGTCTTACTAATTTGAATCCAATGCCTGCACCTGCACCAGCTCCTACACCTTCTACATCTACTGCTGCACCTACACCTTCTGCTTCCCAAACACCTGTGCCTGCACCAGCTCCTAAACCTGCTACTGCCCCATCCTTAGATAATGATGGTGTTCATCGTGTCTTGACAAAAAGAAAAATTCAAGAATTAGTATCTGAAATAGATCCAAGTGAAAGATTAGAACCTGAAGTAGAAGATGTAGGTTAGATACTTATATATAACTTGGTTTATTCATCACTTTTTTTTTCCTATAGATTCTTTTGGAAATTGCTGATGAATTTATTGAGTCTGTTACAACATTTGCTTGTCAACTGGCTAAGCACCGTAAATCAGATACCTTGGAAGTGAAAGATGTTCAATTACATTTAGGTATAATCAATTTTCAGAGCTAAAATATATGTGTATATATATGAATGTATACATATATATATTCTTGAATTACATGTATATATTAAAAGTGTGTATTTATTAGAACGTAATTGGAATATTCGTATACCAGGATTTGCTGCAGATGATATTCGACCTTTAAGAAAGCCTAATATTCCATCCTCGCATCAAGCAAAAATACAGGCTGTTAATGCTGCTAAAAGTCAACAAGCTTCATCAAAGAAGGACCATCATTAATTATTATTATTTTTTCAAGAAAAAAGTATTATATCCAAAAAAAAAAAAAAAAAAAAAAGAGCTTTTTTTGTACATTTATTTAACTAAGCTGTTATTAGTACTTGGAATAAATAAATTAGAAAAATAATTTTATTTTGTTTTGGAGGAGGGGTTTTTTTGTCTTTTTTTCTTAATACTATTCGTTGTATATAGAATAGGGAAGAGTTACGATTATATAACACATTATTATGCGAAAATTTGGGTGTCAAAGCAATTATGATGAAAGTTGAGAGCAGCACGGATTTCCAAAATGACTATAAAAACGGTCACAGATTCGAGTCGGAACAGGATAAATACAGGTCGGACTAATTTCTATTTTTTGAAATGCAAATGAAAGTAAGGCAGACAGACAAAGGAAAGAATCAGAGAGGAATATAGTAGAGAAGTAAATGCCGAACCTAATGATCATCCTCTTCTCTTTGTAATCTTAAAATGGTAATATAATCTTGTCAAACAGTTTAGAAAGATGATGATGATGAATAGATAAAAAAAAAAGAAAAAGAAGAATAAGATGGATGAAGAAGAAGGATAAAGAAGAAAGGGAATGGATGAGAATAACGATAAAATTTTCTGCGAAACGATTTTTTTTTTTGTGGAATTGGTTAATTTTGTTAAATTAACAAATAATACAATCACGAACAGAAACAAGTGAAGAAGAGAAGGAGGAGACTTTTATTATTGTATGCTGTTCTTCTTTTTTATAGCAACTTGAATATATTGTAGAAAAATGAAAAAAAACAATAGTAATGTTCCAAACACAATACATGGTTCACTTGCATGTTCGAATAGTAAACACACCCTTAGACGATTATTTCGGCTTAACAGTTATTACATTTTGTAAAGTATATGAATTTTACAGTAAAAGTGAAAAAAAAACTAAGAGAAATGAGCATTATGTTTAGCATCGTTCATTCCATCATTTTTTCTGGTTTCTTTTTTTTTCAATCTATTTCATCATCATTATATAGCTGAATGACAAGGAGAAAATATGTTTTGTGAATTTATTTTTTTTTAACAAACTGTAAATTAGGGTATTGACCTCAAGAAGCATCACGTTAAGAACACCAACCGTACTGCCCCCAAGTCTGATAACGTCTACTTGGCTTTGTTGGTTAAGGTATATATTTTACGCACACATTTTAAACCAAAAAAAATTTATTCTGAATATGTCTTTATTTTTTTTTTTAGCTTTATCGTTTCCTTGCTCGTCGTACTGATGCCAACTTCAACAAGGTTGTTTTGAAGCGTCTCTTTATGTCTCGCATTAACCGTCCTCCCGTCACTGTCTCTCGTATTGTCAAGAACAACAAGGAAGGTAAGACTGTTGTTGTTGTTGGTACCGTTACCGATGACTCTCGTCTTCTTGATCTTCCCAAGCTCTCTGTTGCCGCTCTTCGTTTCACTAAGACCGCTAAGGCTCGTATTTTGAAGGCTGGTGGTGAAGTCTTGACTTTGGATCAATTGGCTCTCCGTGCTCCTACTGGTTCCAACACCATCCTCATCCGTGGTGCCAAGAACAGCCGTGAAGCTGTCAAGCACTTTGGTTTCGGTCCTCACAAGAACAAGAAGCCTTACGTTCGTTCTAAGGGTCGTAAGTTCGAACGTGCTCGTGGTAAGCGTGCTTCTCGTGGTTTCAAGGTTTAAATGTATTTTATTATAACCTTAATAATAACAATAAAAAAACAAACAAAAATACATACTTTCAACATTAACAAAACCACACACACACACACACACACTTTCTTTCTTTCAACTCATTAAAGTATATTACAATGCTTTATTTTTATATTTATTTTTTCGATTGTAATTCTGTTAACTTTCGCTTAAGATCTTCTGTTGTTTGTTCGTTTGTAGCCAATTTTTCTTTTAAAGTTTTAAGTAATTCGGCATCCTATTTTTTATGATTAATAATTGTATCCTACTACTTCCTCATCATCATTATTTATTTATTTATATTCTCTTACGTGTGATCGAGCCCATTGATTCTCCACTGCAGTTTCCTTTTCCTTAAAACCTTTTGAGTTAGCAGTTGCACCTTCTGAACGAGTCATATTTGTCATGTGTAAACCACGACGACGAATAGTCGTTAAAGAAGTAGTAAAACGAATAGAATAAATGCGTTGATAAATCATAAGAGTCTGTTTTTGTTTGTTTGTTTTGTGTTTAATAATAATAATAAGCACTTGAAGCCAGTTTATATATGTCGTAGGGATATTAGTTATTGTTGTTGTGGTTGCTCTGATTAAATGTTTACGTCAATGTACTTTTTTTTTTTTTTTTTTTAGCTCGACTTTTTTGAGTTTAGGCCGCGTAGTGTAACAGTGAAAGTATTATAACTGTCTACTACGTAACATCTTATGAAGTAAGTAGAAAATGTGTCTATTTGCAATTGAAGATTAGTTCTGGTATTTGATATTCATTTAACAGATTGATTGTAGTACTATCTATTTTTTGACCCCCTTTTTTTTTTAGTTTAACATATACGGACGCTTTTTTTTTTGCCCCTGAATATGACTATATTAATAAAACTATTTGATAAGAAGACATGATATATGCAAAAGTGTTTTAATTTTACTGATAAACTACTGCAGATATATCAAGAGTGTTTACTATCAATTCTTATTACAGACTCAAAAGCTCATATCTATGAAATGCTTACGAATAAATATGGACTGTCTATTGATTTGTACAGACTATATACATATAGTATTCATGTTTAAACAAAGTCGCGCTTCCTTATGCAGCTTTTATAACAATGCTTTATGTTGATATCTTTTTATATAAGCATAATTTGCTTTATATCTTGCTCTACCATATAAGCGTCTTAAATACGAAACAAGCTGCTCTCTATTATCACATTTCGTTTATATAAAGCAACAATAAGAATAAAATAATATCGTGTCTTTTGTAATCCTATAAACACTTAATCATTGCAAAAAAAAAAAAAAAAATCATTGATGGCTGTTAATGAGAGCTATAATGCTGTATTAAAGGTAATATAGTTTAACCGGAAAAAAAGACAAGAAAAAAAAAAGAAATAGATAGTACATATTTATAATAAATTTGGTAATAAACGAACTTTTGTTTTCTTACTATTTCAGCTTATAAACATTATATTGACTTGTTTTAATAAGCAATTGTAATTTTGAAAATATCTTAAATATGTATACTTCATATACAAATACTTTTTTTTCGGAATAATTAATTTACCCTATTCCCACTTCATTGATTCTTTATATCCATAGTAATTGATTAAAACAAGCGTATAATAATAGTAATAGTAACTCAAAAAGGAAAAAAGAGTTTCACTTTCAAAATCTATAAAAATAAATGTCTTTTTGTTTTACTTGTAGGCTCATTGTAATTTTTTATTTTCATTTATTTATTTTTTTTATTTTTAAGAAAACACAATGTCTAGTATTGTTGAACGCGTCTTTATTGTAGGTGGTACGGGTAATATTGGTAGGAAAGTTGTCAATGATTTACTCGACAATAACGTTGCTGTCACGTTATATGCTCGTAACCCCGTGAAAGTTCAAGACCTGTTTTCTTCTCATAAGAATAGTAAGCACCTTGTCAATGTAGTTCAGGGGGATTATCATGATTTAAGTCCTATCCAGGAAGGGATTAAAGGCCATACTCGACTTTTCTTACTTGTTGCTGATTTTAATAATTTTGTGAATTGCAAGTTAACTATCTCTCAGTATGCTTATGTAGCAGGCGTTCAACAGATCGTCGATATTTCATCTTTCAGTGTGAATGCAGGTTGGAGGGAATCCCTTATTGGCTCAAATCATTATCTTGCTGAAAAGGCCATCTTTGAGATCCCTAACCGTGGTCACTTTGTTGCTCTTAGACCGGGTCGTTTTATGTCCAATATCTTTATGCAAGCTCAGACGATGACAACAACAGGCGCTATGTATGATATCACTGATCCTAATAAAGCTCACGGCTGGATTTCACCTAATGATATTGGTGCAGTTGCTGCTGTTATCTTGCGCGAAGATATTAAAAAACATGCTGATGCTGTTTATCACTTAACTGGTGATGTCTCAACTCCATCAAAACTTGTACATATTATTTCTAGTCTTATTGATCGCGATATAGCTTATATTCAAATTTCTCCTGTTCAAAAGTATAACAAATTAATGGAAACAGGTCATATTTCACATTTGCTAGCTATTGATTTAATAGATAATTTAGAAAATAATAGAGATGATGTTATCACTCCTACTATTGAAATTTTACTTGGTAGAAAACCAGAAACTCTAGAAGAATATCTTTTAGCTAATAAATCTCAATTTTATTAAAGTTTTTTTTTTCTCCCAAATATTACGTAATAAAACGCTCTCCTATTATTGTATCACTTTTTTTTTTTTTAACATAATAAACAAATACGCCATTTTTAATATACATTTTTATATACGTATTTTTTTTATTCTTTAATTTGTAACATATATCCTCGAATGGAAGTCAGCATTTTCTCACCAGGTTTAGTTAAAGGGTTAACAGATAAAATATATGACAGAAGGAAAGCGGCTGCTTTAGAAATTGAAAGGTAGCAACATTTACTTTTATAATTCTGTGTATGTGTGTGTGTGTGTGTGTGGATGGGAAGGAAGAAGGAAGGAAAAAAAAACATTAACTGAATCTTATTATTCTTTTATTAGACTTGTACGAGAAAATGAAGATTCTAAAGAAAGAATTACACAAATTGTAGATGCACTTGTTCAAGAATTTGTTTATTCTAATAATCCATATGCTCGTTATGGTGGTTTAATAGGCTTAGCAGCAACCTCAATTGCATTAGGATCTGTAAAAGAAAAAAAAACAAAACAAAAATAAATCAATATATACTTATTATTCTTTATCATTAGGGGGTATCTGAATATTTGAACATGATCGTCCCACCCATTTTATCATGCTTTAGCAATCAAGACCAGAAAGTAAGATACTATGCCTGTGAAAGTATGTACAATATTGCCAAAGTAGCTAAAGGTGAAGTTTTAAGATATTTCAATAGTATTTTTGATGCCTTATGCAAGGTAAGTTTTTTTTTTTCTTTATACACCATTTTCAATAAGAGCTTTTTACTCATTTTTTTTTTGTCGTGGGGGAGGGGAGAATAGTTGTCTGCTGATTCTGAAATTAGTGTAAAGAATGGAGCAGAGCTACTTGATCGACTTATAAAAGATATTGTTTCAGAACTATCAACAACTTACGTCTCACCTTATAATGAACCTTTGAATACAGTAGAAGCTGGTGGTGAAGAACTGGATACGCCTTCTTCATTACCACGTAACACTGCCTTTTCATTACCTCGCTTTATTCCCCTTCTTAGTCAACGTATCTATGTACGTAATTCAAATGCTCGTCAATTCTTGGTATCTTGGATGTGTGTCTTGGATTCGATTCCTGATCTTGAATTAATATCCTTTTTACCAGAGTTCTTGGATGGATTAATTCGTTGTCTGAACGATGTGAGCGAAGATGTCAGGGTTGCAACAAGCGGATTACTACAGGAGTTTTTAAATGAAATTAAGGAAGCAGCAGCAGCTCGCGAATTACAACTTCAACAGCAAGAAGAAAGGAAACGAAAAATGAAACAGGAAGAAGGGAGAGTCAAGGTAAAAGAAATGAAGGAAGAAGGGAATGATAAAGATGGAGAAGAAAAGGAAAGAAAGGAGCGAAAGGAAGAAGGAGATGAAGAGTTCAAGACAGAACGACAAGATGAAAAAGAAGAAGATGCTCTAATTGATTCAGAGAATGATGGTCATGGGAAGGGAACATATGTGCCTGGCCAGGGTGTGATTGTTCAATATGGCAAGATTGTAGAAATATTAGTGCCTCATTTATCATCATCTGAAGAAGATATTCAAAGAACAGCTTTATTATGGATTAATGAGTTTATAGAAATTACTAAAGATGTTATCATTCAATACACTCCTGAGATTATTAAAGCTGTCTTACCTTCACTTGCACACACTGTCACTGGTATTCGCAATATTGCATTAGAAACAAATCAGAATTTGCAAAAATTAGTATTAGAGACACCTATTCATGTCCCTGAGCCTATAACGAGTAAAAGTGATCCATCAGGAGGTACCCAAATTTTACAACAACAACAACAACAACAACAACAAAAGAAGAAATCATTGATGTTTAGTCGGGTTGATAATGACCGTGATCCATTTGATTATCAAACTACTGTGGCTAATTTACGTCTTCAATTTTTGAATCAACATGAAGAAACTCGCATAGCCAGTCTGGATTGGCTCTTAATGTTACATAAAAAAGCGCCTAACAAAATTTTAGCGTCTGATGATGGAACATTCCCTGCACTTTTAAAAACATTGTCAGATTCATCAGAAGAAGTAGTGCGTAAGGATTTACAGTTACTAGCACAGATATCCTTCTATTCAGATCATAGTTACTTTCGTAGTTTTATCATGTCTCTTCTATCGTTGTTTAGCACAGACCGTCGTCTGTTGGAGACCCGAGGTAGTTTGATTATTCGTCAACTGTGTATGAGCCTTGATCCAGAGCGTATCTATTGTACAATCGCTGATATCTTGGAGCAAGATGAGGATCTCGAATTTGCAAGTACTATGGTTCAAAATTTAAATATTATTTTGATTACTGCTTCTGAATTAACTGACTTACGCAAGAGGCTTCGAAATTTGGATTCAAGAGAGAATCAACGTTTGTTTAATACTCTATATCGATCCTGGTGTCATAATGCTGTTTCCACCTTTTCTTTATGTCTATTGTCTCAAGTTTATGAACATGCTGCTAATATGCTTCAAATCTTGTAACATTGCTTAATCGCTCATGATCAATATTATTGTAGATGTTAACTTTTTTTTTTTTTTTTTTTTTTCAGTGCCGAATTAGACATTACTGTCAATATGCTTATACAGATTGATAAGCTTGTACAATTACTAGAATCACCAGTATTTACATGTAATGTATTTTTTTAAAGTGAGGTTATGTATTATATACATACATATAAATATACATGTATATATATTGAACTAAAGAAAAAAAAACAAATTATATATTTGTAGATCTTCGCCTTCAATTACTGGAGCCCGAAAAATACCCATATTTATTTAAATGCTTGTATGGAATATTGATGTTACTTCCTCAGTCCTCTGCTTTTTCAACCTTACGAAATCGATTGAATAGTGTTTCATCACTTGGATTTCTTCATGTTTTACCTAAAAGGTATAAAAGACTAAATGAAGACTCTTTTGTATTTTCTTTACTCACTTTTGTTTAGCCCCGTCACTTCTACCATATCCACTGATAAAAAGCAACTTAAAACAACTACATTTAATAGTAAAAATACAGAAGAAATCAATACGATTAAATATCAAGACCTTTTAACACATTTTAAAAATGTTCAGTCGAGGCATGAAACACAAAGAAGAGAATGTAAGTATATGAATCTATATTATTATTATTATTATTATTATTTTTAAAGAAAAAAAAACAATCTATTCATATATCTTTTATTAGTTTTACAAACTGCATCACGTACAGCAACAACACAGACACCAAGTCCTAATACAGGAGCTCAAGCCCGTTCAAGAAGATCTAGGATTATTTACAATGATGGTAATAATTATGCATTATCTAGTAATAATCAACAACCTTCCTCATTGACAGTTCATCATAATAAAGGAGCAGGACTCGCATTAAGTAATACATCTTCAGGACATCATTTATCAGTAGGAACAGGAGGGATTCGAAATGGTATAGCCAATCTTAGTTTTATGACCTCAACTGCTGGATCCAACCATGATACATCTATGACACACACTAACAATGAACATTTAAACACTACAAACCCAACTAATAATAACAACAACACTAATAATACGCGTATGATAGGAACAACAAGAAGAAATAGAAGAGTATGAACGCACATAATATATATGTCTATAAATATAAATAGTTATGTGTATATTGAAGTAATATTACAACTCCCTTTATTTAAGCACTTTTTAAATACATTTTTTAGATTTCATTTTTTTTTTTAAAAAAAAAATTTAATTAAGCCATAATTTTTAGAGAAGGAAAATGTGAAAGATAAGAGCGAAATAGTTGTAGATATTGTATTATAAGTTAAAAAAGAAAAAAAAAGGGAGAAAAAGGAAGGAGAGAGAGAGAGAAAGAGAGGGTATAACACAGAGGATATCTATTTTTGACTTGTGCAGTCTTTTTTTTTTTATTTTTTTTTGGTCAAGATAGTTTCATCTTGAAGTCTTGGTTTCATCGTTGAATTTATTTGATTTAAAATAGAGTTGTAATAAAGCTGATGATGTTGATTTAATAATAGTGCACGAAGTTGGTATTCAAGCTCCCTATGAGCGAAGTTAGTTATGGATAAATAACGTATACAGATATTTATTGAATGTCTTTATGGAATACAAAAAAAAAAAAAAAAAAAAAAAAAAAAAAAAAAAAAAAAACTTACGTCGCTTTTAATTGCCATTGATTTCTTTCTCGTAAAGTCATGTCTAATTTCTTCTTTAATTGCATATCAGGGGATGGATGAGAAGGTCGACTAGGTTGCTGATGATCGGTTGTGTAGATATCAGCAATTTCATCCAATTCCCTATTGAATTTCTGTAGAGACAGTATATGCGGGGTTAAAGTTTATAAATATGAATATGTATACATGTATATTTTATAACTTACATCACATACAGAGCCTAGTTCAGAAACATAGTCATCCAAGTCTGCTTTTAATACTTCAATCTCTTCTTCTTTCTATATATATATATATATATATGTATGTATGTGTATATGTATTTTTCTTTTAAAAAAAGGGAGTGTTTCTATATAACTGATTTTTTTTTTTTTTAAGAAAAAAGTACCTTTTGTACAAGCTCTGTCAACACGAGTATAGTTTTGTTCTTCTCTTCTAATTTCAAATATAAATCAGATTCAAAAGGTTTTTTATTATCTGCTGCTGTATCAGATCCAATATAAGTTGATACATTATGCTGATAATCATCAAGTGAAGACGACACAGTAGTAATTGGAATGGTCAAGTCAGATAAGGATGGACGATTGATGAAGGATGGGAGGGAATGATGATCTAAAATCTTTATAATCATATTTAGAATAAATAGTATATGTTCATATAGAAATACAAAAAAAAAAAAAAAAAAAAAAAAAAAGGGGGAGGGAGAGAGAAATAACTTACTTTATTACGAGATAAAGGAGAAAGTCGTTGATGATTAAAAGTTGAAATAGTAGAAGTACTTTGCTGACTATGAATGGTTGAAAACTCACTTCCAGGTCCAATCATAGCAGGTGTAGGCTCACGTAGACTAGAACTTTGATTATCGTCATCTTCTTCCAACATTGATTTGTTATTGTTATTCATGAAAGAAAGATTGATTAATTCTTCTGATCCTCTTTTATCTGCAGCAGACTTGATTATATGTAAGACTATTTAACAAACTATATGCAAATAGATAATAACATTGCTTAGCATACCTGTAATTCATAAGAAGCAGTTCGTGTTGGATGAAAACTTGGCTAAGAGTAATCCAAAAGAAATGTATACAAGTGAGTTATTTATGTAATATGATATAATATAATGAAGGTGTACTAACTTTACATTCAAACCTCTTTGTTCTTGATTATTTGTTAAAAGAGAAGCATTTGCTAGACGATAAAACGTGGATTGATATTGTGATGATACAAGTGGTGATGGTGATAAGGATAAAGAGCGTCTATTAGTGCTTTGTTTTTCAAGTGAATTTAATGGTGATATCAGTTTGTTAATAGACTCTTCACTATATTGAGATTTGATAGAGAGATTGCTACTATTTATGGATGATAGACACGAACGATATATGGATGAATTATGATTATCCAAATCATTTGAATTAGATTCATTATTTACTGCTGCTGATGTTACCCTAGTTGTTATTGGTTTTCTCGCTGTAGTTGTTCGTGAACGTCGATTTATGAATATATTATTAGAAGGCTTTACATGTTGACGTCGTTGTTGATGTATTCCTAGAGCAGAGAATAACCTAAAAGTAGATATGCTCTTTTTACGTATAATTTCATGCTTTACAAATGAAAATCGACTATTTGTTGGTCGTTGATAGGCATTCATTTTTACTAGTTGAGATTCTCTTGATAAATCACGATTACAAGCTAATACTAATGTGTGTAATAAATAAAGCTTTACATATGAGGTAAGAAAACAAAAAAAAAATTTTTTTTTGTAAAACTTACAATTTCCAAATAACTGATCTTGTGCTTCATTTATTTGTTTAACTTGAATTAGAGTCATCTTGGATAACTTTTGATTCTCATTGTTGCCCATGATAGCAGCCCATTTGCTACGAATAGCAAATTCGTAATTATCTTCTTTTTCATGAGGCACAATGAAAGCTACTATGTTTGGAGTGATAAAACAATTACTTAAAATTGTTTCTATTTGTTTTACCATGTTATTCTCTACAAAAACTAAAATAGTATCATTCTTATATATGTAAATATATTAAGAGAAGAAAGGAGAAGAAGGATAGTATTTATAACATAGGTTGTCTTTTCTTTTCTATTTTAAAATTTTACCTTATTTTCAATCTTGGAGTATTTTAATGTAGAATAAATGTTTGTATAAAAATGATGATTATTCCATTGACAGTAACAGGTTTTGATCAATTCATCTAACAAATAAAATAGGTTTAAGTGTCTTCTTCTTCTTCTCCTCCTCCTCCTCCTCCTTCTTCTTCTTTTATTTTTACCACTTTGCTTCTTTTCATTCTTTAATTTTCCATACTGATAAATGAAAAAGGACTTTGTTTTATCGATTGTTTGAAAATATTCTCGATTTATCAAATTACCACCAGAGTGAGTTAATGAAAAATAATGTCCTTGTAGTTCATCTTGGAAATAAGCCTCTAAAGATCTTTGGGTGGCTTGATCAGTATTGTCAATTGAAGTATTTCTTGAAGTATTATTATACATTAAAACAAACGATTTTAGATTATCTAAAAAGGAGAAAAAAAAAAAGAAAGAAAGTTTTATTAAATAATCACAAACTGACCCATCTCATTAACGCGTTTATTATACCTGACTCTAGTCCTCCTTCACGTATATCAATATCGTCTAAACTCGTCCATCCTATAAACTTTAATTTACCCGAGTTTGCCTTTTTTCGAATGATAAAGTCAGTTTTCTCAGAGCCTTCATATATCCGTTGATCTAATCCACAAGCATCTAAGCCATCCACATCATACGAGGGCCTCCTAACGATCATTAATTTATCTGAAAACAAAAATAAAGTAACAGGTTGAGTTGGTTTTAATGTAATTGGATCCATTTCTGCTATATCAAGATAACTTATAAATCGACGTTGAAAGCTAATTAAGGACTCCTTTTATATATATATATATAAAAGTATGTATATATTCATTCATTCATAATAGATGAGTATGTAAGTATGTGTTATGTACAGAAGAAGACTTACTGGGCAATAGAGAATAGCCTGTAATAATTGACGAAATATTTTCATAAGCTGCGTATGCACTTCTTCCGTCATATTGGCTATTTCTTCTGCTTTTAAAAGTGAGCCATAAAGACCTGGTAAATCTTTATGATCGTCTGTTGTATGCTTTATAATCTCTGTTATATACATATATAATGTATATATAGACATATATAATATATATGTGTGTATATATATGTGTATGTGTGTGTGTGTATGTACGTGTATGTATGTTACGAATAAAGTATATCTAGGTTTATTGTTTTATATTTACCTTTAAAGTACATTGTATATCTTCCAACTCTCTGAATAGGTAGTGCCAAATAGTCGTATACAGTTTGATTTCCATTATTTTTATTAGTATTTACTTTCTAAAGTATATATATATATATGTGTGTGTTGTATGTTAGAAAAGAACAAGTAGATCTATTTTGTTTATTTACCTCTAAAAAATGAACATAATGAGGATTCTTCATTTGCTTTTCATTAATGATTTGAGCATTATGTACGCCTAATAAGAATTTATTATAACAAGAGAATTTACGCAACTAATTATTATATATGATATTAGAATATACGCACATATGTATTCATTTATGATTATACTTACATGTGATAAACACAAGTCACCAAAATTATCTGTATCTGGATTATATCGAACTAAATCTTGATAAAAATCGTTTGTCACTTGAACTAATTCACCAATATTCATAAATATATTTGCACATTCATATTGTCCAATAATTGCACGATGTCTATCTTTTGATCTTTGTCGAAGTGGTTCAACGATTAACTATTTTATAACCAAAAAAGAAGAAAGAAAAAGTTAATGAAAAAAAAAACCGTTTATTATAATATACGTTACAGTAACAAATGTCCTTAAACTGTTCAAGTAATTTGCTTCAGTATTGATAAATTCATTTAAAAGATATTTTCTTCTTTCATTATTCTATTGATAAAATATTAGCTTACAATTTGTCAAATTGAATTTCAATATTCTATATATACTTGAACAAATTCTCTTTTCTTTGAAATAGAAGGTGTTATATTATAATATGAATTAGAAGAAGATATAATACGTTGAAATTGCTTATATAATTCTGATTTTTCTCCTTTTTTTTTAAAAAAAAAAAAAAAAAAGAAAAAAAGAAAATAAAATAAATATATAACATGGTTAGATAAATTTATTATTTTGTACCTGAATCATGAATTAATACATCATAGTAATGACACTTTTAAGAAAAGATAGTTAGCTTCTTTATTTACAATTTCCCTTATTTGTTACCAGCGGCTCTAAAGTGAATGTCTCTGTATAATTTGATGATAATTGATTGCTATTAAAATTATATAAGTGTCGAGAATAATTATAACCCAAATTATCAAGGCAAATCCCAAGTTGTTGCATAATTAAAGATTAAAAAAAAAAGGGGTTGAATTTATTTTATTTATTTATGTATTTATTTTATATTGCCTTGTCTGTGTGTTTGTGTAAATAAATAAAAGGAAAAAAAAAAAAAAAAAAAAAAAAAAAAAAAAAAAAAAAAGGACTTGTACCTGTCAATGAATTACACTATAATTTCTTATAATTATTGCTCCGCCATAATTTTTTTTAAAAGATTGTAACAAAAAGTTAACATTAGTTTCTTTTTCTTTTATATGCATATTAATTCCTTTACACGTTTACAAACATGAGTCAGTTCAATTTTAAAATAGATAACTTTTACCATGTCATAAAAGAAAGAAAGAAAAAGAACACTCTCAATAAGAAAAATATCACGAACTTTATATTTCTAATAGTTACACGAACATTATACATATCGGAAGGGAGAAGGTCCTGGTCCTCCGAGATGAAGAAAGTTTAATATATTTACCACTTCAAATCCGTCAGTAACTGAAGTTTGTGAAATTAAATTATAAAAGATTAGCTACTTTTGATGAAATAAACAAGCTCAACTACTACTACTCTTCCCTTCTTAATGATATGAACTCTTTTCTTTATTCGCTCTCTCTGTAATAATGGCTTTATAGTATAGACAAAAATTTAGCGGATTAGATTAGATCATATTTACACAATATGTTTTCTATTCATTGATATACTAGTACAATATTATGCTTCATCATGATCAAATATAACACACTGGGCGTAAAAGCAAGTTTGAGAGAGGTTGGTTAAAGACTGTTCACAGTGATAATAATCGATAAGCCTCCTTAGGAGAATACATTATGAAATATATACAAATATATATATATATACATATATAAAAGGCTAATAATAAATACACTCGAAAGGGGGAAAGAAGTATAGATATAACTACATATTGTTAATAATCAAATTTATAAACATATATCAAAATGTACACATAGAATTGATATAGTCCGTAGTGAAATCCATTTGATGTAGATAAGAATATGTGTCTAAAATTGTTTATAGTAGGTCTTTTATTATAAATAAATACAATAATTATATCCATGATATGTCATTAATTATTTACATCATGTTATTCTAAATAACCCATAAAGTAATAGTGTCTATTGAGTATCACTGACAGCCAAAATAGAAAAACATTGCGAATTTCGCTCGTAAAATCTGGTTCTATTCTTACATCGAATGTAACTTTGATAGATGGTATATGACTCTAGCGTAGACAATGGTAGTCATATTTTATTTTATTTTTCTGATAGTTATTTCAAATAGATTTTAAAAGCCTATTTCCTAATGAGCTTAGTCTTGGTACAATTGATTCATACTTTATTAAAAGATAACCCAAATATTAATACAATTGACAGAAGATTAACTTGGAAAAGTCTTTGATATAGCGAAGACTATGTATGATTATTTCCTGGAGGGTTCTTTTTTTTCTTAGCTTATTATTAAATGAAGTTATTTTTTTTTACTCTAAACTATGTTATAAAGAAAAGTAAAAATGCGAGCTTACAAAAAATAATAATCCAGTAATTTACAAAGTTTAGGTTATAAAAAGCACAAAGCTTAATTCTTCTAAAATTAATAATTACTTGGAGCAGCTGGGAAATTAGACATAGACGGATCAAAATACTTGAATTGCAAAAGGTTAAAAGAATATCTTTGTAAATGTATCGAAATTGTTGTAATTAATGACTATCTTATGTCTTCTTCTTTGACTATAATAAGTCTACCCACTTTAAATAATTACTATCTTCGGGACTTATAAATAGTTGATACTATTTGAAATACTGACTTATCATTAATGAAAGATTTAAAATAAAAATGAACGATTCAAGTGATGGGAACGACTCTTTTTAATCTTAGGGTTTAAAGTCATAAGAAAAAAGGTAGGTCTGCGCAAGAGAATTCATATGCGAAAAAAAAAAATCAGCATAGTAACAAACGTGATATCTAGATATTTTCAACACAAATATAAGTGGTTACTTTTTTTTTATGAACAGAATTATATCGATTGTTGCAAATTAGTCAATCATCAATTCAGGTTGACATAATTAATGACGATAGATTGAAGATTGACAAGAATGATTGATACAAAGTTAAAAAAGAAAGGTACAAATTCATGGACCACATAGAATTATTATTATTTTAAAATTCATTATTTTATATATAGAACTTAGTTACAATAAAATGAAATAATAAAGAGTAAAAATTTATTTGAAACCTATGATTTTATTGCGACAAAAGAAATGAGCTAATTTAGTTGGACAAAAATTTTTTTTTTTTTTGACCAATCTTTTCCGAAGAATAAGAAGTAAAGCTGCTTTGAAATAATAAAGAAAGATAAAATTTTGAAAAGGAGAAGTTATTCGAAGAAATACTTTTATTTATTTATTTATTTATTTTTTTTTTTTTTTTCATTTTTTTTTTTTTTTTTTTTTTTTTTTTTTAAATTATTATTATTTTCTCTCTTTTTCTTTTTCTCTTTATTTTTATTTATTTATTTATTTTTTTTTTTTTACTTAAATAACTAATTCCTTTATACATCATTATTTTTATTTTATCTTTTTAAGAGTTATCTTTGTTTACAATCAAGTCATGCGTGAACCTAATTTTAGTTCCCCAGCACAAAATAAAGCAGCTGTAGTTGTTACTTCTACCTTATATGACAGAAGAGCTTTAGATTGTACAGCAACTTTACCATTAGTGAATTCTTTAACTCATCTAGCTTACATGACATCAACTTCACCACGCATTCGTGAAATATTAGCAGCAGATGGAGGATTAGAAAGATTAATAAAGATATTAGCTACTTGCCAACATACAGATAAGCATTCTTTATGGAAATGGTCATTAGCATTTCAATGTGTTGTTAACATTGGTGTTCGTGGTACAGAAGCTATTCGGTCTCGTGTGGTTGAAGCAGGTGCTGTCCATGTTATTCTCGCCATTCTCGAAAATTTTATAAATGCACTTGACCAAACAAAAATAGAAAAGGACCAAGAAAGAAAGCAACATCTCTATAGTCACACTCCAACAACCGCTTTAAGCTTACCAACTATGCCATCTGAAAATAAACAATCTTTGAATACTTTTAACTCTCTTTCACAGCATCATCCTCAGCCTCAAGTTAATCATCATAACATGTTATTTGTCATCCCTAAACGTCGTACATTCTTAAAGCGTATTCGAAAACCAAAACCAAAACCATATACCGCATCATTATCTACTATTCCACTTTTAAATAATTTATCTAATGACGCAATACTTCATCGTGAAGAAGATATTCTTTTATCTTTACAATTGCTTGCTTATCTTTCTAAATACCCTTCTATTCGTCAAGCCTTTCATAATAATCATCGTCATAATGTCTTTTCTGTTGTTGAAAAATTTACTCATCGTCTTCATCCCGCTGCTATTATTTATTGGGCTGGTGTTATCATGAGGAATGCTTGCAGAAAAGATGAAGCAAGAGGTGGTGTAAGACAATGTGCAAACATGCAATGTGGTAAATGGGAGAGATTCCCACGTGAATTTGCTAAATGTCGTCGATGGTAATATTTGCTTTCCTTTTTTTTTTTATAATTTACAAAAAAAATATACATATTAACTTATTTTATATAAATATATACACTATATATATAATTTAGTCGAAAAGCAAAATATTGTTCTAAATCATGTCAATCTAAAGCTTGGGCAGATGGTCATCGATGGTGGTGTGTAGAAAGACCTCATAGTTCACATCCACCTAATGCGACATCATCTACTACTCAGGCAGCAGCAGCAGCAGTTGTTGCAGCAGCTCCACCACCTCCACCCCCTGCTGAACAAGTTGTTCATCTTGAAGACAATGTTACTTCTGATGTTATGGCTATACCCATTGCAGAACATAATAATGGACAACAAGATAATAATAATGTAACAGAAGATACAAATGCAGTTACTACTACTACTACAAACACTCTTAGACAATCATCTCTACCTAATAATACAACAGCTTCTCCTACTACAACTACATCAAATCATATGACATCTATATTAGCTAGTCGTCCGCCACGTGAAGGAGATCTACTATTTTATCACCATTCTCAACGAAGGAATTCTCGCTCTGCACGTAGTTTTGCTTCTGGAAGTTCAACTGAAGTAGAAGCAGATACTTCAGATAATTCACACGAACGTCCAAGAGATTTAATGGATGTAGATTAACTTAAAAAAGACGTAAGAGAAGGGTTAATTTTGAAGCGGAAAAAAAAAAAGAGAATTTATTTTTTTTCTTTTTTAACAATATAATAAATGATGATATATTCTATAATTATGTATTGGCAGTAATAATATTCATTCTGAATGAATTATTGGTTCCTTCCTCTAAGTTTATTTTATTTTGTGGGCTGTGATTTTATATGACTACGATTAAACAGTTTTTATTTTTACTATTTTTTATAAATTAACCTATGAGCACATAATATCTTTGTTATATTAGATTGCCTAGGTCAGTTCAAATTATGTGAAAAAAAAGTATCTAAAAACCCTCTTACGGGGACAAGAGGTAAAAAAAAGGTGAAGGGAAGGAAGAAGAAGAGAAGGTGATAAAGAAAGGGGGGAAATATTGCTAACAAGTTTAAAGGGACAACCAGTTGAGTCATTTCCTGCCTGGGTCAAGAAGTGGAGGGAGACATAGTTTATCGTGTATTAAGTGATCCATTACCTGTAGAATGGTACACATCGCTGGCCAGCGATAGAGCCAGGCAGTAACATCCCGAGAATTTCGATACTTACGCTGAGGGAGATGATTTAAAAGAAAGGTAAAAAAGGGGATCTGCAATTGATCGTGGCAAGAATAAACATGTGTGCATGTACAAGCATTCAGTGGCGTATGACCGACTAAAAGTGTACTTAAGGATGATATGGGCAGGCTTTAGGTATTCCTCCGGGTAACCAACCAAGACGCCATCAAATAGTTCGACTATGCTCACTGTGTGTCGTGAGTAACCAGAGTATCGGATCAATAATCGAATTTTGGGGGGGGGGTAACAAGCGGAAAGCAAAACAGAACGTGCCCCGTCACGTAGCTGATGAAAACTCTCTTCAAGAAATTCTTGACAATGTTTCCAAAAGGAGTGTTGGCGACACAGAGTCTCCAGCATGGTGTTTGAATGAGTTTATACCATTGAATGTTAAAGGTGGAGGCTTGAAGCTCGGGAAGTAATTTAGCGAGCAAGGTATTATCCGGTAAATCAATAGCACAGAAAACGAATTGGGCTTGAAGAATGGACACCCTAACCTTCATCGATGATTGGTTTACCATATGAAGCATCACATTTACTGATGATCGACTAGAGTCACCAAATATCCGTCTTATGCATATGCTTTGACAAGATCCCAGTTGTTGGATATCCTTTGCACTAAGTAGACTAATAGCTAGACCATATTCGAGTTGTGGTCGGACTATCTGCGTGTAGAAGCGAGTAGCGAGTAAACGATCAAATCCCTTGAGGTTAACCCCAATAGATGCCATTTGGTTCATTGTTTGTAGGGCTTTGTTAGTATTATTTTGTACGAGTTGCGCTATATCTAAGAATCCTCCTATCTTTGATGGGGATACCTAGATAAGAAAAACATTTTTTTTGGGTTGGAATGGGGTCACGATATAAAGTGTACGGTTGCTGATGATCAGAAGGATCAAGGATTACACGTTTACCAGGATTCTAGCGGTAGCCTAATAAATTACTGTTTTCTTCACATAACAATAATAAAGAGCGTCACTTTTCAGGTGCCGTGATGAGGACAACATTGTCAGCATATAACAAGCAATTAAGCGATTGTACAAATTGAAGTGGTTGATCACATATATTTGTTGAAATTGGTAATAGACATAGAATATCAGGAAGCTTGTTTATGTATATTAAGTACAAAAAATGGAGAAAGAACTGAGCCTTAAAGAACATCAGTTTTCAGGGATTCTAGGATTACAGTATTCACACTTCAAATTCGGACAATGTTCGATTTTTTTTTTTGGACGATAGCAACGGCAACGCTGCAACGTTAACCAAGCATGACTCTTGAGCTACAATCTCCGAATTGTCTGTAAATGGATTCGCAAAAAAAGTTAGTGAACAAGATCAATCATCATTTAGTTACCCACTATTTTAGGGTCTACAATAGTAGCAGTCGACAAGACCTCATTGATTTTCTTTTGCTATGTCATCACAGTCAGCTTATAATACGATCTTTATCTGCTTTTTGAAAGTTTGTAATTTGAAATGCTAGATTTTGATGTGGAAGTTTTTATAAATAGATGCATGATTTTGTAGGATTATTTCATATCTTGCCATTAAATCTGATAATTTTGAATCCTCTAAATATCTGGACCATTGCTTTTCAATCGCCGCTTTCAGTCTTCCACCCTCACGAATTAAATTCTTTCCATCCTAACTATTTTCAAGTAGAGCAGGCCAACTTCACTTCTTTTCTATCATTAGCTAAATTTCGATAACGACGAGATAATCGCTAAAGATATTGAAATTTGAGGAAAAAGAGTAGAGAAGGAGGGTAGCTCTGTAAGTAGTGTGCGTACTATACATTTATATTCCCTATTGACATAGCGTACCGTCTTTAAATAAAATACCTCTGACTACTCATATTGCTACAATGATTTTTTTTTTCTTTTTCAAACGATCTTATTACATGCGTTGTGATGGTTAGAAAAATTACTTTACTTAAGGAATAGAGAGGCTCGTATTTCAATAGATGAGTAAAGTATGATGATTAGCATCAGACATGTTTAGATGCATAATGTAAATAGTGTCCATGTTATTTAACCTTATACAATAAATATTAGAAGATGGAAGGAGGAAAGACAAATGAGAATGGTCAATTAAAGCAATTCCATTTTATAGCTTTTTTTACAGATTATTAAAAAAAAAAAAAAAAAAGAACTATATACAAAATCATTTTTCTTCTTCTTCTTTTATAATGCTCTTGATAATTATTTACGTGTTCTTAATGTACGGTAGCTTGGGTTTTGTTCTAAAAATTTAGCTCGAAGTGTCTTGAAACGACCCCAACAACATCCACGAGAACGATGAGGTAAATATCTAGAGGATATCATAGCCCAAGACAAACCTTGTAAATAACCTTTTTCTAATAAATAATCTTCTGAAGTAGTCCATGGTGTACGTCTTTGATGTTTCTTCTTTTTTGAGATAAATAAATTAGAGTCTAGAGTCTCTAATAATGAAGGTGAACTAGAAGACCAATAGGTGACTTGTCTTTCGTATTCTTTTTCAAAATTTGAAGAATTATCACAAAGTAAATATTTGATGTCCATATGCTATAAAAAAATAAAAATAAAAATAAAGAAAAGAAATAAGAATGATAAAAGACTGGATTTTATTATCATTATTTAGACTTCTTATTGTTCTATATATATATATATAAATGTATATATACATATAAATATATAAATATATATGTATATATATTTATATCAATGCTCCTTTTCTTTCATTTAAGGGTTCTATATATAATAAATAACAGTTTATTTTTGACAGCTGTATACTACAATAAATAAAAGGAGAAATTATAACATAAAAAGGAGAGAAACACACAAAAAAAAGATAAATCAATTTATATGTCTATTACGATAGAATAAAGGAGGGAATATATGATGTATATAATGTATAAAAGATAAAGGATGTACGTTAAATATTCTATATAAATTACAGAGATTTTTGTTATATATCTATGTAAGCGACCGAGCGAGTAAGTAGGCGCGTGGGTGAGTCTGTATGTATATTTGTATGTATGTGATATGTATATTGATTACAGTATAATAATAATAATAAAAAGGAGTGTTATATATCTTTAAATATAACTTGATGTTTTCTTTCTAAAATAAAATAAAGTAATATCATAGTTTAGTATCTACAATAATATACATACGTACATACATATATAATATAAATATTTGCATAAATAAATATATGTATGTCTGTATGTCTGTATGTATGTATGTATGTATGTATGTATGTATTAGATGTAATAATTATCATGGTTAATATCTTTAATATAATTTTTTTTGATATAATTGAGTACTGCATATATGAATATATACAAGATTAAACTATATTTGTCAAGATATGTATAACAATCTAACAAAAAAAAAAAAAAAAAAGGATTAATATTCATAAGGGGAAAGGAAATAATTATTAATTGCCGAAGAAACTCTTATTATGGAGAGTTAAATTAAAAAAAAAAGGGGGAGTTAAGCATTGTCAATAAATTGTATCTAATAGACAACATTGATTTTAGTCATATTAAATCATGTATATTCTAAAGCTTAAGAGTTAAGAAAGAGTCATTTTACTTGGAAGGAAGTTTATTGTATTTTGTTTTTCTTCAACGCGTAAAATATACATTATTCACCAGATAACATTGGGAATAAATTTAAGATAAACCCATTTTAGAAGTTTGCAGCACATTCAAATTATATAAGAATTTGTGTCAAATGTACAAAATATTAAGAAATTATTTGCACTTATTCCTCCTTGAGTAAATCTAGTAAAGTAAATAAAATACTGAAAACTAATCCATTATTAGATGTAAGGTAATCAAATGTTTTTAAGTAGAAAGCCAAGACAAGTCAGAAGTAAGGATGAAACTATGAAATTATGACTTTGCAGCAATATTAAACTTTTGGTCTATATTGATAAGCTTGAGGGAAATGGGTAAGCGCCCAAATCGTTGTAGCAGAAAGTAATCCCAACAAAATCAACAGCAATAGCAATATTAATAAAATAAAATAAAAACTCCCTCTTTCTAGTAGGTTACCATTTGTATTTTCATGAGTAAGTGTTTAGACTAAAATAATAATAATAAAAAAAGACGCTAACATTATCTGTTTATATTTTAATGTTTCCCTCCCCCTTAATTATGTTCGATACCAATAATACTGGCTATTCTTTCTTGTACTTGGGAATTCGTTTTTTATATGATGTCTCTTATTGAATCAATTTTTATCTTCTTTATATCAGCTTTTGTCGTATTATTTTACTTTTGTGTGATCCCAATCATTTCTCAATAAAATTTAGAATTGAAAAGTATCATTCATCCCAATCATAGGCTCACTCGGTCTCTCGATACTGTCTGTTTAAATATGCATCGTCAATTACAAATGCCAAACATCGTGACTAATCATTTTACCTATGCTACTCAGTTACCTTCCTAGCAAACATAGAAAAGCCACGTGTTGCGTGAGGCGACTCTTCCGCCCCTGCATGGATTATTTACTAGCCGATGCTATATCGCATATACTTTGAATTTAATTACCTTCACCATGGTAAGTTATCTCCTGAAAAACCTCTTTCTTTCTTGGTACTGACTTGATCAAATGGTTACGTGGTAATTAATTTAGTATTTGAAAATATCATTCTCTACTCCTCTTCCCTTCTTAAACTTTTTTCCCCCTTTTTCATTATCATTTTTTTTTTATATCCTTATTTTTTCCCTTTTTTTGATCTGACTTTGTCACTACAATACTATTTCATTTATGTGTTCAAGAATGAGCCTTAAAATTTTATTCAATAATAAAAAAAATTGTAGAATTGATGATTGCAGTCCTTTTTTTTTTTTTTTTTCTATCGGACACGAAAAAAAAAAAAAAATTAAATTTGTTAATTTGACCTTTCTCTGATTTTGACTTGTCTCCTTCTTTTCCCCTTTTTTTTTTTTTTTTTTTTTTTTCATTAAATTGCCAATAATTGATGTTAAATATTAAATGTATTCACCCCAAAGAACAAGTATTTTAAAAAGCCCTGCACGACAGTCTCCAATAAAAAGAAAAAGTCCTAGTGAAAGTCCAATCAACAATAGATATTATACTTCTAACACTTCACCTTGGCGATCATCACCAACAAAACGCAATGAAGATCCTTCAATGTCTCTTGAACACTATTTAGCTATGAAACAGTCAAGAAAAAGAATGAAACCAGCTGATGATTCACCTACAAGGCCATTGAATGGTATCAGAGGCAACTCGAACAACACTACACTGCCTTCTGTATATAATAATAGAAGATCAACTATACTCATAAATAATAGAAAGAGACCTAATCAAATAACTGCGAATCGAGCCAAACCTAATCTTGGAATGACTAGTAGTCCAGTTACATTACCAAAGAAAGATGTTCGATCTTGTATAACCATTTGTAATCAGGCAGGAGGACAAGATTTAAAGATTCGTGTATGTGTTAGAAAACGACCATTAAATAAACATGAGATTAACATGAATGAGCAAGATATTGCACCATTAACAAATACTAGAACTATTGAAATCCATGCGCCAAAGTATATATCTTATAGATGTATATACATTATAATATATTGTTATATAGACTTATTGTTTATTTATTTTAAAGACAAAAAGTAGATCTTACAAAGTATATTGAACAACATTCTTTTACATTTGATGACGTTTTTGATTGTAATACCTCAAATAGAACTGTAAGATAGATACACACATATTTATATTTTTGCAGCTATTTTTTTTCTTTTGCATGCATATTGTGATACTAATTACATATTGAAAAAAAAAATAGATTTATCAACAAACAACTCGCCCTTTAGTAGAACATATGTTTAAAGGTGGAAAAGCAACTTGTTTTGCATAGTAAGGAATTATTATCTATCAATAGTATAGTGCGAGTTAAAAAAAATCATATACATAATTATTATTTTATAGTGGACAAACAGGTTCTGGAAAGACATTTACTATGCTTAATCCTAAACATGGTCTTTACTTTCAAGCTATTACAGATATTTTTAAACTTCTCAATAATCCACATTACAGCCATCTTCAAGCCTGGGTAGGCTACTATGAAATATACCAGGGACAACTATTTGACTTGCTTAATAGTCGGAAAAAGCTAGTTCCACGAGAGGATGGCAAGGGCAATATTATCATTTCAGGTTTAAAAGAATATCATATCCATTCATCCTCTGTCATGAAACAAGTTTTTGATTTTGGTAATCGAGAGCGTACAACATCAAAGACAGAAACAAATGAAGCGTCATCCAGATCGCATGCCATTTTACAAATTTTACTTAAACAAACTTCGAACCATGCTGTCTATGGTAAATTAAATTTTATTGATCTTGCAGGTAGTGAAAGAGGTACAGATCGTGGTAGTAATTCAGATACAAAGACGCGTATGGAAGGAGCAGAGATCAATCGTAGTTTATTGGCCTTAAAAGAATGTATTCGTGCCTTAGATCAAGATAAACGGCATGCGCCCTTTAGAGGAAGTAAATTGACAATGGTATTAAGAGATTCCTTTATAGGCAATTCAAAGACATGTATGATTGCTACTATATCACCTAATCATTCAAATAGTGATCATACATTGAATACATTAAGATATGCTGACAGGTATGTTAGTTATATATGTATATATATATATGTGTGTGTGTGTGTGTACTGAATTAGTAATCATATTACTTTATATTTATAGAGTAAAAGAATTAAAAGGCGAATCTGATCCAAGGTTATTAAATACTACTACTACTACTACTAACAATGTACTTGAAGAATCATCCTTATTTCAAAAGGAACAAGATGATCCAATGCTATTAGAACCAGAAATTACAATTTCTACTACTATAACAAATGATAACACAAGCCAGTCTACACCCACCGTTCATATACCCATCCATCATCTACAGCCGCCACCAAAGCTCACAAAAAGGCATATTAATAATTTTATTCATTCCCACAAAATTCAGGTAGAAGCATTTGAAGCTTATATTAGAAGTTCAAATGAATTGATAGCTCAATTTGAAAGAGATTTTGAATATCTAACAAGACGAGATGACGAACGATCAAAACAACTTTTGAAAGAAAAATTCGAAAACTATCAACAAGAGTTATCCTATAAGGGATCTCATGTAGATTATTTTCTTCAAAATTTGAAAAGTAAGGTGAAAGCTGAACTTGTAGATGATGATGAAGAAGATCATTAATATATAAATAAATAAAGCTAAAGCTAAAGCTAAAAAAAAAATGATTTCTATTCTTTATAATATTTTAATTAAAATGACGTTATATTATATTGTCGCTTGTGATGATACTTGTTCTGTAGTCTTTGCTGTTGTGGTAGCATTTAGGTTTATATTGAGCTTCTTTTTGTAAGGATTTCGAAGTTCCTTCACAAGATCTTGGGGGAATGGAGGTTGAAAAGGATTGTGCTGGTAAGTGACAGTCAATACATCCTCAGGTGCCGTTGTAAATTGTTCATCAACACTTTGATCATCATATTTTCTCTGTGGTTTAGGGATCTCGATATCTGTTCCTTTCACAAATCGACTCCAACGTGAAATAATACGACCATCTTCTAAGGTCCTTGTCACTTTACGACGTTCAATACGTGTAGGTGTTCTAAGAGCAAATAAAAGAGGAGGAGAAGAAAAAAAAAAGATGAATACATAAGAATATTGAAATGTAATGTACTTTACTGTGTATTAGGATGAAGTAACATAACGTTGGAGTAATGAATAGGTAATTCTATTCTCATTATGCCTTCAGGCGCAGCAGGTTGCATAGGAACATGTTTCTTGGCCTAAACAAATAAATAAGGTTAATTTTTATTTTATTTTATTTTATTTTATTTTATTTTATTTTATTTTTGTATCATACTAATTTTTTCCTTCAACAATGACTGTATTTGTTTTACGATTTACTGATTTAATCTCACCAATGGTATCTTTATCTTTACCAGCAATAATAGCAACCTAAAAAAAAAGAAGAAGAAAAAGAATTGAGCATGTATTAATTCAAACATGTCAGAAACTGAACTTAATAATCTGATTTACTTTATCACCAGTAACAATGTTCCATTGTTTAATTCTATCTTTAGGATTAACCCATTTTATTTTAGGGACTACTCGCGAAGAAATGTTACCACGATGCATTTTGTTATTGTTGTGTGTGTGTGTGTTTTTTAGCGTTAATAAAAGGAAAAAGACACTGTTTGATACCAGGGCGGAGAGTGGGAAGGGGGTTTTGTTTTTTTATTACCCCTCACTGATAATAGTGACTCTTTTTTTCTACAGGCTATTTAAGCAATATTAAGACAAAAAAAACTCTTTCTTAAAAATCAAAATAACCTATTACATAGAACATCCAAAAAGCTCTTTATCTCTAATGATTTATGCTGTTATTATTCCAATACAACGTCTTTTCTGTAAACAGAATTCAAAGGAAATCATAGAATATTGAAGTATATCTTATACTATCATCTGTTGTCATATTTCAACTACTTTAGTTATTTTAGCTTGACTTGTTTTATTTTTTCCCAACTTTATTGTTGATGAAGGCGACTATTTATCGAGAAAATCTGATTAAAGTGTAATTAATGTTACCCCTTAAATAATAGAGCAGAGTTTTATTCATTGTAGAATAATTAATATAAAGTGACAGCCAATACAGAAGAAAGCATTTATTGTCTAAAAAGTAAGGAAAATAATTACAAGACAAAAAAAAAAAGGTAATAGTAGGTGTACTAGATTCTGCTTATTTGGATTGTAAAATAAGGTAACCTAATATCTGTTAATAAACTCTCTGACCATGCTTTTATAAAGCATTAAGAATTACAGTAAATTATATATCTTTTACATACAAAAGAACGTTGAACTAAAAGTTGGGTGGAAAATAGTTAAAGACTCTCTTAAGATACGGTAGTTTGGAATCATGCAAAGATATCAATGGTTAAAGCATTATTTTTTCTTTAACCGTATGTAGACCCTTCTATAAGTTGTAAACTCTGCGATTATTATTTTATTTATTTTTCATGACTGTAAGAATTTTATTTAAAACATTAAAAAATGACCAATGAGCACAAATCATTTATATATGCTGTTTTGCCCTGGTCAGATCGCTATGGAAAAAAAAAGAAAAGAAAACCCCTTTTGGGATAAAAGGGGAAACGTTGAAGTGTATGTATAAGTGATGATAATTAACTATCAGAAAATCGTTGTTGTATTGAAAGATGATGATGATCAGAAGGTTCAGGGATTTGGGAGTGAGCTAGGTAGTGCATCTCAAGCAGAATTGTACATATAAAAGGCCAGCGTATGAGCCAGACATCAATTGATTTTCTCACTTTCTTAGTAAGGAGTTTTGATGGTAATAGATTCAAGAGATGAAGGGTCTACATGCAGTATTAGCACTTTAAATTCGGATAACTGAAAAATATTTTCGGACTGGTTCAAAAAGGCTTTCAGGCCAATGAGAAAAAGTATTCAGACAACTGTAAAAAATGAATTCAAACAATATTAAAAGCATTCAGACCCTTAAGATACTAAACTATACATAGTTTTTTACCAAGGCATGTATCTAATCCCACTATTCATGTTGAGTATACCGACACACGGCATTTTGAACCAAAATTACAATATTGTATGCACTTGTACCTTTTTATCTATTTTTATGTTCAGCTTATTGGATCGAACGGAATAACTGGTGTCATAATTCTGATTTATTCTTAAAAATGTTGTTAATTACTTTTTTACCTCTTTATTATACAATTTTTTTTTGATATAAAAGTAAACTCTTTAAAAGCAATAACGGTCAAAACCTCTGTTTCTAGACTTCAGTGGAAGCCGGAATATATACCAAGGCTTAGACGCCTCGTGTCAACTACTAATACAATTGTCATTCACACTTTTGCGTTGATGAAGTTCATTTTTACTAGTGAATTGCAGAAAGATGAATCTTTTAACCTTCAAAAATATGCTCAAAAGGATTTTTACATGCAGGTGTTTACGGTACTCGTACAACAAAGCAGATCCATTTCTCCAAAGAGCTCGAAAACAAAAGAGTTTAGAGAATTGTCTGTAAAATATGTGGAAGAGTACTGCAAGTTAAGTAGTTACGTTCCTGTAGAATTGAAAAATTCACAGCAAATCGTGACGTACGAATGTGCCAAAATTAATACTGTGTACAAAAAAAAAAAGCCATTGTAGTACACTTTGGGAGTAGATTTCGTATGTTCATCAACCAAATCACAGGTCAAAAAGAGAGGATCAAAAGTAGAAGGCAAGAATTACTTAAGGGAAATCAGATCAAAGAAGAGGTAAACAGAATTATTTTCAATGAAATTACAGAGCCTCGTTAACGTCTGAAGCTTTCATTTGCTTCTGGCATAATCCAAAACTTGCCCACGGATATTTTGGACGATAAAACCGTCTCTCTTATTCAACAGTTATTTGATATCTACAACAATAATTATAAATTTCCGAAGGGAAGTATCTACTACGATTGCAAAGCAGACCTCTCAATCATTTAAAGGCATACTAGAAGATTGCAAACTTGTACGAACAGACAGGAAACAAGTCGTTCATGTGCTTTCCTTTGAGAGGAACTTATATTCCCTCTTATATGATGATCGATACCATGATCCTGAGCAACCATATTGTAAATCCCAGTCAGCGATCCAACCTAGACAAAAAAACTCACTTGGTCCAAAGTAGTCATTGTATCATGCAAAGCTCTGAAGGATCAAGGCCAATCAAAGTCAAAGCAGTTTCGAGGCATGATTCAGACTGATGGTATAGGAGTTTCTGTTCTCAAACAGAATAAAGAATCATCCAGAGGAGGTAATAGGGGCGTACGCATACAAGATGACGAGGCTTTCCAATACATATGCATATTGTCAACAAAAGATCTTTAGGACACCACCAACAAGTGCGTCTTTATAGATCCTGGACGCCGTGACTTGTTGTACTGTATGCACGAGAGAAGCAAAAAAAAAAAAAAAAAAAAAAAAAAAAAAAAAAAAAAAAAAGAGCAACTACGACATATATCGGCATACCAGTAATCAAAAAGCCAAGGAAACCAAATCGAGGAAGTTTATTAAACTAAGACAAACCACAAGGCCTGGAGAAGTAAAGTAATGCGAAGCAGATCTTTCACAGTATGCAGCTTCGACTGTCAACGTCCTTCAGTTTTCTGAATACCTGAAGGTCAAGGGAAAAGCTCATAATACATTAGCATCTTATTATTCAAATGAAGACAATACAGGGCGCGAACATGGCTTACTTCCCTTCAGAAAGATGAAACTCTCTTCAATTATCAACAAACAGCAGTCCGACAGCCGACTTGCAGCAAAACTTAGAGAGAAATTTGGGAAGGATTCTGAACTTGTGGTGGGTGATTGGTCTGCTGCCAACAGCAAGTTCCACGAACCGATCAGAGGCAAGGACATGCGAAGGATGTTGAAAAAGCATAGTTTTTTAGTATATCTGATTGATGAATACAGTACTTCTTCCTTTTGTCTCAATTGCAACGATGGAAAACTGGGAAAGTTATTGCAAATACTTAAATCACGGCCATTCAGAAGAACCACTAGACCAAAAGTCATATGTCATGAACTCTTAAGGTAAAACCTCAGCATTCTAAAATGCAGACAGCTCTTTTAGTAACCTCTTTTTGTTCAATAATAGATGTACAAATAAAAAATGCTTGGAGTCCAACAGACAATGGTGGAATAGAGACTTGGTGGCAGTGCTAAATTTTAGGGATGTCATGAACAGCCACAGACAAGCACTTGGCCGTCCTTCCAGGTTTTCAAGACATATCTTGAAACGTCCTTCTACAAGCAATGATGACTCATCGAAAAAGTAAATCCGCTTTATGCCATTCTAATAATGGCAATATTTTTGCCTAAAGAGATGGGTATTGATAGAGTAAACCATGATACAGATAAAATTATATTCAACGCTCTTTTTTCCATCTGAAAAATCATGAACCTTTTGTCCGAAACTCCTTTTTTGTTTGTCCGAAAAAATACTAACATTGTCTGAGTTTAAAGTGTGAAAGCTGTAGACTTGGATAGTGGCTATTGATGAACTTCGTATATCAAGGATAATATGGATACACATATTTACAATGACTCGAGCTGAATCGACACACCTTTATTTCTATTGAAATTATGAAGAGTATCCGTCTATACAAAAATGAATAACTTTGTAGGAATTTTTTTTTTATTTTACTTTCGTAGCATTCAAATTCATACAAGTTGTAGAAAATGACATCTAGTCTAAAAATATTTTGTCTGATTTTCAATTTTAATAAAATGGAGATTTCTGCACGATACAAACAGCTTTATAACGATATCTTGGCCTTTTTTATTATTTTTATTATTATTATTAATTTTATTTTTATTTATAATAAGATGAGTTTCCACGTTAATTTTGCTCCTCATGGAAAGCAGCTTGATGAAGCATTTCAAGCAGTAATTAGTGACAGAGATGATACAAATTGGTTAATATTTGCGTTTGACAAAGGCACTTATGATCTTAGAGTTCAAGCAACAGGCGGTAAGACAAAAAAAAAAAAAAAAAAAAAAAAAAAAAAGGAAAGAAGCTTAACGTTGCATATATATTGTAATAAAAAGATGGTGGACTTGAAGAGTTAAATGACGAATTCTCGGATGGAAAGGTTCAATTTGCTTATGCAAAAGTCATTGATCCTAATACAGAACTTCCAAAATTTGTCTTTATTGGTTGGGTAAGATTATTCATTTTTCATTACTTTGTTATATAAAAAAAAAAGAAAAGTTCTCATTTCTTTTTATAGTGTGGTAGTGGTGTTCCTGAATTGAGAAAGGCTTTCTTCAACTCACAACTGAATGATGTATCCAAGTTTTTCAAGGTAGATAATATTGAAAAAGAAAGTCAAAGCTAATTCAATTTGTATTCACATGTAACTACTAGAGTTTTCATGTTCAAATTAATGCTCGAGATGAGGTAATGTAGATGATTAGATATATAAATTAACAAGCACTTGTATAAACTTGAAATATGGCTTTAATTAGGCGGATGTTGAACCTAGTCTTATCATGAAACGTGTTGCTGAATCTTCAGGCGCCAACTATAGTGTCCATAAAGAAACTGCAAAGCCTCAACCTAGGGTCGAACCTGTGGTAAGGAAGAGAAGAAATATATTGTTATTTGATTTTTTCTTTTTAAAGAAAAAAACCATAAGAATTAACATATTTACATATTTCTATTTTAAAAGGGTTCTGTCTACAAAAAGACCGAAATTCCTGACATTGCAGCAATGCAACGTGAGTCCATGAAAAAAGAAAATGCACCCAAACCTGTTGGTACAAATTATACACCTATCCAAACCGCACCAAAGAAATTGGGAAATCGTTGGAATGTAGCACTGCAAAATCAAGATTCAGGTGCTATGGCAGTTCGTGCTGAACGTGAACGATTTGAAAGAGAGGTACGTGAACGTGAATCTCAAAGAGCCAGAGAGATACTATCCAATGAGAGTCATAATGAAGATGAAGAGAGATTAAAGGCGATTAAACGTGAACAAGAAGAAGCTGAAAGAAAAGAACGTGAGGCTGAAGAAGAAAGACGTAGACATGAAGCTGAAGAGGCAGCCAAGATACGTCAACAAGAGGAACAGGAAGCTCTAAGATTGCAGGAAGAGGAAGAAAGACGCCGTCGTATTCAATTAGAAGAAGAAGAAAAAGAACGTGCTAGATATCAACAACAACAACAACAAGAAGAGGCTGAACGTAAACGTCAAGAAGAAGAGGCCGAGCGTAAACGTCAAGAAGAAGAGATGCGTAAAGCCGAAGAGGAGGAAAGAAGACGTAGAGCTAGAGAAGAAGAAGAAAACCAGCGTCGTCAACAAGAAGAGGCAGAAAGATTAGAACGTCAAAGGCAAGAAGAAGCAGAAAGATTAGAGCATCAAAAGCAAGAAGAAGCAGCTGCTCTTCAATCTCAAATGAATGAGGTAGATATAAATATATGTTCATTCAAGTTATGTTTTTATTAAATACCCTGTTTTTTTTTTCTTCTTCTTCTTCTCTTATTAGGTCACTGATCGTGCTATTCATGCTTCACAAACTGCTAGTGCTGCTGCTGCTGTCCCCAATGGTCAATATGAAGGTTTATGCGCTGTTGTTTTATTTGAATATGATGCTGGTAAGAGAAGTTTTTTTTTTTTTTTTTTTTTTTTTTTTTGTAATTCATAATTTCTTTCAACTAAATATGATTATTAACATTAGCTGAGCCCAATGAAATGTCACTTGTGGAAGGTGAAGTTATTTCTCAAATTGATCAAGTAGATGAAGGATGGTGGTATGGTGTTGGTGAGGATGGTAAAAAACAAGGTTTATTCCCTGCTAACTATGTTCAGCTTTTGGAAGAACAGCCCTCTTTAGCTCCTAATGAATCTGTATCCACTTCTGCACCAACTTCTACACAAGCCTCAACTCCACTTAAGCAACAATCCGAACAAGAAGAAGATAAGGGTAATGTTGCTGTTGCGCTTTATGATTATGAAGCAGATGAAGATAATGAAATATCTTTTGTCGAAGGTGATGTTATTACGCATATAGAATTTGTCAGTGACGATTGGTGGCAAGGTCTTGCTGCTGATGGTAAATCAGTTGGTCTATTCCCAGCAAACTATGTTGAATTACAGCAATAAATTATGTAACTTTTATAAAATTTGTTATTAAGATATGTAATGTTAAGCTTATTACTACGGCTTGTTATACATAATTTGAATATATGTTATTTTATTGTATAAAAAGTAAGCAAATAAAGACCCTAAATGTGATTTTGAGGATATAATTCGTTATTGTTATTTTAGAAATATAAGTATTATTTAGCAAGTATTTAATATAGTAAGGACAATAACAGTAGCAAAAAAAAAATTACTCCCCTTGTTCAAACATATTTAAAAAGGTACTACTCTCTTTTCTTTTTTTGTAGAAAAAAAAACTAATGAATTTAACAATGAAGATCAATATTATAAGATATATAACTAATTTTATTTATAATCAACTTTAATAATTAAAAAACTTCCAATTATGTTTGATATAAACCTCTTCGTTATAAACAAACACGGTCAGTACTCCAGTAGTTCTTAAACTGAAAGGTTTTTATATTGGTTTAGGAACTACTTTGTTTGTGAATAATCTCCGTAGACTTGTTAAATTATCCAAAACTTGACTTACAACTAATTAAAGTTGTTAGCAGCATTGGATCATTTGAATAGTTGGTTGTAATGTATGATTTCTTGCATATTCTCCAAATACTCTTGCAAGAGAATAAGTGATTTCTTGGTTACATTTAGACCGTAATTGCCTGACATATGTTAAAGGATCTGCACCCATGGAAAGCAGCTGATCGCTACTAGCATTAAGTATTTTAATTGATTTTTTTATCGAGGTGGCTGATAAAAAAATACGTGCATCTGTTGAAGGATTGAAATTTTTTGTCGATGCACCCCCCTCAGGGGCAAGCTTAACATTATCTACACGAATACTTGAAATGGCCAGAATGTTGCAAGTGTTTGATCCAATTATTAGTTTTTCAGAATTATCAAAAAAAATCTTTGTAATCTTTAACTTGTTCAGATACTGGGACTTAAAATCAGGAAGTGATGATTGTTGCGGAACTTTCTCAAAATGTGCATCAATACTTGGATATCTGCAATAAGATTCCACGCCATTAAGGAGAAGCGCGTGACTGCCGTCTACTAAAATCGAACTAGCCAACAAATGTCCCACCACCAAGTACATCTGTGGTCACTTCCTCCAGTATGCATTTAAAAGCCCCAAGTGTTCTTCATTTAACATCATATAGCTATCAAACGTGAATAGTTGGCTATATGGACTACTTTTAATTATTTGATAACATGATGGGGTTGAAGATGGGTCATCAACATGAGCACAGTCTGCCCATGAGGAAGGCTTGCCGCATGGTGTAGAGAATTTTATTCTTTTTTTACTTCTCTATGTTCCATGTCTTCAACATTTGCTGTAGTCAGGGCAGTGATTTTTTGCTTGCATCCATCTTCAAAATCAACATCTACATCAAATGGTGATAATTGTAGCGCAGAAATAACATTCTGAAGTATCTGACTATTTGATGGATTATCTTCAGGGTACAATGAATTGATAACGTTTTGTACTGAAATTTTTGTTGTTGGTTCTACGTGTCATGATTGTAAGATTTATAGCTTTATTCAATAAGATAAATAATCATAATAGAACATATAATACACTTTTATGATAATTGTGTCTATACGCATATTTTAAGTATATTTAATCTTGTATAAAAAACAAAAAAATAAAAAATAAAAAAGTCTTTTATGTAAAAATACCTCCTTTTTTTTTTATTAATTCTCTGCTGAGTATGAAATTATAAAATAACTTTATAAAATAAACTGGAGTAACACAAGTACGTGAACACTTTGAACACCTTCAAAACACTTTAAATCATAAAAGAATGATGATGTAGCAGCAAAGTGTAACATATGTAGATGCATTGTTTTTGGTTACCATTGGTCTTCAGTTAATTACACAGTTTTTTAATCTATAATGAGACAGTTGTGTTGTTTTTTGGAAATCGACACCGAGCTCTTTTCATTTAGAGACAACCTCATAACGCAGACGGAGTTCCCTGTCTATGTCTATGTCTGTGTCTATGTCTCCGTCTATGTCCATATCGTACTTCGATGTTTGTTTAAGTGAAAAGAAACGCGTTTTAGTAATATGTTTCTACAGTGCTGGCAACGAAATGATCAAGTTAGGAAATTTTTCGATCAATTCCGCTCTAGCTAATTCTAATATTGTGACTTTTTGTTTATCAAAGTACTGGATTCAAAAGGTTGTATGTTCAGGAACGAATTTGGGAGGTGTATCTCTATTACGCCCCTTTGACTTGGTTTCTAGTAAAACAGGGCCAGGCCTCTCTTTATATCCTTTTAGAAGTTTATAAACAGTGCTACGTGGAATCATACACTTCTCAGCTGCTTTTGCTACAGACATACCCTCTTCCCTCATAAGAAAAAAAGTGTTGGATTTGATCTGTACCGTATTTCTTTTTCTTATCTACAAGTGGAACCGCTTCAACTTTTGCAATTTTTTTGCTGACATCCACAACTTCCATCTTTTCACCGGAAGATTCATCATAAGTGTAAGAGTCGATTTCTTCAGAAATGTAATTAATAATGTCCATGTCAATCTTAGATTAAAGTGTAAAAAATCGAGAAGAGTTTAATCCTAAAAAAATATAAAAATAGAACTTTACATGTTACATCACATGATACTAAATTTGAAAAACAACTTACATGCGTCATCTTTTTTGAATATAGGACTTAAGAAAATCCTTTTATTTTGCGATTTATAAAAATAATGGCAACACGCACTTTGTAATGTGAAATATTTTGTATATATAATTGTATCTAACATTCTTGAAAAAAATGGTAGATGTTTTTGGTTGTGCATGCAAAAATATAAAAAAAACATTTTCCTTACGAACAAACATAGCCAGTCGCAGATATGACTTAGTCATTTTCTGACTTACCGCAAATCTTAAACTGTTGGATCCTTGTTAGGTTTAAGTTTTTAGTTTGGTTATGAACATTCTCCGCGGGCTTGAGGTGTTATCCATGCACTTGACGCAACTAGAAACTACACATGGTAAGAGTTGGCTCATTTAAAGGACGGTTTTTGGATGGTCTTTTAAAAGAGTTGCTCGTCGAGAATGTTGTAAGTAAAAGAAGTAAGCAAAGCTTGAAGCCGTAACTGGTCCCAGATCATTTTCTGTCTTACCGCAAATCTTAAACTGTTGGATCCTTGTTAGGTTTAAGTTTTTAGTTCGGTTATGAACATTCTCCGCGGGCTTGAGGTGTTATCCATGCACTTGACGCAACTAGAAACTACACATGGTAAGAGTTGGCTCATTTAAAGGACGGTTTTTGGATGGTCTTTTAAAAGAGTTGCTCGTCGAGAATGTTGTAAGTAAAAGAAGTAAGCAAAGCTTGAAGCCGTAACTGGTCCCAGATCATTTTCTGTCTTACCGCAAATCTTAAACTGTTGGATCCTTGTTAGGTTTAAGTTTTTAGTTCGGTTATGAACATTCTCCGCGGGCTTGAGGTGTTATCCATGCACTTGACGCAACTAAGTCAGACGTGGCAGAGTTGGCTCATTTAAAGGACAATTTTTGGATGGTCTTTTAAAAGAGTTGCTCGTCGAGAATGTTTTGCTTCTTGCAATGCTTAAATATGAAGAAAAAAAAATTTTTTTATATATTTAAGGTAATAATACTAAATAAATAGCGTTAACATTTGACTAATCGCCCTTTTTTTCGAGCAATTAATTAAGCGCTTATAAGTTGCAAGAATGATGCAGTTTACAGAAGTCAACACAATGTTAATGTTTTTACCAATAAAATAGTCTTTCTGAACAGGATGAATACTTGTACTTTTGATGGACACCTCTAAAATTATGAGTACTTTTGGTAGCTTTCAATACTTTGTTAGAAACAAACCCTACTATACTTGCTAATACAGTTTGTTTTCTCAAGTTTTACTAGTTTATGTATATTCTATATTCTATACTTATTATATATAGCATTGTTTTAAAAGTTATATAGAATATATCCTGTTTGAATTATTCTATGTTTACTTTTTTTATGTATATAAATATTGTGTGCAGCCATTCTTGAAATATAAAAATGATTTTCATAAAAACTTTAATATCATACAGTTACTATAAAAAAACGAGGTATAAAAGCAAACTCAATATTAAGGAGAGAAAGAACCACAGTAGAATGGGCCAAGTAAATGCATACCCACTTTGTCGTCTTCTTCAAGTAATTTTAGAATAGATGGATTAACAATTGTAGAAAGATTATCTGAAGGAGCGACATCATTAAATCTATTCTTTACTAAATGTTCAATATGCTCTTTTTTGAGCTGGACAAAATTCAGGATGCTCTCAGTCAAGCGGCTCTATCATAAAAAACAACGGTTGGTCAGGTGCAATTCAAATGAACAATAAAATTAGACAAATACCTTCATGCCCCAGAAGAAGTTCAAGAAACAAGGAAGAGTTTCTAGTTTGTTATCAATATCTGGCTTTATATACAGCGTATCTTCGAGCCACAATTCAAAGATCGGGTCTTTTGGCTCAAAACGTAGGCTCCAGAGGTAAGTATTTTCTCCTAGAGTTATTAAAAGAAGTAAGAGATAGAGCAAAAAATAATAGACAAATGAATTTAATATCTTACCTGCACCATGCGTGAAAAAGACCTTACATTTTTGGAATGTCTCCACACTTGCCATAGGAAATTCATCAGCAATACTTTTTAACATCGCAAGGACTTCAAAGAGACCCTTATGATGATCAAATGCAATTTTTGATTTATCTGTAGAACCAAAACAACCTGACGTTTCAAGCAGCAAGATTTCAATGTTTTTTAACCCATAAAGTTTAATAACTCCATCAGCCAGATAACTGTGGTTATCTTCTTCATATAATGGGAGAGTTTTAAGCTGTTTACCCATGGATATCAATTGTACCTCCGCATGCCGAAATCCTGCTTTGCACCAATCTTCACTTTCTTTTAGCCATGTAGCTACTGCTCCGAGAAAGGGATATATAAATAGAGAATTAAATGTTGCTTCTCCGTCCCTGATATCTATAGTTGTAGTATGGAAGTCATATCTATATATATATTTATATAGATAGGTCAGTATACATATTAAATTTAAATAATAGCATAAGCTAGCATATAATTTAATAAAGAGTCACTTACACAGCTCGAAATACAGTTTCTAGAAAATTGTAATTAAATTCGTCATCACCTTCACAAGGAGGTATATTTCGTATAGCTTTTCTATACTCAGAATTATTTTCCTGTGTCATAGGTTATCAAATTAGATGTGCTCTGATAAGTTATTAATATGTACACACACGACTTACGCTACTAAAAATATTATCAAGGTATGGAATGAATACTTTTGGTAATTCATACACTTTTTCTTCATGGTTTCTTAAATGGTCTTTGTATATATTTTCATCCAAATTGGGACGAGGAGACACATTTTTTCCGCATCTGATAACATTGTGATTCTCAGGGCTACAATGATAACGGTAATATCTTTTTAGTATGATTTTCTTTTTCTTGATAGGAAAATAAAAAATGTGTTTACCTATGAGGATGAAAATTTTGGTTATTTTCTAGAAAACCAATCCAATCTTTCCAAAAGCTAGGATATTCTTCATTTCCTTCTTCCTTCTTTTTATCTTCTCCTTGCTTCTTTTCATCCTTCTCTTTCTTTTTCTCAAGCTTAAAAGGTGAAAAATATTAATTTTTATATAACTCAATTATTTTTTAATAGTATATTACATTGTAATTAATGGTTGGATTAGTAACCGTGTTTCCATCTCCAAACAATAATTGTGCACCATAATTAATATTAAGGCGTCTTTTTTTCGATGGCTTTGAGGTATTAGCTTTCAACTTTGCCTTGCTAGGCTATAAAAAATGATTCAGTAAGAATTTTTTTTAAAAATAAAGTGACTTACAATCTCATTCAACAAAAAAGAACAATAGTGTTTGACTATTTTTGGTACATCTTCTAGCTTGAGGATCCAATCAAGATTGTTGGAATAATCACGAACTATACGATTATAGTGCTTCAATTTATTCCTATAATCAGCTTGAAAAAAATATTTTTCAAAACACCAATCCTTCATTGGATGTGATGAGAAGAAAACCTTGGTGCCTTCTCTAGCTGTATTAAGTTTTTATTCAGAGTATTGTGTATCCATAATAATAAATAAAGAATAATGAAAATGTCTGTCGCGAAGAATTTGAAAAAGCTGGTCAGATTTTTGAATAAATTTGCCAACTTTTTTGAAACTCGATTAGTTATTTGTTTGAAATTCATTTGGATCTTTTTTTTTTTTTTTTTTGAAAATATTGTACCTTAAATAATGTTAAGGGAAAGTTATAGAGGGACCTTATTCAAGCAATTGCTAAGCTGGTTTACAGAATGTTGAATAATATTTTGAAGACGCTCAACAGGTACTTCTTCACTAGCCGCAATAATTCTTGAAGTAAGCGTTTCAACATCATTAAGTTTACTTCGCTTTACTTTTCCCTTAAGAATGGACCAAAATTGTTCTATTGGGTTGAGTTCGGGCGAGTAGGGAGGAAGGTATAATGGCTTAGAGCCCCGACTTACAATTACAGGGTCAATCATAGCAGGAATATGAATTGGAGCATTGTCCACAACAATAAAAAATCCTTTCATTTCTGGGGACTCATCCATAATATCCATAGTATCGTTAAGAAACAAAAGATAATGATCGCCAGTAGTGCCACTGGGAATAGTTAATTTATCTTCAGGAGCCTTTCTCTTTTTGGCCCCTACAACTTTCCTTCTCTTAACATTTCCAGATTTTCGCATACTCACATTGACGACACCATTAGCTGATATTGCACCAAGAACAGTATGTGAGGTAGCCTTGGTGGAAGGAGTTGTGGTAGTTGATTTTGTACCGTGCTGTGACCAACCATGACTACATCGCATATTAATATCAAACCCGGACTCATCAACAAATATACAATTGTCGAGATAATTGACGCCATTGCTGATCAATTTCTCAACCCACTCAGCACGAGCTTTAAGATTTTTATCTTTGTTTCTGGCAAGAGGGTGTCGGTTAATAAGTTTGATACTGAGATTACATTCTTCCTTCATAAACTCGGCTACTCTTGTTTTTTTTATTTGTAAGCCAGCAAAGTTGGCTGTCAAGCTTTCAACTGCGTCCTGGATTGTTGCAGTTGAGTCATCATCAAAAAAGCTGATCAGATAGACCTTATGAGCTTCGTTCAGTTGACTGACTGGTCTGTTAGGATTCAGATTCGTCTTTTTGATAGGAATCTTCCTTTCCGGATCATCTTCGTAAGCCTTTTTCCATTTGCGCGCTGTGTTATAATTTACATTTGCGGCTATGGCTGCATCTTTTGGTTTCATGAGTTTTTCTTTCAAAAAATAAAAGTAACGTCTACGGTCTTCCATTGTATAAACGTTATACTCAAGAGGTCTTTCTTTCTTTGGACTAGCCTCTTTCATGACTGTATCGTCTGAACTGATCGTTTCAAATTGGAGATCCTTATTCTTAATGTATTTTCGTAGATCTGTTAATCTTTTCAAACGAAATGACTTCTCTTCAACATATGTTTTTGCTTGCTCGCCCTGTTCATCAATGAGATGACCAGCACCATCTTCATAAAAAATATTCATGCTCATTTGAAAAATAATCACGAAATAATGGTATAAAAAAAGTAACAAAATATACCTCAGATAAAATGGCCCAATTGAGTTTCAAAAAAGTGGGCAAATTTATTCAAAAATTTGACCACCTTTTTCAAAAATTCGTCCAATTGACGGCGGACACACTGTATCATAGTTGGATTATGAATCAATCAGAGACCATTCTTCAAACAAATATCATGGGTGCCATTGTAGGTATCAATGTAGTGTACAAAGCCATGAAGAAATGTAGCCGAGATAGTCAAATTGCCGCTGTCTCCTCTGTTTGTGGTCTCTTTAACCTATCCATCTTATTAAGTTATGGTGCCTTAAAAGCGGCTTTTCTGAGCTATTGTCATGATTTGCGTGCTTTTGGTAAAGACGATCACATTACAGTGAACACGATTACTCCGGTATATATTACTACGGCCATTACTCAAAGTTCGTCCAGAAAAAACAAACATTTATATTTGACAGCAGATTACTTTAGTCAGCAAGTCAAAATCGCTCTTGAAAATAATATGCCACTTATTTCGTTACCGCTCCATCAATAATTTACCTTTGCTGTTGTCAACTTACTAACATTCATGGCGAAACTATTTATTTCAAACTTGATCCATCAATGGTTGAAAAAAACCCCTCCCCGATCAAGAAAAGAAAAAACAAACAGACGCAACACGAACAGTAGATCGAAACCGAATAACATACATATTAATATAGTTGATTAATTAATAGAGAAAAATTAATCCCAGTTGATTTCTACTACAAAATAATGGTATATAAATCCAAATAAAAAGGATATATCTACTATATACATATCCATACTATAATATACTTGTGGGAGTATTTATAGGTGAGTGATAATACGAGTAGTAGTAGTAGTAGAAGAGGAATTTCGAACAAGATGAAGACAGCTACTCTGCTTACTGAGAATTGCGTGTCTTTTACTCTGAAGCATATTTTTCAATGCATGCAATGCAAATACTGTCAAGCCAATGCCTATCCAATCTTTATCATGAAGATCACGAAGTTCACCGACAGTCATAATATATTAATCCTAAAAATTCTTTACCCAGTGAATAGCTTTACCAGCATTGCAATGACTTGAAGGTTTACATTATTGGACAAATGACTCGATATCAGTATCATTGGAGTATTCTACATATTCAAATTTAGACATGAATAAAGAGATAAGATTTTTTTTTTACCCTCCAAAACATAAGACACAAGTTGATTATGACAATGGTTGACGTCTATCAATGGAGGTGAACAAGGTTTATAATAACTGATATGATCATGATTTTTCGTGGGTTCTGTGATGGCATGACTTGAAGAAAAAAAATAAAAAAGAAGAAAAAAGAGGAGAAAGAAAACAAAAGGAAGTATAGTTTGAGACTGTTTATTTAATGTAAGAAGAATGATATAAAGATTATTTGTGTTTACAGAACTGCTTGTATTTATACTAATGAATCCTGAATCAGAGAAATAAAAATAACTGTCAACGAGTAAAAGTCCTGAAATAATATTAGTATTCAGATATACATTGTGTTGATTCAAGTTACTGATTTCTATGGATTATCTATTGCATATTATAATAATCTGATAAAGGTTTAAATTGTTTGATCTGAGTGTATGTTCCTGATATTTTTTATAGTTTTATTTTATTGGATCAAAGACGACTTGAATCCTTTGTCAAGGTTATAAAAATAAATATTTAGAAATGATACTATGTCTTATAATTGATACATCTAGACAATTGGATGTCAATAAGTTTTATATTATTTACAAGATGTTGTATACATAGTATTATATCATATCCAGGCTTATAGTTTATCCTTTATTATGTAATTCATCTATTACACTATTGCTTATGCTTATATCCAAAGCTTATTCTATAACAATAATAAGATAAAAATATAACAAATTGTATTTGATATTATAATGATAGAAAGGGAATGATTATTAACAGTTATTATAGATATAGATCCATGTCTTTTGTATAAAACTAATGTGTGCACTCTGAGTGGAATCAACTATTACGCTTATTTGCATTATTTTTAGTTTATCCCAGTTTAACTTATAATAAAGTTATATTCAGCAGAACAAGATAATTTTTGGATGTAGGACTTTTGTTAATCATTTTTTCTACACAAGAGTAAATATATTCTTAATATGTGTAAAGACATAGTTAGCATATAAATGCTCTATGTGTTTTATCATGACTATTTTTCTTATTGAATTAAGTAACAAATCTTGCAGCCATGATAATTTCCTACACAACAAAAAGACAAAAGAAGCATAAAAAAAAAAGGGAAAACAATAATAATAAAAATACTATAAAAAAAGCCATCAAGTATAATAAACAAAGAGCGCTTAAAGGTTTATGTTGGTGCTAATGTCTTGAAAGAGGTTGAGTAAGTTAGTATTAGCTTGTCTTTTAATAATGTCATCTGCTTGTGCAATTTCACTGTCAGATTTAAGTTTATATTTTTGCGTTTATTTTGAAGATAGTCAAATTTTAATATATGCTTTTGGTTTTTACCATCAGAAGATACTAGGTAAAGAAGATAGTAATTAGTAGAAGATAAGATATATGTATATATATATATATAAAGAGAGAGAGAGATACCTACAGGTTTTTCTGACAATAGATTGAATTTGCTCAGGAGTACAACTTGTATATTTTCCTTTTTTTGTGTCAAAGGAATATTTAGATGGGTACATTAATAGGGTGACAGTGTTGTCAGCATTTTTATTTATTTTTTATCTTGTGTAAATTCGGTAAAATCGACGAGAAGCTTTTTTAACATTCAATTCAGTGCGTGTGGGATACATGCTCAGAGGGGTTGTTCCAATGGTTTACCTGTAAAGGACCAAAAACAGAAATAGCAGTATTGATATTGATGCTGTTAATAATATAAACTATCATAGAATAGTCACTTATGTACAGATTATAATATTCCTTGCTTTTGACAAGTTTTAGTGTAGTCTTAAAACTATCATTGTCATATAAAAAGGAACAGAAAGTTCTTATATCGTTGCATGATAGAGTATGTAACCATCTTTGTTATCTATGTTGAGGTATTTAGGATACATTTTTTTTAAAAAAAATAAAAAGAATGATAAAATAAAATAAAAAGGAAAGAAAGAAAACAAAGATAAATAATATATATTTATATTTATATGTTTTACCTGCAAAGAAAAAGATAAAGAAAGAGAAAATAGACAAGTCTGTGAAAACTTTGTATAGTTTATTAAAGATAATACAAAAATTGTAACACTCCCAAATTATATGGAAAATATCGAGGGCTATTTATATGCCACTTGCAAGGTAAGTGGTATTAATAGAAGTATGGTTTGGATAAATGAACACTGATATAATGAAGCATTATACATGAATATCGTATTCGAATAACTCTACTTTGCAATAGAGTATATTTTTACCGAAGCTTTCTCTATTACTAGAAATATAATAAATCATTATTTCTGAAGCAACGCGATAATGATATCAGTTTTAATTGGCAAACCTAAAGATATGGCAACTATAAAAGAAGACACTCATCTTAGAAAAAACATGTTCTCTTTGCTTCTTTACTTTTATTATTACTTTTATTATTTTAAAATGACTATTTTTGACTCTGTTCTGACCAGTGATATAGTTCTCCTCGATTGCGAGGTTAAGAATACACCCATTCTAAAATATGAAAATAATAATTTCAAATGCATTTTTAAAATTATCAAAGACAAACAGTTCTACAACGTTACGACAACATCACCAGGTATGAGTTTGTATGTCATACAAAATTTACAAGAAGCATCTAACATCCATTTATTTGGCCCTGAAACTGTCACAACCTGGGTCAATACCAATGGTTTTGCCAATAAATCCCATAAAATTTCTTGCTATGAAATACAACATCAAGATATGCATCTTACGATGAAAGATAATCCTTCAAGAAACGTAATCATCACACTTTATATGTATTTATACACTCATTTCTCTGATACCACACGTATTCAAACAAGATCATCTTTGGAAGATATTGAAAAAAATAATGCACATGTTATCTGAAGATAAAGCCACTTCCTCTCTATATCTATATAACCTATCATATTCATGATCTCTCTCTACCTAGATAATAGAAAAGATCACTAGCTTATTAACACTTTAAAGCGAAAACGTAATGATGAAAATCTAGAATTAAGGAAAAAAAAAAAAGGAAATCTGATCAGATTAATATAAAAAGTGAAGAGATCTCTTCCTTTGTATTATTATTATTTATTGATTATTTTAAATTCTTCTCTTATTTTTATATAAAAGCTCATCTATTTTTACATGTTTCGCTCATTGTTTTCATCTATTTTTTTTTTAAAAAAAAAAGGCTCTTTCATTTATATACACTTATACTTGTATAAATTACGTATTTTTATTTCATGCTAGACGAAACAGAGAGATATTTTCATTGATTCCTTTATTTCTTTATCAGATTTATTAGTTTTATTGTCTGAGAAAAGAATATGATCATTCAAAGGATTATCAGAAAAAATATAAACGTTATATCTTTATAAAATTCATCCTTCTTGAAGAAAAGTCAAAAAAAGAAAAGAAGATCATAATGTTTTGATTATTACAAGCATGGTTAAAAGGGTTAATTATTCCTACTATCTTGCGTTTTGATCAATCAAGAATAACGTCTGCTATCAGATTACATTATTTATCATGCCTCAGTTTTTTTTTTTTTTTTTTTTTTTTTTTTTTTTTTTTTTTTTTTTTTTTTTTTTTTTTTTTTTTTTTCAATCAGATGAATAGGGTGGCAATTTGATTTAATTAATAACTGTTTATTTAACTTGATAAATCAGATGCCATTGAAATAATATCCGCTGTATCTAATAAAGGATCAAGTTGTATTAGTAAGTTTAAACATAAAAAGAAATAAATATGTACTGCTTAAATCAGTATTATATGTCAGTATTAGAATTGTAACATAGAAGCTTCAGCAAACATGAGAGCAAATCTGGTTAACTTACCCAGGTTAAGTTTGATTGAAGTCTAAGATTTCGTTTAATGCTTTGTCTGCAAAAAGTGGGATGAGTGAAAACAATAATGCTCCATCAGCAGACAATTTTGAATAATTGCACCGCAAAGGATGATAGTATAATTGTTTTGTTTTATATATTATACTTTAGGTAATCTATTGAAATACAATTATATAACAGTAATTAATATAAATAACCCGTAGAAGTAACAGTAAAACTTGAATACATCTCATTGATGGTTAAACATCTTACTTGTGTGCAACAAAGTATTGGGTATGGGCACGAAAGGAAGTTGCTGGTCTATAAGCATTCAGGAATTTTGTCTAACATGTCAATTGCTATATAAATCAAATAATCAAGCATTATTGTACTTTTTTAAAGTCTTTAGGTCTATGTAAAATTATAATTTTAAGCAAGTATACTAAAGCATTAGCCTAACATTATTATTACTCTAAAGTATGCGTTCAGAAATACACATGAGGTAGAAACTAACATGTTTTTAAAGTATTCATGATATTATTCACAGTCTTAGAGAGGGACACAAGTAAGCAGAGAGCCAGTAGAGCAAACTCACTTTCAAGGTATACATCTAATTCCACTTGGGAATTTCGCAAGCTATTACCCCTGAAAAGATTCCCTCATGCAACATAAGCAATTATGTTTATGTTTGATTTAATTTAATTTTAATGCCATGTAATTCTTGAAGCTGTATAAATTATTAGCCAATTAAAATAGATACAAATGTGCACCTTTTCTCACATAAAAAATAAAAATGTCGTAGCTTTTTGTTCCTTTTTTTTTTCTCCTTATGACACGACTAATCTCGATATATGGTGCAATGAATTATCAATTCTTCTTTGAAGATGGAGTAGGAAACATTGTCAACGAAAATGGCAATGACCTGATGGACATTGAAGGTGAAGATCCTTTCAAGTTGGAAGAATTAACGTCCTACATGCTTTATATTGAAGCGAGATCAAAGACCTGTGAGGTATTAGCAAATGAAGATAATATTGTTCAGGATATTATAGAGGTGAATTATGTAACAGCTGAAAGTGCCAAAAATATTCCCAAAGAAAGCAAAATAAAACTTCGTAGCCGTGACGAACTGAAAGCTCATGCAGTTCATCTCGTCGACATTCACCCAAGAAATAGTGCAAGGGTTGTCACTTTGGATCTTAATTTGCAACCAAGAAATGTTCAAAGATGGTACAAAGCTTGGAAACAAAATGCAGATTCTTTATTTAAGAAGTTTGGGAGACCACGTATTATAGAACCAGAGGGTAAGCTTGCCGTGGCCACCAAGCATATAGTCTCTGGTTTTTACTTCAAGTATCCTATTGCTACTGTAGACCAACTTATCAACAAGCTGACTGACGATTTTGAAGATTTTTCTATAAAATTGATGAAAAAATTAGTGCGGAATTTGACAAATTGGAAAATTTAGTAAGAATAATGTTTTAAAACAGAAAATTAAACTTTATCATTGACGGTTTTTATATAATAGACTTCTTTAAATGAAATTTACGATCATGTCCGAAATATAGATCATTGTCCAGTAAATGATCCTCTTATAGCATGGTTGTCTCTAACTGTTACTACGTTATCGCTTTTATTTTTACAAAAAGACAGTAGAACAATATATGCTTTACTCGAGTCCGATCAGTTGTATCGATTCTGGTTTTTTTTGAATACTATTTTCGATAGTTCATCCATAAAAGCAATTGGGTAGGTGACTGCAGAATATATATGATTTTTTACTAATGTGTTATATAACAAGGAAAAGTCGAGTTATTCGAACTCAAATGCTAAAAATGCCAAAAGGAAAATAGCTGCAATTGAAGAAATGGCTAGTAAGAAAATGGGTAGAAAAATCGATACCATTTATGCAGGTGATAACTTTGAATTTGGTGCTCTTGAAACTGGAAGTAAAGATGACCAAACAAAAGAAATAAAAGATGGTAGATTAAAGCTTCCTCTTGTAATGAAAGATATTTTGCTGAATATTGTTTGTAAGGTTCCAGGTGTATTAAATAAAGTGCATATAATAGGATATTGTATTAATGGTAAGTTAAATCAATCTTATTTATCCTTTGTAATATTTCTTTTAGTTGCTGTTCCGTGTATAACTGTTCTTACTTTAACTAGGTAATAAGCTTGAATTTTTAGACATGGATTGTCCTCAGGGATATGTAACGAGAGTTCGAAGATTGAATCAAATGGAGTATCCAATAGATTCAATAGATTGATAAATCGTTTACGCCCTCTTATGGAAGTGGCTTATATTGATAAATTATCATGGAACAAACTTGGACAACTATTAAAAGTATAAAAATCCCCTTGTCCAGTTCATATGGAGCACTGATTTAAACATCTTTAACCAATCAAATCTCTTTAAACTTGTATTAGTAGACTAAACAATTTTCTCTTTTAAATACATTTTGTTCTTTGTTATTTTTGCCAAAACATCCAAACCATTTTTCCGCTCACTGTATTTTGTTTGAAGACTTTCATAAAACTTCATTTTCTACTTCACTAGACCATGTCATATTTTCAAGAAACTAACCATAAGAATTGGGATTTAGTAGAAGCTATAGAATCAAAATTAAGTAAGAAAACTTTCAATTCATACCACAACTTTTTGATTCTATTCGAAATGATTTGGAACGGTTTGACAACAGTACAGCAATCAACTGGAAGCACGACTGGACGGTAAGTTGAGCAACTTTATTACAATTAGGAACTAAACTTGACATGTATTTGTTAGAGAATAACTAGAGAGTGTTTATTAAAATTAAACCCTGAGGCTTCTTCATCCTCTTCTTTTCAACCATCGTAAGTACATATACCTATCCCTTCTTATGCAGATCGAAACTAATTCTATGCTATTTTACGCAACAATCTTTATTTTTAAGTGTGAATTTTGAAGCAGATATTGCTTCAAGCTTTATTATAAAATACAAGAAGATTCACATACACAAAAAAGGTAACTATTTGTTTGGTTTTTAAAATATCATTTTCACTGACATTAATTTCTGCATAGGCTAAAAGGTGATATACCCTCTATCCTATAT